TATTACAGTGTCTAAGCTTATGCGTTCCAGGGCCTGAAGAATCAACCATTATTTATAATACGGAGTGTCACACTCAAATATCCTATTGATTGGTTATAAGCAATAGACAAATGGAAGGCAGGGGTTAAATTAGCCCTGATTGGTTATAAGCAATGGACAAATGGAAGGCAGGGGTTGAATTAGACCTGATTGGTTACAAGCAATGGACAAATGGAAGGCAGGGGTTAAATTAGCCCTGATGGGTTATAAGCAATGGACAAATGGAAGGCAGGGGTTAAATTAGCCCTGATGGGTTATAAGCAATGGACAAATGGAAGGCAGGGGTTAAATTAGACCTGATGGGTTACAAGCAATGGACAAATGGAAGGCAGGGGTTAAATTAGCCCTGATTGGTTACAAGCAATGGACAAATGGAAGGCAGGGGTTAAATTAGCCCTGATGGGTTATAAGCAATGGACAAATAGAAGGCAGGGGTTAAATTAGCCCTGATTGGTTATAAGCAATGGACAAATGGAAGGCAGGGGTTAAATTAGCCCTGATGGGTTATAATATAAGCAATGGACAAATGGAAGGCAGGGGTTAAATTAGCCCTGATTGGTTACAAGCAATGGACAAATGGAAGGCAGGGGTTAAATTAGCCCTGATTGGTTATAAGCAATGGACAAATTGAAGGCAGGGGTTAAATTAGCCCTGATTGTTTATAAGCAATGGACAGATGAAAGGCAGGGGTTAAATTAGCCTTGATTGGTTATAAGCAATGGACAAATGGGAGGCAGGGGTTAAATTAGCCTTGATTGGTTATAAGCAATGGACAGATGAAAGGCAGGGGTTAAATTAGCCTTGATTGGTTATAAGCAATGGACAAATGGGAGGCAGGGGTTAAATTAGCCTTGATTGGTTATAAGCAATGGACAAATGGAAGGCAGGGGTTAAATTAGCCTTGATTGGTTATAAGCAATGGACAAATGGAAGGCAGGGGTTAAATTAGCCCTGATGGGTTATAAGCAATGGACAAATGGGAGGCAGGGGTTAAATTAGACCTGATGGGTTAAAAGCAATTGACAAATGGAAGGCAGGGGTTAAATTAGACCTGATGGGTTATAAGCAATGGACAAATGGAAGGCAGGGGTTAAATTAGACCTGATGGGTTATAAGCCATGGACAAATGGAAGGCAGGGGTTAAATTAGACCTGATGGGTTATAAGACATGGACAAATAGAAGGCAGGGGTTAATTTGCACTGATTGGTAATTAACAATGAAAAAATGGAAGCCAGCTGGATTAGTTAGCCTGGGGATAATGTGACAAATAGATGGTGGCACAGATAAATTAAATCAATAAATCCCAAGCACTTGGCAGTTATGTTCCCTGGTCGATGTTCATGGCGGGCTGGTGTCTCCTGCTGTCAGCGGCTTGTTTTTCGAAACGGGGTGATATAGCGATCAGCATGTCCGTCCGTCTTTCAGCCATCCGTTTTCCGTTTCTGAAGCAGAGCTCCTAAACCGTCTTAAGGAAACTTGCAGTACAGATCAGCCTAGTGGTGAAGTGGTGCCTTTCGGTAGTTTTAAAATTCTTTTCTTTTTTAATATTTTTTTTCATTACGACAAGTTTGACTTTACTGAAAACGAGGGTAGTGCTCGTTTCTGGAGCAGAACTAAAAAACCTTGAATATTTTCTGATGAAACTTGTTACACAGATCAATCTCGTGTTGAACTGATGTCTTTTGATGATTTGGGATTTTTTTTTAAAATTAAGAAATTATGTTTTCATGACAAGTTGAACTTTATTGAAAACTAGGGCAGTGATCCAGTGACTCAGGAGCAGGACTGCTAAACCATTAAATATTTCAAGAAGAAACTTGCTATACAAATCAGTCTAGTGGTGAACTGGTGCCTTTGGATTATGTGGGATATTTTTTATGTTTTTATGACGACATGTTAGACTTTCATGAAGACAAGGGTAGTGCTCATTTCCAGAGCAGATCTCCAAAACCACTGAATATTTCTAGATGAAACTTGCTATACAGATCAGTCTAGTGGTGTACTGGTGCCCTTTGATGATGTTGAAAAATACTGAAGAGCCTTATTATTTTTTCTTCACTGAATAGAACATATCTAATGGCAATGAACCAAAAGTGGTTTTCTGAGTTGCACCAAAACGGGGGCTATGTTGTCTCCTGATGACTCTTGTAATAACTCACTCACTCACTCACTCACTCACTCACTCACTCACTCACTCACTCACTCACTCACTCACTCACTCACTCACTCACTCACTCACTCACTCACTCATTAAAACTGTTGCCATTGATAATACAAAACGGGGGCTATGTTGTCTCCTGATGACTCTTGTAATAACTCACTCACTCACTCACTCACTCACTCACTCACTCACTCACTCACTCACTCACTCACTCACTCATTAAAACTGTTGCCATTGATAATAACTTACATAAACTGTTGTGATGAAATAAGGTTTAGATTTACCGAAACAGACTTTTTGTTGTCAATAATGACAATTGTCAAAGACGGAAAGCAACTGTTTTTGTTATATCCCAAATGTCCACAAGAATCCATACATAAATGTGTCTCAGCTCACACATCGCATGAAAGCTGTTGATTTCCCTCGGGACTTTCATGCATATTTGCTTAAAGTTCCTTCTCCGATATGTATTGATAATTGAACGATAATTGGTTTGTGATTATCAATCTCTATGATCTATATCGATAGCCAGCCCTACTAACCATGCTAACACTAATTTGTCCTTCTGCATGGTTTTCATAACATGGGCTGCCATGGGCTGCAACTTATGCTGGTCGTACGAGGCGACCCATCTTCTTGAGGCAAGAGAGTTAACTGACTTTAAAAGTCCAGTTTCAACCCTTGCCGAACTTGGCTGGAATTACTGGGCTATTACCAGTTATGTCCCTTCTGGACCAATCAGATTCCACTTCTCGTATCACTTGTGTTTGCTTCACACAAAATGGGGGCGCCTAGTCAGGACGATCTGATCGATAATAAAGATCTATATTGTGATAAAACGGGTCTTACATCGCGAAATGCATCAAATCACTTGAGCACCTTGATTAAAAACATGAAAAGATTTGGAAAATATCTGCTGAAGAGTGGGCGGTGCACATGCTTTGCAAGGTTGATAATCTGCACAACAGTTTAAGGCAAGGGTGGAAACTGGACTGTGTGTTATTATTGATTGTTTCCAATCACTTTGACTCTATTGCCAAAGAAAAACTGCAATGTTTCTCCAAGATAATGATTACAATACTATAATTCGGTACTGTTTATTCTTTTATTATTAGCTTATCTTTCTACGATTGCTCATAAATATGGTATTAACTACTTTCATGCCAGAACATCTTGCTCGATCCTACATGATCAAGGCCTATCCTCCAAATATGCGGTGTCAAAGTGTTAATAATGCTATACATGTATATATCACTGTGTATGTAACCACTGAAACGGGAATAAAAATTATTTTATAAAAAAACAAACTCTCTTGCCTCGGGAAGATGGAGGTGACCAAATGAACCAGTTGGTCAGGCTCAGTGAATTGGTTGATAGGATGTCATTGTACTGGATGGATCACTGGATTGTCTGGTTCAGACTCGATAATTTGCAGTCCGCCATCATAGAGCAGCTGGGTAACCTCCCAAAACCCCTACATCCCATTTCCCCTACAGCTTAAGACAACAAAGTTCACGGTCCATGGCACTGCTAATCCCTAGTCTGTTACCTATTTCATACAATGGAACAACCCAAGAAACTCGAATAGATTGAGATAAATATTTAATTACGATTACGATATTATTCAAAATTCATAATACATTATAATAAAATGTTCATTTTTCAAAATTCATAATACATTATAATAAAATGTTCATTTTTCAAAATTCATAATACATTATAATAAAATGTTCATTTTTCATCTCAACTGTAAATCGTCTCATCTCAGTTTCTCAGTGTAATAATTGTTTCTTCCTATTGTTATTTTTGTAATTTCTAAAAATTGTCTTCTCATCATACAGGCATCTTTCATTACACTTACATTAATTTTATTTTTTTTAACTTTCCTTTAAGTCCCCTAATCCCCTAATGCTCTACCCCTTTCATTTCTACTACCTCTACTCCAGACCTTAATCTCTCCTTTAGGTGAGTTCATAATACCAGACAGGTAAATGCCGCGTGTTGTTTTAACTAATTGTAGGGGAACTGGGTTGTAGGGGAAATGGGATGTAGGGGTTTTGGGAGATAACCAGCAGCTGATATAGCTAAATTGTTGTTTTAGACTGGCACGGCCTTGTGGGGATCTGGGTCAGAACTGATCCTCAACAACCCATGCTAGTATAAGGGTAACGCTATTATTCAGGGCATTTTCATTTGCAGAAGCCCGAGGTCTTCTATTAACTGCCTGATGAAGGAGGGCAATTGAAGAGACCGAGGGTTTCTGCAAATGATAATGCCTTGAATAATAGCCTTACCATTATTATAGCTAAAATGGATGGAATTTGTTATCAAATAAAAAGAAACAACAATATTGGTTTGGAAACATTTACTGCAATCAATACAAATGTCACTGACCCACTTTTACAAATATGGAATGGTCATAGAACAAACCAGATGACGTCACTATTAAACGTGACGTCACTTTCCCTACCCTACCTAACAACGGGCGTGATAATGGCCCGTCATCAAGCAATATGAGGGCATTATCAAGTTACAGTGGCCCGCTCATTTCTGATAACGTGCAGGCGGTTTAATGATAATTCTATCCATTTTAGCTATAACAGAGATCATATAGTTGAACAGGAGGTCTGTCTCAGTGCCTGGGTTGATATTGCATCATACCCCGATTGTTGCTCATAATATCAATCCAGACTCGACTATTTTCAGTCCACTGTCATATAGATGCAATATGGCTGCGTGTGGCATTAAACAATAAACAAACTTGCAATCATAAGTTAACATGCATTCATCTTGTTTCAGACAACGCCTATGATCCTGACGTGAATGCGTCCGAGTTGTGGATTGACAAGGTAGAAGTCGGTGGTCTTCAGTGTATGACATTTGCTGACAATGGAAATGGACTCGATGAAGACAAGCTGCTCAAAATGCTCAGGTATGTTTTACTGTCAGGGTAATATTACCTTGTGCTGACGGCAGCAATATGAGACCGCTGTGCCTGGGAACTCTAAAAACAGGATGGCGAGACAAACCGTTTGTTCATCATTTGTTGATAGCATCAATTCGCACCACAATGAATCACTTTCTGGTCACACCTTGTATAAACGACTCATCACCAGCATAGAGTAGCTGGGTAGTCTGGTGGTTAAAGTGTTTGTTTGTCATGCTGAATACCCGGTTTAATTCCCCACATGGTTCAATGTGTGAAGCCCATCTCTGGTGACCCCTGCCATGGTATTGCTGAAATATTGCTAAAAGCTGCGTAAAACAATGATCACTCACACATTGTAACAACTCATCACCAGTATAGAGTAGCTGGGTAGTCTGGTGGTTAAAGTGTTTGTTCATCATGATGAATACCCAGGTTTAATTCCCCACATGGTTCAATGTGTGAAGCTCTTCTCTGGTGTCCTCTGCCGTGATATTGCTGAAAGAGTGTTAAAAGCTGCGTAAAACAAAGCTCACTCACACATTGTAACGACTCATCACCAGTATAGAGTGACTGGGGTTGTCTGGTGGTTGAAGCATTTGCTTGTCACACCGAAGCGTACACATGTATACAATGTGGGAATCCCAAGATTTCTTTGAATACCTTACCTCTATCATAGTCATAAATTTCCATTCTTAAGATTTTTCAACAGACGTCCTCTTCACTGCTGACACTGAACAGTGGCACCTGTGAAAACCACATGTTTTTTTAATTAAACCTCGCTGAGCATACCAAATGGTCGTTCCCTTGGATAATGTTTATTTATTGACTGTTTAATATATTTATCTGATTATGTATTTCAGTTTTGGATTCTGTGAAAAAGATGTTTATGAAAAATCGAATCATAAACCTATTGGGCATTATGGCAATGGCTTCAAGTCTGGTTCGATGCGTCTTGGCCAGGACGCGCTCGTCTTCACCCGACATGTCCACACCACTAGTGTTGGGATGCTATCCCAGACCTATCTGCAAAAGACAGGCTGTGAGACAGTCATGGTGCCCATCATCACCTGGGAACTACCTTCCAATATCCTTCAGAGAATGTGTGGCTTGTAGTTCAATGTGTGGCTTGTAGTTCAATGTGTGGCTTGTAGTTCAATGTGTGACTTGTAGTTCAATGTGAACACATTCTTGGCCCTTTTGGTCAATGTTGTATGGACGTGCTTTGTTAAAGTCAAGAGTGAATTCACTACATGGATGGCATCTTGGGATGACATGTAATCTGAAATTGTTGAATAGATTCTGATCCACCTTTCTGTAATCACAAACACTGCATTCATTTTTAGTTCACCTGACTGAAAGTCAAATTCTATCCTCAGTATTTTTGCAGAAAAATTTGAATATTAATTGCTGCCTATATAATTATTATTAATTATTATAAAGTGTCTGCCTTTGTTAACATTTTAAATTGTTGACTAAATATCCAGGTGAGATACAGGGCCGTTGATAGACTCTGAACTCTTGAATCTCTTGTTATCATGGCTGAATGCTGGGTTCATAGTGGGAGTATACAATTCCTTTCCTTTGTAACTTCATTTGCCTAGAGGGGTGGTGGGATAGCCTAGTGGTTAAAGCGTTCGCTCGTCACGCCGAAGACACAAGTTCGATTCCAGACATGGGTACAATGTGTGAAGCCCATTTGTGGTGTCCCCCGCTGTGATATTGCTGGAATGTTGCTAAAAACAGTATAAAACCATACTCGCCCACTCGCTCACTACAACTGAAATCTGCTGAAAAGACAAATATGGGCTACTCTTTCACTCACTCACTTATTTGCCTAGATTTCATGTTTATGGAACACCGACAGTATTACCTGCCATGTTTGTGGAATCACTGACAGTATTACCTGCCATGTTTGTGGAAACAAAAGATCTAGCATATGTTGAAATAACTGGCATTCTGGCATTGATCTGAGTCCTACATGGATCTTATGAGCTGTGTACTGCTTCTTTTGTGACCTCGAGTATCCTGAGTCAAGCTCGCTGACACTGCACCGTGCCCCTCTTTAGGCAATTATGTTCACTTTAAATCAGGATATTTTGATTTCCTTGACTGAGTTGACATAAAAAGATTCACTCTGGCACCTCACAAAACAACCTGGCAGCCATCATGAAGTACTCCCCATTCACCACCGAGTCCAGTCTCCTCACGGAACTCCTCAGTCTTGAGAGGCTCAAGACCGGAACCAAAATTTTCATCTTTAACTTGAAACGGTAAATACTCTATTACATCTAAATACTGTACTCTAATACCCTACCGCTATTACATTGTAGCCACAAATTCCTGCTTAACTTAGAATCACAGTATAAAATTATGTACGTTTTCAACAGATGTCCTCTTCACTGCCAACATATCTATAAGTTGTGAGGAAAACTCTTTCCTCCATGGGAAATGCTACTGCACATGCACAAGGCAGGAAAACATCCCTTCTTTCAAACCCAAACTGGGGCGGTCGGGTAGCCTAGTGGTTAAAGTGTTCGCTCGTCATGCCGAGGACCCGGGTTCAATTCCCGACAATGTGTGAAGCCCATTTCTGGTGTCCCACACCATGATATTGCTGGAATATTGCTAAAAGCGGCGTAAAACCATACTCACTCAAACCCAAACCCTTATCAACTAGATGCAGATAATTGGGGAGGTAGGAAGGACCTATTCTGCATGAATGTATGCAATATGTGCACGTGTATTCTACAACTCAGAAGACGACGTCAAGTGTTAAGATGTTTGTTTTAACCATGACAAGCTGTAATATTGCTGACTGCAGTTTAAAAGCCCATGTAAAATGAAAATAATTGTAAATGAAAAAGATTTGTCCATATAATATTTTTATTCCTGCCTGCATGGGGCGGTGGGAAAGCCTAGTGGTTAAAGCATTCGCTTGTCGCGCCAAAGACCCGGGTTCGATTCCCCACATGGGTACATTGTGTGAAGCTTATTTCTTGTAACCCCAGCCGTGATATTGCTGGAATATTGTTAAATGCGGCATAAAACCATTCTCACTCACTCACTCCATGCCCACACATTTTCTGAAACATTAACTTTTCACCTTAAATTTATGCCGGAACTTGTTTCAGCTCCAAGTCTGGAAGCCCTGAGCTGGACTTCGAGAGTGACCCGTTGGACATTCGTAACCCCGAGACACTAGCCATGGACATGACCACCGTATACAGGCCCATGCAGGAATCCACACCAGAGTTCAAAAGCTCTCTCAGGGTCAGACATCTGGATGTATTTCTTGTTTCGAGGTCCTCTCTGTAAACATGTAATGCAAACGCAAATGTAGTTTTCTCGCTTGAACCACTTGTATATTCTGTTCGTGCCAGCTTGCGTCTTATGCGTCCAGGGGCACTGGTGGCCCATTCGTCTCAGACATCACAATTTGCTGTGCAGAGTTTTGTCCCTTGGGCATGCCAATCTTTGAACCTTTGAATCTCGGTTTGCCCCGATTCTGTTTCTAGGTTTGTCAGCACCGTACCCGTGCTCGTGGGTTTCAACAAAGTGGTGAACAGCTAAAACTTTCATCACTTTGGACTTCCTTGATATAACTGGAATAAGGTTCAAAGTGGCTTTAAACCCAACTCACTCACTCACTCACTCACTCACTCACTCACTCACTCACTGTAGTTATTCCAAAGCCATGGTATGACTGTGGTAATTTTAATAAATGGAGTGGTCCTTAACTTTAAAGAAGTATAAATACAGACCCCTTCCCTTGTGTCAGATTGAAGCATATGAAACAAAGTTAACCCTGTTTGACATATTCTATACATGTATATTCCAGGAATATTGCAGTATCCTGTTCCTGAAACCTCGTATGAAGATTGTACTCCGTGGACAGAAAGTGAAAACCAAACTTATTTCCAAGAGTTTGTCTCACACAGAAATTGATCTCTACAAGCCGGGGTGGCTCGTATCCTTCTTTCATTGTCGCAGTGGCCGGATTATCTCAAATAAAGCTTCCAGTTCTGTTATCTGCTCATGTAGGTTTAAGGACAGAATAGATTCAAGGAGTGGGACCCCTTGACCTTCATGCTTAAATGTAACTCTTCTCTGTCTCTGTCTCTGTCTCTGTCTCTGTCTGTCTCTGTCTCTGTCTGTCTTTCTCTGTCTGTCTCTGTCTCTGTCTGTCTCTGTCTCTGTCTCTGTCTGTGTCTGTCTTTCTCTGTCTGTCTCTGTCTGTCTCTGTCTCTGTCTCTGTCTGTCTCTGTCTCTGTCTGTCTTTCTCTGTCTGTCTCTGTCTCTGTCTCTGTCTCTGTCTGTCTTTCTCTGTCTCTCTCTCTCTCTCTCTCTCTCTCTCTCTCTCTCTCTCTCTCTCTCTCTCAAAAGTCAATTAAAAAGTACCATAATAACCGACTATGTTTACGAACAGGGGCGGTTGGGTAGCCTGGTGGTTAAAGCATTCGCTCCTCACGCCGAAGACCCAGGTTTGATTCCTGATATGGGTACAATGTGTGAAGCCCATTTCTGGTGTCCCCCCACCGTGATATTACTGTAATATTGCTAAAAGTGGCGTAAAACAATACTCACTCACTCACTTTACGAACATGTTTACTGTTGAATTGAACAAGGAAGTTATTACTAGGTTTCATGGAAGTCAGAAGGAGTCGTTTTACTTGTTTCCCATTCCCATTCCTTAACTCACGGCCAGGGTCGTCCTCTGAAGATAGTTTTTGGATTCACCTGCTCCAAAGATGCCCGTAGTGAGAACTATGGACTTATGATGTACCACAAGAACAGGCTGATCAAGGCGTACGAGAAAGTGGGCTATCAGAGACAGGTAGGAGACTGGTCCACTCAGAAAACATTAGGGCTGTGACGATTCACTCGCGTATTCGGTGAATCGACCGTATCGTTCATGAATTGAATTATTTATTCGTGACCACTAGAATCGAATATTTATGAATATGCAAGCATGTGCATTTACATAAAAAAATACCCAATAAGAACATATTTTATGCATATATTTCTTCAGAAGACAACACTCCTATACTATTTAATTTGACAGTATTGTGGTCACTGGTCATTGTCGCATTTGAGCAGATACTAGTACCTAGATAAGTGCAGTATATACATGTATAATATATTAATAATTAACAAACCATGTCAAATAATTTAAGTTCCTATTGCCTCACTGAATATAACAAATCAGCTACTAACTTGTTATTGTATTCGTGAATTAATATTCGTATTCGTTACCCTATATTCGTGATACGAAACGTAATCACCTCGTAGTGTATTCGTTGCAGCTCTAGTAAACATGTGTCTTTTTTTTCATAGACCATGTGGTCTGTACATGTTCGTTACAGACACCAAGCCCTTTCAGTATTTAATGTCACAGGCATGTTTTGCAAATTGGTACTTTTAGACAAGGACACTAGTTAAAAGACGGGTGACAACCTGGAAGGGCTATTTGTTTTCTCCCCAAGCGTCTTTGTGTTACATTAACAACTTTTCCAAAATTCAATGGGCATTCTGGGTAAGAGTTGGCCCCCAATAACCTATGCTGGTCGTAAGATACGACTAAACGTATCGGATGGTAATGCTTGGTGACGGCTGATTGCTTTTTATTGTTGTTCATGATATCAGTCACTGGTTTGTATGGTGCAGACTCGATTATATTCTGTGGATTGCAAAACAGAATCCTTGTTTTGCATAAGCTTCCTTTTTTTTTAAATGCCATTTTTTGTAAAAGAAATCTTGTATCATTCATTCAGCGCAATAATTTGGGCGAGGGAGTAGTGGGTGTGGTCCAGGTGGATTTCCTGCAGCCCATCCACAACAAGCAAGACTTCAACAAGGATGAGAAGTACAAGTAAGGGAGCTCTTCTCCGTCAGATGTTACAATCAGTTGACTCGAGGAACTTTCTAATATACTCACTGCCAAAAGAAATGCAAACCATAGAAACATATCGAGAAGTATGTACGTTAAGAAAAGATGTTTCCAATGTGTACCAATTAATGACAAAACTAACAATCAGAGTGTCTTTGTTCTTATCAAGACATGCTGCACGTGATTTCCAAACTTTACGCTAATCCTGCACAAGACAAATGGTGCCACTCGACTCATGGATCTATAACGTCACGGGACGTGTTTATGAGCATCTGTTCACACAACGTACCAGTATGTTCATTTGTGCGTCGAACCAATCTCGTATCTCTTGAATATAAATAAGTCTTCATATATTAACTAACATGTATGGTATTCACGTTTCTTTTGGCGGTGAGTATATATTGAATATTTGCCAAAATTGACATCAGTTCCTGCTGCTAGTGTGTGTGAAAGGGTTTTATTAAGGCTGAATATATTGGTGCCGTTCCTGTTACTCTTCACAGCCAACTTTGAACAATAAGGGAGATAACTTCGTTAACTATTGATGTTATGACTTGTCATCGATATGTTGCGATCAGGCCATGGATGTTTGCAATGCCTTTTTAGTTTGAGTAATTGATAAACCCCTACCTATTATTGAACTATGTATTCATATAAGAATGTATAGTTTACTGCACAAAGGATGTCTATGAGTTAAAATTCATGTTGAACTTTGTGAATAACTCTTCTAGCTTGATACCACATTATTTTTATCTCTTCTACAATCACACTGTTGATGAAGTTGAAATTGTGTGTGTTTGGTCACCATTGGAAATCTAATTTCAAGCAAGGTCACCATGGCAACTGTTTTGAAAATGTACTTTTGCCCCACTCTTCATGCACACTTCTATTTCCCACTGTCTGTTGCAGCTCTTTCATGACTTCTATAGCTCAGAAGTTGAATGATTACTGGAATGAGAAGAAGTGCGGAGGCAGTCGGGTCCAGGTGGCGCCAGCAGGGTAGGGTGAACACAATTCTCGGGTGAAGAGTAGTGTGAACACACTTCACAGGGGGTGAAGGGTAGGGTGAACACACTTCTCGGGGGAAGGGTAGGGTGAACACACTTCTCGGGGGAAGGGTAGGGTGAACACACTTCACAGGGGGTGAAGGGTAGGGTGAACACACTTCTCGGGGGGAAGGGTAGGGTGAACACACTTCTCGGGGGAAGGGTAGGGTGAACACACTTCTCAGGGGGGAAGGGCAGGGTGAACACACTTCACAGTGGAGAAGGGTAGGGTGAACACACTTCATAGGGGGTGATGGGTAGGGTGAACACACTTCACAGTGGAGAAGGGTAGGGTGAACACACTTCGCAGGGGGTGATTGGTAGGGTGAACACACTTCACAGGGGGAGAAGGGTAGGGTGAACACACTTCACAAGGGGAGAAGGGTAGGGTGAACACACTTCACAGGGAGAGAAGGGTAGGGTGAACACACTTCACAAGGGGAAAAGGGTAGGGTGAACACACTTCACAGGGAGAGAAGGGTAGGGTGAACACACTTCACAAGGGGAGAAGGGTAGGGTGAACACACTTTACAGGGGGAGAAGGGAAGGGGGAAAACATTTCACAGGGGGAGAAGGGCAGGGTGAACACACTTCACAGGGAGAAAGGGAAGGATTGCACCATAATCATTGTGAGAAAATATATACTGATGTAAAATGTGCCTGATCCTCCTTTTAAGCTGGGATATAATGACAATAAGACTACACAACCTTTTAAATATTACCTCCCTATGAATTAACGGTGTCAAATTGTCAAGATTCCTTATACCATGCAGTCATTGCGTTATGTTTTCCCCAGGAATCTCCCCGATTGGCTGTGGGCTCAGTGTGAAAACTGTCTCAAGTGGCGCCGTCTTCCTGATGGTGTCCGACAGACAGGACTCCCTGACAGATGGTTCTGTCATATGAACCCAGACGCATCTCACAAGTATGTTGTAGATATGTGTTCTTCATATAATATTATTCTGATTTAATCGTGATGTAATATCATTTGAAATACATGATTTTAATCAGTGTATTGTTAGGCCTTGGAACCGGTAGTCTGTAAATAGTGACTAACTAAAGTTGATATTGTTGAACATTACATTTGGAGGTAGCCGAACACATTTTTCCACATTGTCACTAAAAGTAGGTCTTCATTTTGTGATGAAATTTTCCATTCCATAGGACGGTCGTACAAATGGAAACAAGAGTAAGATTTCAGAAACATTTCAAAAGTGATCGCTTTTAGTATGTTGATAGCATGTTAATAAACGGAAAGTGTCCATGAGTTGGTCTCCAGCAACCTGGTCATGAAAGATGACTCAAGGGATCTGGTAGCCAGCTCTGTGACTTACCTCATAACACACTGACAGCGTGGATCGTTTTTCATATCAATCACTGGATTGTCTGGCCCAGACTTCATTATTTACAGGCAGTCACCTTTGTAGCAAGAATATTGCTGAGTGCAGGTTAAACAACACACAAACATTAAAAGCAGAGTAGTGCAAGGTGATGTTTTCCTTGTTGTTTGACCCCTGTCCCCTGTTTCAGTCGGTGTGATGTGGAGGAGGAGCCCGAGGATGAGGATGAAGCGTTAAACAGGCCGACTTACGAGAAGACATACAAGAAACAGCAGTAAGTAGCGGAGGGTTGATGAGTTTGTGAAGCCAGCCTTGCAGTCTACCAGTATTGGTTTCACATCAGTTCATGTTCTGGGACAATGTCAGATGTTTGTCTTCTGTTTCAGAAATGATGTACAATAATGTAGAAGAAGATCGTAGTTGACAAGATCATGTCAATGGCTTAGAATGTCCTGATGACTTTGAGTCAATGGGGTAGCCATGTGGTTAAAGCGTTTGCCTATCATGCCAAAGGCTTGGATTTCATTCCTGGCAACTGGAACGTATGGAGACCATTCCTGGTGTCCACGTGCCATGATAATGCAGAAATTTACAATTGCGTAATGAAAATATACTCACTCATTTTAGCAAAAATACCATGAGTTACCATGCCATTCCTTCTCCCACATCAGCCGCTGCTTACCAGCTTGACAAACATGTAAACTTGGTTCAGTTGTTTATTGTTTCGAAAAGAATAGTATGGTTGTGATTTCATCCCATGCTTTCATTGACCTTCACTGTCTCTTGTAGAAGTCATGTTGGAGGATTTGGGTTTATTGAGTCTTATTCCGTTTGTTTCAGGGAAGAGAAGAGGAAACTGTGCAAGATGGAGGAGGTAGCTATATGATGACTTCAGAGCTTGATTTATCTTCATAAAACATGCACCAGTGCAACTGTTTTTTGAAAAATGCAACCTAATATTTATGTCAAATGCACCAAGTGCGTGTCTAACTTTTGCAAATTGTGTCAAGACCAACAAGGGCGGGCGTGGCCTATGCTTGGTGTAAGAGATCACATAGTGGATTGTTGCTCATAATATCAATCCAGACTTGGTATTTTACAGGCCGCCATCTTGTGGCTGGAATATTGCTGAGCGCAGTGTTGAAAAGCAAACAAGCAAACCAGGTTTTTGCAGGTTTATTTTCAGAGTTATGGCTGTGTTGTGCTTATGAGACTTGGTATTCTTCCTCTGTTTCAGCAACAACGTCGGATACAGAAAGAGAGAGAACTACAGGACCGAGAGGTGGCAATTCAACGAACATTACAGCGTATTAATCAAGGAGAGGTAGGTACTTTGATTATTCATCGTAAAGAATACCATCGGCAAATATTATCTCCTATGAAGGATATCCCTGCAGAAAGTAATAGTTTCAGTGATGAACTTTTCCCTTTACATCAAGTCCTCCCCCTGGCATGGTTCTCCATCCCCCTTATACAGTGGGAGGTTTAGTCATCAGCATGGCTATCCATCTGGCCATTCATCTTTTATCAAGTCAATTCCAATGGTTTAGTGACCGCCTCCGTGGTCTTGTGGTAGAGCGTCCGCCCGGAGAGCGGAAGGTCCCGGGTTCGATCCCCGGCTGCGTCATACCAAAAGACATTAAAAGATGGTACTTGTTGTTACCCTGTCTGGCGCTCGGCATTAAGGGACTAAAACAAGGACTGGTCGGCTGAGTGGGGTATTCATGTTAAACTGCGGCATGGTATCTCAGTGAGCTAGCACTATAAATCGGCATCAGTCCGGACTAGTACAAGCAGCCACACACACACACACATACATGCACGTCGTTATATATGTGCAATAATCTTGGACGCGACGTTAAACCCAATTTCACCTCACCTCACCTCCAATGGTTTGGTATGGAGAATAAGTGAGAAAAGTGTCATTGTCAATGTCCAAGTTAAAAAGAGTAAGTTAGTGAGTATGGTTTTTACGCCACTTTTAGCAATATTCAGCAATATCACAGCAGGGGGCACCAGAAATGGGCTTCACACATTGTGCCCATGTTGGGATTTGAACCCGTGTCTTTGGCGTGACAAGCGAACGCTTTAACCAGTAGGCCACCCTGACCACTCCTTTAAAAAGAAAAAAATGAGTTCCTAGTATCCATCCCCTGATATCAATATTACTGTTAGTATTAACCTACACAACAGTAGCTTCACTGTTTTGTTATGAGGTTTACATCACTTCCTGTTTTTGATTATGCATAATCAGTATTCATACCACCTAGTTCGTTTCCGGAGCATAACTCATAAACCGTTCAATATTTTTTCATCAAACTTTGCAGGTCTGTCAGGTACATGCTGAACTGGTGCCTTTTGCTATTGAGAAATTTTATAAATTTTTATTTTTTACGTTTCCATGGCAACAAGATGGACTTAGGTTCTGTGAGGGTAGGGTTCGTTTCCGGAGCATAACTCATAAACCGTTCAATATTTTTTCATCAAACTTTGCAGGTCTGTCAGGTACATGCTGAACTGGTGCCTTTTGCTATTTCGAAATTTTAGAAATATTTATTTTTTACGTTTCCATGGCAACAAGATGGACGGAGATTCCAAACTCATCTTTTTTTTGACAATTATCATGACAAGTTCCACCTCGGTTAAAAAAGGTTAGGGTTTGTGTAGATTTAATTATGTCATAAATTCTCCAACAGGGGCGGGGGATATAGCCACATTAGTGGCAAACTCTTGTTAATTTAGAATCGATATTCATTAATTTGTATCACTACAGCATCGATATTACAAATGTATCAATATTGCGATATACGATGACATCTGTATGTGATACTGATGTAATAGAGGACTATGACATGCTATTTATTTTTAACCTGTGTCAGGTGACAAGTTCGAAGAATCAGATGCGGAAGGACGTGGTTAACCTGGAGAAGGCTCTGATCGAGTCGAAGAAGCGTGAGGCGCTGCAGAAGCGGCTGATCCTGCAACTCCAAGAGCAGAAGAAGCAGCAGGAGCAGCAGAAGGGGGAGCTGCTGAAGGCTGCCGAGAACCTCCGCGTCGTCAACATGGAGAACAACGTCAGTACCTTCCTCCTTTCTGTATGACCCTTGACCTTGGTGTCCCAGTCGTCTAAGGTGCTGTTGTGCTGGGAAACCTATGATCGTGTGTTCGAAACAAGATTTGCCCTGTTTATGTTTCTAGGTTTGTCAGCACCTGCATCACAAGGGGCTTTCCTCCCATGTCAGTGATATAGCTTCAATACTTTCAAAGTTGCATTAATCCAACTCTCTCTCACTCACTCCAAAATAATACTCTCACATGTGTGCAGAGTTGTCCCTTAGCTGGTTGTGGGCTGACACTGGTCAGGAAACAGGAGTATGATGTCCGTAAGAACCATCTTCCCGAGGCAAGTGAGTTAACTGACTATAAAAGTCCAGTTTCCACCCTTGCCGAACTAGGCTGGTATTATGGAGTTACATTTTGGCTGGACTAACGAGTCTATGCATAGTCCAATCAAAATCGCGCACCGAAATCGAAATTCGGTTCGTAGAGTGTCATGCAGATTTCGGTCGTCTGCAGGATTTGCAAAGCATGTGCACCGCTAACTCGTTGTCAACAGATATTTTCTAAATCTTTTCATGTTTTTAATCAAGGTGCTCACGTGATTTGATGCACTTCGCGATGTAAGACTTGTTTTATCACAATATAGATCTTGATTATCGATCAGATCGTCTTGACTGGGCGCCACCGTTTTGTTTGAAACAAATGCAAGTGATACAAAAGGTTGAATCTGATTGGTCAATAGGAGAGGCATAGAAAGGACATAACTTGTAATAGCCACTCGTGGCGCTACGATCGAGTCCAGGAATTCCAGCTTAGTTCGGCAAGGGTGGAAACTGGACTTTCAAAGTCAGTTATCTCTCTTGCCTCGGGAAGATGGTAAGAACTGAATAATACTCTATGTTGATTTTTGTCATGATTCACATGTGCCTCAAGCTGACATTTCAGCTTTAGAACAAAGTCATGTATTCATTGTGAAGTACAAGTTATATGTCTCTAGTGACTATTGTGTCTTTGCAGAACCTTCTAGAGAAAGCAGAAAATCTGGCAGGGAATTCACCCGTGTCATCCACAAGGTCAGTTACCATGGTGACTCTGTCTCTGTATGTAGAGTATTCAAATATCTATGTTTATTTTCAATTTAATGCAAGTATTTTTATTGTGTGGAACGGATGTGGTCCTGTACATTGGTATATCCATGCATACATGCATACTATTGAAACTTCTTTCTTTAAATAGTGGAGGATTTGACATGAATTTTATGTGTTGTCAAAAATTCTGTTGAATTTACCGTGATAAGTTAGAAACTTTACTAAAAGTGGTGTCAAACTATATTCACTCACTCACTCACTTCTACTTCTACTGTTGTTAAGACCCAATTCAGCTTCCTTATGGCAGCATGGACATTGCTACATATGTGGATAACAACATCATTATTGTTTGTGACAACATCTCAGGGCTACTTCTTGTCCCTTCATCAGCTCTTCCTATTTCTAAAGACTTACAGCAAACTACGTATATAACGAACACCTTTATAACAAACTGAAGGATATAACAATGTGCTTTTTGGTCCCGTCTATTTGCTGTATATATGCTGTATATATGCTGTTTACATGCTTATAACAAACTATGGTTATTATGAACTATAATTAGTTTTTTCGTTATGACCGTAGTTTACTGTATGTACCGTATTCGACGTAATAAGCGCCCAGGGCGCTCTTAAAATTAGAAATAGAGGCTTAAAAAAAAAAGAGTTAAAAGATCGGAAATTTCGTGGTTTATGCTGACAATCTGAAATGTTTATCTACGACAGGTATATTTTAATTTAATTGCCCGTAATTTAGGGTGCATATAACACACGAGTGCGTATTATATGCGAATAAATAAGTTCTTTGTACATTGATCAATATGAAAGGGTGTTCATTAGCCAATACATTAGCAAATATTGCCATGGGCGCTTATTACGTCAAATACGGTATGTGATGTTTCAAGTTTTTGTGCGTGTCATTTTCAGCGGCAACAACAAAAACCAGAACATGTGTTTCAAGACGGAGGATGGAGAGGTGATCAATATTGTGGAAAACGACGACCCTGCAAATCCTCAGGAAAAACAACGCAACACTGGAAAGCGAAAACCCGCGACCGAACTGATTGACCTGACCCTGGAGGACGAGGACATGCTGACATCATCCCCAACACCTAGCAAGATGTTCCGTACTGATGACATCAAACCGGACAAAGATGAACTGGATGAGCAGCTACTACAGAACAGTGATGGGGCAGAGGCAGGTGGCCCCAAGTCACCGGTCCAAGAAAGGAAAGGAACAGAGGGCACAAAAGAGAAAAGTAAAGACGTAAAACCAAGTATAGAAGAGTTGGACCAAGAGATAGATGTGTTGAGGAAAGCCAACAGTGATTCCAAGAAGCAGAGGAAAATGACTGTGAGCAGTAACCTGTATTCAAAATCAAAAGAAAAACAGATTGCTCCTCGGAAAGAGAAGGACAAGGATGCATTGTGCGATTCTGAAACTAAGCAGAGGTATGAGGAACTGAAAAAGATGTATTCTGCTAAATGTACAGAGGTGACACAGACTATGGAGGAGCTGAAGGCTTTACAAGACAATGTGCACAGGCTTCTGAGGATTATAGTGCCAGATGTGGAATTAGGGGATGCCAAAGACATTCGTTACATCGTGGAGGAGATGATCAGGGTTAACTCAGATGAATCGCTGTTGAATGCAGCGTCAGCCACGTGATGGAGGGGGGGTCTGTTCTTCCTCCTATGTGTCATATACGTGTAGCATTGTTTTATTTTTTTAAATGACTTGTGATGTGATGGACAGTGAACTGTCACAGAATTGAATCTGTTGTGTATAATTACATTGGACAGACAGAGGTCATGGGGTCACTTCCTGTTTGTAACAAGCTACTCAACTGATGTGCAAAGAAATTTGTTTTATATTTTCATATCAAAGTTTCCAGCCACTGAAAATCTCCAGCACAGGGACCACATTTTCCAAGCAGTTGGATCTTAAATGTCATTTAATGATTCATTATTTTAGAGAGCCCAGGACTTATTTGCTAAGATTAGTAAGTTTCGGATGGACTAGTCAGCCGTCACAGAGATTGGACACATGCATTCAGAAGAATAAAATGATTTCTGATGAAATTCATATGATTACTGTACTTCTCATGGAAGTTGTTGCATTCTGTTGCAGCCTGTAACTGTGACGGAGTAGTGGCCTTGTCAGATATCTGTGTATTTATAAACAGGATCAGCTAAAACCAAAGCTGCAAGACAACTTTGGCATGATGACAATGTTTTCCCACAGACTGCTTTTGATAATTATCTTTTTCTGATGAGTTAATGATAATTATCTTTTTCTGATGAGTTAATGATAATTATCTTTTTCTGATGAGTTAATGATAATTATCTTTTAGTGATGAGTTAATGATAATTATCTTTTTCTGATGAGTTAATGGTAATTATCTTTTTCTGATGAGTTAAGAAATTGTGGGTCTTGTTTATACTTCAGTTACAAAGCTGAAGGGCATACTCCAATAAATACTGAATGGTAGAATAATAATGTAATGTTATTATGTATGGACAGAATATAAGTGGATTCTGCAATCAGGGCATCATTGAATATCAGTATCAGAACTTCTTTGTCTTATGTTGTTTTTGAAACTCTGTATAAAGGTTATGTTAGACATAATAATTTGATGTAGGCAGCTGGTGTTACTCCTTCTCCAAGCTGGAGAATGACATCTGTAGTATATGTGACATTTAGCTGGTGAAGTTTAACAATGGTGAACTGCCTAAACTCAAAGGGCAATTACTGCAGAACTTATCTGGAAGAGGTACTTGCTACTCCCCAACAGTGTCACAGTGTGACAGAACTTATCAGCAAGCAGTACATGTTTTTCCCCGACAGTGTTACAGTGTTACAGAACTTATCAGCAACAGGTACATGTTATTCCCCGACAGTGTTACAGTGTGACAGAACTTATCAGCAGGAGGCACATGTTATTCCCCGACAGTGTTACAGTGTAACATAACTTATCAGCAAGTGGTACATGCTATTCGCCGACAGTGTTACAGAACTTATCAGCAGGAGGCGCATGTTATTCCCCTATAGTGTTACAGTGTAACATAACTTATCAGCAACAGGTACGTGCTATTCCCCGACAGTGTTACAGAACTTATCAGCAAGAGGTACATGCTATTTCCTAAGCATGTTACAGTGTTACAAAACTTATCAGCAACAGGTACATGCTAGTCCCAGACAGTGTTACAGAACTTATCAGCAAGAGGTACATGCTATTTCCTAAGCGTGTTACAGTGTTACAAAACTTATCAGCAACAGGTACATGCTAGTCCCAGACAGTGTTACAGAACTTATCAGCAGGAGTTACATGCTACTCCCCGACAGTGTGACAGTGTTACAGAGCTCATCAGCAAGAGGTACGTGCTACTCCCAGACAGTGTATCGATATGTAAGTTCCAGTCAAGTGGGTCACATTGTCAAGTAGAATTATCAAGTTTTGGATTTTCATGGTTACAAAGTCCATCTTGATATTGTAATCCAATTTCCTTTGTATCTGTCCATATGTGTGAGGTTGTTGTCCTCAGGAGTCCGGTATAACGACAGGAATTGTATCAGGACGATTAATTAACTATAAATTCTCAGGTAATTACAACTATAGAGAAGCGATACAATGCCGGGGTGGGGTTGTGATTGAGGTAGGACTACTTCATCATGTTTATCTTGTAGTTCATGAAGTAGTTGATGACAGGGGAAGCTCCAGGTTTTATTGGGGCGGTCGGGTAGCCTAGGGGGTAAAGTGTTCGCTCGTCATGTTCAATACCTGACATGGGGACAATGTGTGAAGCTCACTCCAGACTTTTTAGCTCTGCCCAATTTGAAATATATATAAACAAACTTTCTACTTCCTTTTGCTGAATGCTGAAATTTAAGATCAATATGATTCTTCCAAGAAGAGATTATGTGCAGTTTGTGATTCTTTGAAAGGAGAGGTAGGACAAGGTCCCTGTTTGGCCCTCTGGAAATGTTGAATTTTGAAAATGTTTGTTTGAAATTATTGGACATGAAATTAAGTATGAGCAAGTATGTCGCCCAAGATGAATGTTTTACCATAGTTTTTACTGTTTTTATCAACAGCGGGTGGCCATTTTATTACGTACAAAAATGGCTGGATACGTGAGAATAAATTTTGATATGATGTTTTTTACCTCAATATTTGGTTATTTGACCCTTGTTCCTCAATATTTTAAATATGCTCTTTGGAATTCCTAGTGTAGGCAAAGGGATGTTTTCCCAGATTTCTTGGATCAGATGCTCATGGCTGACCAGCCATGTGACAAGTGTGGTGGCAATAAACGACTTGTTATCGAACGGAATAATATTTTGTAAGTGTATATGTTTTTTGCAATTTACATTTCCCGCTAGTGTGTGTAATGATATGGCCACCCACTGTACTTCTTCTTTGAAAATGTTCTTCCTGAAAACCTATAAAATCCACCTGTTTCACATGTTGTCCTTTAATGCCTATGCATTTAATCATGTCATCAGTTCCAGTCATACAATTGTTAAAATGAACAAAATTTAGTTCTTATTCATTTATTGAATACGTCTGACAACTTTCATGGCAATTTCTAATATATAGCATTGTGCAAAAAAATCCGGAAATTTTCAGACATATATTTCAAAGAAATACATCATATATTCATGTTAATACGATAAACTGTGTAAGGGTCCATTCTTTCGCGAACACAATATTAATATTCTGTAAGGGTACCCTGTCTGTCGATACACCTGTTTGTACGCCTTGTTATACTGTATATTAATGAGTATGGTAGATTTGGGTAGATTCAACCATGTCTCAGTGATTGTCCTCTCCATCGCCCATGATTTCCAGGCTGCCACTCCTCATCAGTGTCAGCTATGAGCTGTCAGACATTTACAAGGTGATTACGTGAAGTGGCAAGAAAATCCATCATGACAACGTGGTTATCTGTAGACAAGCGTTTTGTGAACACTAACGTGTGGGGTTGGGCGTTGTCCTGCTGTAGCACACATGGAATGTTGCTTAGTCCCTTGGCAAATTCTTTGAGGCCTTCCTGAAGAATGTGACAATGTTAACGTTTCCCTCCACAAAGATCTGGGTGCCGTTGTACATAATCTCAGAGCTACAACTATCGTAAGTCTATATGATGAAGGTATGGGTGTTATGATTACCTTAGCGCTAAGATCATTTTGTACAACTGCACTGAGGGGTGCAACTCTTATCATGGCGATACATCCCCACACTGTCAGATGCAGTGAACACTTCGGAACCGTTTTCACGGATATCCATCCTCTGGACCATCTGATTTTTATGTTCTGTGGAACTGACTCAACTCTAAAAAATCTGACTCATCTGGAAAAATCACATTAACAAACCTTACCTGTACACCAGGCTAGGCATTTCTCCATATGTTATTAGAGGGGTTTTCCATGAAACTGATTTCCAGTAGCCAATATCGGGTAGAGTTCTACACGCTACCTCTGATGCTTAAGGACCCCCTCTTCTCCCAAAATCCAAACCAAGTTTAGTGGACTCATCAGATGAATGAGGGCAACTTGAGCAACATGTCGTCTGTTGTTAGCGTCATAAATGGACCAAACTGATAGGATGCACCACTGCCTGAACCTTATGCTTTTAGATTATCGTACATTGTAGAGAGAGGCATGCCGGTCATATAATGCAACTGGCTTGCAGTTTTCTACCATTTGTGCGGAGATAAAAGAGTTTCTTTTGTCAAGCTCTGACATGTTCTCAGATCTGAGAAGCTATTGTTTGCTTATGCATCATCACATGACTAGCCCTAAGAACATGGGAGATAACTCTGCAGATGAGCATGTACATACATATTTTCCTGATCAAATCACTGTTATCCCAGAATACCTGTCTTTTAAAAGTATATCATTTGTCCAAGTTTTAGGGGGGGGGGGGGGGGGGGCACAATTATTCCATTATGCAGAAGCTGTTGTCAAAAAAGAGGCCTCCCTTCTACCTCTTCCTTTGTGAAAGATACATACCTAACATGTCTTCACAATTTCTGCAAGGATATATCCCCATTGAGTCATGGCGGTCCGTGACAATGATGAACTATTTATGTCACATTGATTATAAGTGTTCTATATTCTGATGTATTTTGAGCCAAGCCCCAATCCAGTATGAACGTACAGTGGAGATTGTATGTTATTATCACTTTCTTTGACCTTGACCTTGAAATGTTGCCCAGTGCCATCAGTACTATAATTAGCATCCTTGGAATTTAGCCAAATGAGAAGATGTTTACTTGGATGTAGAAAGACTTTAGTGGCGAACTTCAACCAGAATGGTAAACTAAAGCGAAGCAGTCTTTTCACTGGTCTTCATGCCGACTCATTTTCTGATCACTTCAGTGAAAATTTTCAAACTCAAGAGTGCTTAGTTACAGTGACAACAAAAACACTACTACGTTATGATTCCAGAGTTTTCATTTTGTGATTCATTGATGAAGTTTTGGTCTTTGGAATGGAACCCTAAGTTGTGACAATTATGGCTTGGATACTGTTGGTGAAACATTATGGTAGTTGTAGGTGTTGGATAGATAGTTTACAGTTCAGAAATGTTTTTGTTTAGAAAGCAGAATTACAGAGCCAGAATTACAGGACCAGAAATACCTCTATTGATGTCATTCCAAACAGTTACAGACTTATATTTTTGTGAGTGGGTTTGGAACAGGCAAACCAGCTATAGATGGTGGGAGCACTCTCGTATTTACTCTTCACTCTCATTTCATTATGGGGTCGGTGGGGTGGCCTTGTGGTTAAGGCGCTCACTCATCAAAATTCTGGGTTTGAATCCCAAATTTGTCCCTGATCATGTTTCTACCCATGGTAGTGGGTGTCATCAAAGTAAACTTCTAAGACCTGTATTACTTGGGACTTTCCTCCCACATATAGCTGACATGCCATGATATAACTGAAGTATTGTTCAGAGCACTCATTTGTCTCATATGGCCTTCCACATAAAGCAGTTCTGCTGTGGAATAACTTAAATACTTTTCAGAGCGATGTTAAAACCTCACTCATGCACTCTTAAATACTAAAGTTATGTTCATTCAGTATTGACAAGCTGCATGACTTCCGCAAGGGAAGTAACTCTTTATCAAGCAGCGTGAGTAATACTTATCTCAGGAGAGACACTGTTACATTGTCCAACCATCACGTAACACGACGTCCGTAATGCAGTAGACGATTTAATGATCTCCACTGGATAATCACTTGATTGGCCTTTCACTTTCCCACATACAGGTTATTATTCATAAGACTTCTGGAACACATGTGGCCCAGTCGTCCAAGGCAACAAAATTCCCTGTGCAGCATTACAACCCTTGGGCACACAAGAAATCTATGATTGTGGCTTTAAATCGCGATTCGCTCTGATCATGTTTCTAGGTTTGTCAGCACCATATATACCAGTGCTCGTGGGTTTCACCAAAGTGGTAAATGTCTGAGACCTGGATCACTTTGGGTGTTCCTCCCACATCAAGCTGACATGCCGTGATATGGCTGCAATACTGTCAAAGTGTTTTTTACCCAACTTACTGTTTTACATGTGGAATTTAAGGACAGAATGGGCTAGTCTTGACTTGTTTTGGCCTGCAGCACTACCTCCCCAAGTCTGGGACAATACTCCATTATTGTGAATGTGTAGCTGGTATCTTGTTTGCAGCAGTTTGGAAGGTAAAAGAATACCATGCCAGTTAAAACGCTGGAAAGGCGGGAATGTTTGTTTCATTCAGTATACTCATTTGTACATTGATGGCTATGAAATCCTCTGATCCAGATTGACTGGGTTCCATCTTCCTGAGGCAAGGGAGTTACCTGACCGTAAAAGTCTGTTTAGTGTCAGCCTTTGATATAAAACATGTCAATAGGAGACATTTCCCGTTGACTGTTTTAGGTGTAAATAAGTTTTAGAGAATATGTGTTGTTTCCTCGTTTCATTTTCACACCAGGAATATGTTTGTCAACTTAAAATTGCATTTATTGTTGAAAGATTTTATCATGATTTTTGCATGTATGTTATTGTTAGCTTGAATATCTGTGGCATGTAATGATGTTGGATAAAATTAGCAAGGTTATGAACTTAAAAGGCTATTGAGAGTGCCAAAACTTTGTGCTGCATTAAGAATGTGTGTGAACCTTTGCAAGGAACCTTTATGAATGCTTCCAATCTCATTAAAATCAGATCTTAGTTCTCGCTACCGCTAAACAAAGATCTGAGGACATCCCATTAGGGGTCACGTCAGAACGACCCTTCATCCGACCAATCAGAGTGTCACTTACCAGATCATGAAAGTGACAGTCAGAATGTGATTTCTAATCATGCAGCCTCGAGAACTTTAAAACGGAGTATTCCGAGCGATAGTTACGGGCTTAACGACTGAATCTATACAATCTAGACCATATATTAGCCATTCGAGAATGTTCTTAAGTTCAGGTTTCAAATTTTTAAGCGAGAATTTTTCAAAATATGTTTTGAAGCGTAGTCGCCAATTTGAAATTATTGCCGTAAAGCACGAGAAAGCTGCCTTCTGATTGGCTAATGTCGATTTCTTGTCAGTAATTCCATTGGTCGGTCAGAGTTTGCGAAAGGTCGGTCTGACGTGACCCCTAATGGGATGTCCTCAGATCTTTGTTTAGCGGCAGCGAGAACTAAGATCTGATTTTAATGAGATTGGAATGCTTCTTGAGACCTGGTGCTTGGCATGTCCAACATGATCTGGCTGAGAGCTAGATCCTCTTACTTCCAAGTTATACTACTCAACTTTAGATAGGGAAAATCAGAATTGTATCATGGAAAGATAAAACAACATCCCTGTCAAAAGTGGTGTGGTGTTATTCATTTCTTGATCAGGTTCTTGGATACATTTCAACGAAACCAAAAATGTTTCTGTATCATTGCAAATTAACGATTTGAATAAGAACTGTTCTTAGTCTGTCTTACAGACCCTGATACAAATATATATTAAATACATCCCATGCAAGTCTATAATGTTTGGCAAGTCTAGATTACTGCAGTATCTGAAAATGAAGAGAGTCACTGGGCTCACATTTATTATATTTTTATTAAGATAATTGAACAACTGGTTTTTTTCTGTACGATATGTTAATTTCAGAGACTAGATGTTAGTCTAGACATGTTCTGTTAACTATATTTTGTCTGTATTAACATAACAATGGGAACACTTTACCTACACACCATGTTTGGGGGCATGGGTGGCCCAGTTGTCTAAGGTGCTGCGATTTGCTGTGCAGAGCTGCGTCCCTTGGGCAAGCCAGAAACCTATGATTGTGGGTTCGAATCCCGGTTTGCCCCAATTATGTTTCTAGGTTTGTCAGCACCTGCATCACTTCAGGCTTTCCTCCCACATTAAGCTGACAAGCCGCGATATAACTGGAATACTGTTTAAAGCGGCGTTAAACCAAACTCACTCACTCACTCACACACCATGTTTGCTTGAACACTGATGCTGAATACTGATTTTCTTTTGTGGCTTCATTCTTGTTATTTTCAAGACAAACCATTTTCAGATTAGACTTTTCCTCTGTAAAGTAGTTTTCCAAATAATGATTATTGTCTACTTGTGATCAAATAGTTCTTCTTTTCAGCAAGTATTGTACATACATGTATTTTGTACCTCACTCAGACCATTTATCTGTTTAATCATTGATCATTCCCAGTACACACAATCAGATTATCCCTGCGAGGCGTGACTTCATGACATCGAGATAATCCATCAGACCTCACACACTCAACACTCTAACGAATACCTGCAACAGTACTGACATCAGACCAATAAAAAAAAGATTTAGTCATTTGATTCTTATATTTACTCCAAACCACCGAACTTATGGCTCATATATCTATTAACCATGTGGGGCGGTCGGGCAGCCTAGTGGTTAAAGCGTTCGCTCGTCACGCCGAATAAAATTATGTAAGTTTTCAACAGACATTCTCTTCACTGCCAACATATTTATTAGTTGTGAGGAAAACTCTTTCCTCCACAGGAAATGCTACTGCACATGCACAAGGCAGGAAAACATCCCTTCTTTCAAACCCAAACTGGGGCGGTCAGGTAGCCTTGTGGTTAAAGCGTTCGCTCGTCAAGCCGAAGACCCGGGTTCGATTCACGTCATGGGTACAATGTGCGTAGCCCATTTCTGGCGTCCCCCGCCGTGATATTGCTGGAATATTGCTTAAAGCGGTGTTCAATCAAACTCACTCACTCACTCACTATAAACCCAGTACAAAAACACATAGGATGAGATTTGTTGCTGGACCTGATTTTGACATATTTTACGGCGCATTGGTGACAAATAGTACTTGATGTAGTATCGGTTGTCCCCCGTCTCTCTAAAATGATGGGATTACACCTGGTTGTTTTAATGAGTTTCCAAGATTTGTGTGTATAATTTCAAAGGGTTTCAAAGGGACACAACGCTAGCGTATAATGAATTTTGACCTTAAGAAATGTACAACCTTCTGAATAATAATTTCTGGTTGATTGCATATAGCGACATTTTCCTGTAGATTCTAGCTAGCTTGATAACTGTAGAAATCGAAATGTTGCCATATGCAATAAACCAGAAGTTGTTAACCATAGAGTTTCTTATGTATTCACCAACTCTTAGAGTGCCAAACAAACAGTAAATTTTGACCTTAATCTACTCTTAAGATCAGCTTGAAATACTGTTTTGGATTATTATTATTCTCCATGATAGAAACATGGATGGTAGCGATCAGTCAAGGTGTAAAAAAACACCTAATATTTCTGTCATGATCAATCCTGGTTTATTCCAGTTTTACTAATACCGTATTCGACGTAATAAGCGCCCTGCTCTAATTTGCTTATATAATGGCTAGTGAACAATCCCAATTAGCACCCCTTCCGATTGATCAATGTACACAAGACTTATTTATTCATGTATAATACGCCCACGTGTGTTACATGCACCCTTAATTATGGGCAATTAAATTCTGGAAAAATATATCTATAAACATTTCAGGCTGTCAGCATAAACCACGAAATTTATCTTTCAACTCTGTTTTTTCTCTCACCAAAATAATATTCTAATAAGAGCCCCCCCCTATTACTAATATTGGGCGCTTATTACGTTGAATACGGTACATGTACATGTGTATTTATATTATGAGATTTGTGTCACTCTTCAGGAAAAATGCACTGTAAACACTTCAAGCCTTCGTACAAACTGAATTGGTTGAAGACAATGTTTTAAAGCCATATTAATATTGTCTCAAGTACTATTTATTTAGGAAGGATAAGATATGTGGATGAACAACTTCTTCATTACAATTAGGCTATTTATTTATTTTGGCTAATCCTATTTATTTAGTTTCAATTGAAACAAGCTTTCTTTTCTTTACTTTATTGATCAATATGCCATTGAAGACCATTTCCTGTGTTAATAATGCATAATTGCAATGGAAGAGGACTGAAACTACTGAACATTTGATAGGGTTAAGAGATAGGGAAGCCTTTCCGGGTCACTGACTTCCAAGTAATTAGTAGCTATATGGCTGAAATAATGCTGATGCAAAGTTAAGTTTAACTCACTCACTCCAAGTTATTAGTTTGGTGCATCATGGAATTTGAGTAATAACCCTTTCAAAAGTTGAGCAGTATAGAGGTTTTTTCTTCTTGATTTCATCATATCCAGCAATTCATCAATTGGCACTTCTCAGACATATTGGTTCCTCCCACCCTGCAATACTATTAAAATGTTGAATTACAATGACTTGTGTTCTGTTTCATTGGTCTGTTTTCCTAGTGCGTGCGTGTGCACGTTACTGGACACAGAGGTCTGTTATATAACTTATCAGTCTGTGGTATATTACTGAACATGTAGGACTGGACCCAGTTGCACAAAGCTATCTTCTCGCTAAGGTGATTGTAACTCCCATACTTTAACATGGGCTTACGACAGTCATAGATTGCTGTGTTGTTTTTTTGTTTGTTTAACAACGTATTCAGCAATATTCCAGCTATATGACGGCAGTCTAATTGAGTCTGGACCAGACAATGCAGTGAATGACATGCGCATCGATCCATGCTATTGGGATACAATGACATGCATCAACCAAGTCAGCGAGCCTGATCACCCGATCCCGTTAGTCGCCTCTTACAAGCATAGTCGCCTTAAGATCACTTTGTGCAACGGGGGCCTGTTGTATAGCTGAACAGTCTGCAACATACAACTGAACAGAGGACTGGTGTATAACTGAACAGTTTGCAACATACAACTGAACACGGAGGTCTGGTGTATAACTGAACAGTCTGCAACATACAACTGAACCAAGGTCTGGTGTATAACTGAACTGTCTGCAACATACAACTGAACAGAGGTCTAGGGTATAACTGAACAGTCTGCAACATATTACTGAACAGAGGTCTGGTGTATAACTGAACAGTCTGCAACATACAACTGAACCAAGGTCTGGTGTATAACTGAACCAAGGTCTGGTGTATAACTGAACAGTCTGCAACATATTACTGAACCAAGGTCTGGTGTATAACTGAACAGTCTGCAACATACAACAGAACAGAGGTCTGGTGTATAACTGTACAGTCCGCAACATATTACTGAACCAAGGTCTGGTGTATAACTGAACACATGTTCTTTAGGTGTACCTGCACATTCGACTTAGTCATTTTGCACAAAGCTGTTGGAATACTGGCTGTATTTCGGACTGGTCATGTCTGCGGCTTGATGATACAAATGTTAGATCATATCCAGCTGGGTAAATGTCAATGTTCTCTTGGCTTTCATTGGACTTCCTGTAGACAATTGTAAGTAATAAGTTACATTGATAGTCTTAACTTAGCCAAATGAGAAGTGTAGGTGTATTTAATAACAACACTTAAAAACAAAAAGGAGAGGTGTTTCAGTCAATACACCTACAAACAAGACTGGAAGCATGGCATAGATTACTGAACACTCCACACATACGGTAAATAGAGTGTATGTAATCTGAAAGAACAAATGAAAAATAAAATAGTTTATTTCATCTTCATCAATCAAAGGATATCTTCTTGTATAAAATCAACAACAGTATATATAACATACAGCACACCATAACACACAAAGCCCTGACTTTAGAGGCCAAGGTACAAGCAAAGTCCACTGGAAATGTACCGTCACTCAAAATTCAATTCCAGCATTATTCCATTGGTTACGATGTAGATCATCCACATTCAAAACGTCACATCAAATTTGTCATTTTTCTAGTTCACTCAAAATTCGAACTACTTCCAAGTAAACTGACAATAAAAATGTGAAAACATGTAGACCACTGTTGACCAACTTACCAGTGGAGTTTAAAATGTTGTTTTCCTCACAACAAAAGTGTTCTGGTAAAGCTCAATTTACAATCCAAGTAACACAATCGATTTTATCATACAATAATACATATTTGCCATTGTTTAGAGAAATCAAATCACATATTTAAGCATGCAAATGAAAATACCCTTAGCTCAAAACATTTTACTGTTATTAAGGAGGCAACCATTATAATAATCGGGGGGTGGGGGGGTCAGCATGTCCAGCTTTTACCAATACTGTTATGAATTCGCTTTCATATAATATGCACCACTGCATGCTATAGTTAGTAACGAAATATTGAAAACTCTCAACATTTTAGGCTTATTCAATTATATGATTATGTTAGAAATGGATGTCAGGAAGAAGCAGAGGGCATGGTGGCACAACAATATGTCAGCAGTAGAAAGGTCAGGTGCTTTCATCAGTGGTAGACATCAATCACCTGCATCATTTCAGGCTACTTGCACCCTCTAGGCTGACACATCTTGACATAACCAAAATATATTTGGCCCAAATAAGACTTAAACCCAACTCACTCACTCAAGAAGAAACCAAAATACTCTTAGAACTTTCTAAAGATGGCCATTACATTTCCAGATTTATAACTACAGGTAGACACATTGTAGGTCATTAAATCAAAAACAATTACCTGGTAGATCTTTGATCACCCTACTGAGTAGAACCGATATACAACCAGTTCTATCCTACATCAAGCCTAATGAAGCTTACAGCAAATATCTAACTAACAGCAAAACCATTATCAAATGAACTTATCTAAATATACGCACACACAAACAGTTCTCTTGGATTGGATTTGGTGGACAATTATTGTAAATCTGGAGATTGTCCATTACCATTATCAAGCAGGTCGTAGTTGCCAGCAAACCGTCTGGAATTGACCTAGGGCTGGTACCCCCCCTCATTACTCTACCCGGGTACCTGCTGTAGGTCTCAAGAGATTGGTCCAAATGTCTGATGGGAATAGTTTTCTTGTACTCCTGTGTCCACGATCTCTGGGGTATCTTAGGCATTAAACAACATGAGATCAACATCATTTATACATATTTACATATTTTCCAATGATGGAAGTCTGGGGAACACTAAGGCAGCTTGGTGTTTAACTTCAGGTGCATATTATTCTATTTACTACGTGGGAGGATTCGGACATTATCCAAACCAATGCTGGCCTTGACAGTCTCGGTCCCAAACCTTTTCGCACACCCAGCACCAGTCCTCCCCACACCGTGGACACAGCATGTGCATACAGCCGCCTGGAACAGAGTGAGTGAGTGAGAGCGTGAGTGCGTGAGTGCGTCAGTCATTATTAGGTCAACATGTTGGCGTGGGGCAAGTGTGACTGTGGTCCTACTCCAGTTTCTACACTGTGTGCGTCGGTCATGCTCCTCACAGCTATATCCCATTTGCAGAGCTCTCTATACAATCGCTGCCACCGAAAAAGCTCCCCACTGTGATAGGTGGCCACAACCATGCTTGGAGTTGAACTCTCAGTCGACTAACTGTTTTGATGACTGTTAGCAAACTGATGTATTTGTTTGTCAATTTGAATTTCTATTTCATTACAATTATCATGTAGTTGACATAGTAAGAATGTAAGGGGGAAGTTGGTTGATTCTCGTTCGTCTGTAATCTCGAACCAAACCAATCAAACAAACAAAAAGTTTAATTCATCTAGGAAATAAAATCAGTCGTGAACCCTTTCAAAATTTACTATGATGACATTGCCAAAGACATAAACAAAAGTATGAACATTACTACATTTGGGGTTATGGGGCAATTGTTTTCAAGATTCTTGTAATGGCCACACCCACACTGGTGGTTACCGAGAGTGTAACGAAGGTGTCACGTGCTGGGAAGGAGCTCAACATCTGTTTACAAAGGGGCATAACTCTTGTGGCCCTTCTTGCATACCACTAATAATATAGTTACCTCACAACGATGAGATGTTGACCACTTCCTCCAGAAGATATATTCCAGGGGGCTTATGGGATAGGTAAGCAACCCAAACAAGGCCATTAAATTTTGGTCCCTTTAAAATATGACATGCCATTGGGGTGCCAATATGGATTACTTAAGACTTGGTTTATTGATACATATGTATATGTAGACTCCTCTGGGTTCCTTACTGACCGTTTCTCTCTGTCCTGGTGCCACACTTGGGGCAGGGCTTGGTGGTGCGGTCTATCAGGGACCGGGACTGGTCCTCCCACCGGGACCGGTCGGCCTGGAGCGGGTCCACGGAGTAGTCCTGGGGAGACAGGCACCACACAAACACTGAACCAGCTCTCTACACCATAGCCAGTAACACCACACTTACAACACAGCAGGAAGTCCTCACACAAGTTTGTTGTTTAACGCGCACTCAGCAATATTCCAGCTATGTGACGGCGGTCTGTAAATAATTGAGTCTGGACCAGACAATCCAGTGATTGACATCATGAGCATCGATCCATGCAATTCGGATACGATGACATGCATCAACCAAGTCAGCGAGCCTGACCAAACGATCCTGTTAGTAGCCTCTTATGGCAAGCATAGTCGCCACTTATGACAAGCAGCGACTGCTGAAGACCTTGTCTATCATGTACTGTGTATCATGTGGCAGCCTTACTGTCAAGATATTGCATCTAGCAATCTCCTCCCTGGTCTTAAAAATCAGTCCTGGAAACCCTTCTCTGCGTCACTACTTCTAATTCCCACTCGTTACCTTTGCTATCATGTTATATGTAGCCTGAGCAGGCACTCATGCATGAATATGGCGCAGTAGAAATGTCCATTATCATAATTATTATTAAGATTCACATTGTACCGTACAGTACATGTCAACAGCTCTACTTGAATCCAAACAAGGACTGAATAATTAAAACTAACACAAGACCTTTTTATGCCTGATCTCACACGGCTCTCAGTGTATCTGTGTTGAACACACATCTGAACAGGGTTAAACACAGCCATTTTAAAGGTTGCCCTAAGTTCCTAAAATATACAGCATCCTGTCACTGGCAGCATCTTCGTCACTTACCAGAGTCGGAAGTTGGAGGAGAGGATTGACATCACAGGGGCCATCATGGTACTCATTCTTGCAGTCACGACAAAATGTCATCTGTAACATTAGTGAGTGAGTGAGTGAGAATTGTTTTACGCCGATTTTAGCAATATTCCAGCAACATCACGGCGGGGGACACCGGAAATGGGCTTCACACATTGTACCCATGTCGGGAATCGAACCCGGGTCGTCGGCGTGACGAGCGAACGCTTTAACCACTAGGCTACCTGACCGCCCCTGTAACATTAGTGATGAGAGATGTAGCAGTATGCTAGCAATATGGCAGGGGCCACCAGAGGGCCTTAATGGGCTTCACACATTGTACCCATATCACACTAGTGAGTGAGTATGGATTTATGTCGCTTTTGACAATATTCCAGCAATATCACGGCGGGGGACACTGGAATATGGTCTATACACATTGTGGGGAATCGAACCCGGTCTTCGGCATGACGAGCCAACGCTTTCGCCACTAGGCTACTCCACCACCCCATGTCACACTTGTGGGAGGCTGATAAACAGTCAGCTTACGAAAAGTTCCTGAATAAGTGTACTGTCCACGACAGAGCCTATAAGAATATTTTGCCTACTGATCGTATAAAGGTCAGACAACTCCTGGCCAATGCCACTGTTGTTAGGCAGACATTTTGCAACACCTGTTACCTATGCATGAAAACAGTTGATCTAAAATTTCTTAATAACCAATCAGAAGGACACAATTATTCTTACCATACAGTCTTTGGCAACACAGGTGACTTTTCTCCCTGCTGCGTCAAGGACGAATCCCATCCCACATCCTGGTCCCGGGCACAGCACGCCGCCATCTTGTAACACATACTCCTCGGCTGCGAACGTGTTGAACCGCTCATACTGCAACACCACATAATACATTTTCACAAGCTGATATTGGTGGAATTACATGATTTAATTTCTTCCCCATTTCTCTGAGAGGATTCTGGGTTAGAATAGGTCACCAGTAAACCATGCCTGTCTTTCCTGAGAGTTTTTGGGTATGAATATGTCCCAAGTACCTCTTGCTTTTTTGACATGACTAAACTTTGGATCAGGGGCTCAGGCTCTGTGACTTTCCTGAGTGTGTGTCGCTGGTTTTCCTGGTCCAGACCCTACTATCTACAATGCCTGTGGCAATGAACAACATTTATTCACTCACTTGTTGGTTCATAGTTTGAAAAGGGGAAAATTTTACACCATAATTAGTTATCTTCAGTGTACCCCCTCTCACCTGTGTGATTTGAACCCCTCTCACCTGTGTGATGTGAACCCCTCTCCCCTGTGTGATTTGAACCCCTCTCCCCTGTGTGTGTCAACCACTCTCACCTGTGTGACATGAACCCCTCTCACCTTTGTGACATGAACCCCTCTCACCTGTGACATGAACCTCTCTCACCTGTGTGTGTCAACCACTCTCACCTGTGTGACATGAACCCCTCTCACCTGTGTGATTTGAACCCCTCTCACCTGTGTGTGTCAACCACTCTCACCTGTGACATGAACCCCTCTCACCTGTGTGATTTGAACCCCTCTCACCTGTGTGATGTGAACACCTCTCACCTGTGTGACGTGAACCCCTCTCACCTGTGTGATTTGAACCCCTCTCACCTGTGACATGAACCCCTCTCACCTGTGACATGAACCCCTCTCACCTGTGTGTGTCAACCACTCTCACCTGTGTGACATGAACCCCTCTCACCTGTGTGATCTGAACCCCTCTCACCTATGTGATGTGAACCCCTCTCACCTGTGTGACGTGAACCCCTCTCACCTGTGTGATTTGAACCCCTCTCACCTGTGTGATGTGAACCCCTCTCACCTGTGTTATGTGAACCCCTATCACCTGTGTGACGGGAACCCCTCTCACCTGTGATCTGAACCCCTCTCACCTGTGATATGAACCCCTCTCACCTGCGTGATGTGAACCCCTCTCACCTGTGTGATGTGAACCCCTCTCACCTGTGTGATGTGAATACCTCTCACCTGTGTGACATGAACCCCTCTCACCTGTGTGATTTGAACCCCTATCACCTGTGTGATGTGAACCCCTCTCACCTGTGTGATGTGAACACCTCTCACCTGTGATCTGAACCCCTCTCACCTGTGATATGAACCCCTCTCACCTGCGTGATGTGAACCCCTCTCACCTGTGTGATTTGAACCCCTCTCACCTGTGTGATGTGAACCCCTCTCACCTGTGATGTAAACCCCTCTCACCTGTGTGATATGAACCCCTCTCACCTGTGATGTGAACCCCTCTCACCTGTGTAATGTGAACCCCTCTCGCCTGTGTGACGTGAACCCCTCTCACCTGTGTGATGTGAACCCCTCTCACCTGGGTGACATGAACACCTCTCACCTGTGTGACATGAACCCCAGTCACCTGTGTGAAATGAACCCCTTTCACCTGTGATGTGAACCCCTCCCACCTGTGTGATGTGAACCCCTCTCACCCGAGTGACGCGAACCCCTCTCACCTGTGTGACATGAACCCCTCTCACCTGTGTGATGTGAACCCCTCTCACCCGAGTGACGCGAACCCCTGTCACCTGTGTGACATGAACCCCTCTCACCTGTGTGATTTGAACCCCTCTCACCTGTTTGATGTGAACCCCTCTCACTCGTGTGACGTGAACCCCTCTCCCCTGTATGACGTGAGCCCCTCTCCCCTGTGTGATGTGAACCCCTCTCCACTGTGTGACATGAACCCCTCTACCCTGTGTGACGTGAACCCCTGTCACCTGTGTGACATGAACCCCTCTCCCCTGTGTGACGTGAACCCCTCTCCCCTGTGTGACATGAACCCCTCTCCCCTGTGTGACGTGAACCCCTCTCCCCTGTGTGACGTGAACCCCTCTCCCATGTGTGACATGAACCCCTCTCCCCTATGTGACATGAACCCCTCTCCCCGTGTGACGTGAACCCCTCTCCCATGTGTGACATGAACCCCTCTCCCCTGTATGACGTGAACCCCTCTGCCCTGTGTGACATGAGCCCCTCTCCCCTGTGTGACGTGAACCCTTCTCACCTGCACATCTCCCAGAAGGTGGAAATGGTGGCTCTCCTGGATCACTGAGTTGGGACAGCCAGCTGAAAAATACCATGTCTGATACAACACCTTGCAGATATTTATGTGGAGTTGTAAAGAGGATCATATTTATCTGCTTTTGATTTATACCAGAAAAGAAAATGTCTAATTACTGAAACATCAGGGCCCTGAATGTTTTACTGACCAGGTGAGGCAGGGTGTATCTAGCCCTGAATGTTTTACTGACCTGGGCAAGGTAGGGTGTATCTAGCCCTGAATGTTTTACTGACAAAGAGCAAGGTAGGATGTATCTATTCCCGAATGTTTTACTGACCAGGTGTGGCAGGGTGTATCTTGACCTGAATGTTTTACTGACCTGGGCAAGGCAGGGTGTATCTTGCCCTGAATGGTTTACTGACCTGGGCAAGGCAGGGTGTATCTTGCCCTGAATGGTTTACTGACCTGGGCAAGGCAGGGTGTATCTTGCCCTGAATGGTTTACTGACCTGGGCAAGGCAGGGTGTATCTAGCCCTGAATGTTTTACTGACCTGGGCAAGGCAGGGTGTATCTTGACCTGAATGGTTTACTGACCTGGGCAAGGCAGGGTGTATCTTGCCCTGAATGGTTTACTGACCTGGGCAAGGTAGGGTGTATCTTGCCCTGAATGTTTTACTGACCTGGGCAAGGCAGGGTGTATCTTGACCTGAATGGTTTACTGACCTGGGCAAGGTAGGGTGTATCTTGCCCTGAATGTTTTACTGACCTGGGCAAGGCAGGGTGTATCTTGCCCTGAATGTTTTACTGACCTGGGCAAGGCAGGGTGTATCTTGACCTGAATGTTTTACTGACCTGGGCAAGGCAGGGTGTATCTTGCCCTGAATGTTTTACTGACCTGGGCAAGGCAGGGTGTATCTTGACCTGAATGGTTTACTGACCTGGGCAAGGTAGGGTGTATCTTGCCCTGAATGTTTTACTGACCTGGGCAAGGTAGGGTGTATCTTGCCCTGAATGTTTTACTGACCTGGGCAAGGCAGGGTGTATCTTGCCCTGAATGTTTTACTGACAAAGAGCAAGGTAGGATGTATCTATTCCCGAATGTTTTACTGACCAGGTGTGGCAGGGTGTATCTTGCCCTGAATGGTTTACTGACCTGGGCAAGGTAGGGTGTATCTTGACCTGAATGTTTTACTGACCAGGTGTGGCAGGGTGTATCTAGCCCTGAATGGTTTAATGACCTGGGCAAGGCAGGGTGTATCTTGACCTGAATGGTTTATTGACCTGAGCAAGGTAGGATGTATCTTGCCCTGAATGTTTTACTGACAAAGAGCAAGGTAGGGTGTATCTTGACCTGAATGGTTTACTGACCTGGGCAAGGCAGGGTGTATCTTGCCCTGAATGTTTTACTGACCTGGGCAAGGCAGGGTGTACCCATACTCGGGGTGCTTAATGAACCTGCGTTCACTCAGCTGTGTTATTCCATAGAACTTGAAGCATTCAATGCACATCACATGTCCCGACTCACAAGGAAACACGAGCACTGGAGATCTGCGGAAATATTTCTGTTTTAAAAAAGATAATAGTACAAAGGTAAAGTGTTTAATGCTGCACTTGTGCACAATATCCCAGCCGTATGACGGTGACCTGTAAATTATCAAGTCTGGGCTAGGTAACCCAGTTATGGAGTCAGGATAGGACAACATAACCAAACAAGTCAATTCCTATGACCAGCACAGGTTGCTAGGGAACAATTCTAACCCGGAAACCCTTCCTGGTTCATATATCTGTACTCTCGCGATATGTCAAACAAAGTCATGATTGCACAATTAGAAACTGTCCGTTGTACAGTGGACCGGTGAAGATTCTGCCGTAAATGGTGACTATGATTGTCGTAAAAGGCGACTAACGGGATCGGGTGGTCAGGCTCGCTTACTTGGTTGATGCATGTCATCGATCCCAATTGCGTGGATCGATGCTCATGATATTAATCACTGGATGCTGGTCCAGACTCGATTATTTACAGACTGACGTCATATAGCTGGAATATTGCTGAGTGTGGCGTTAAACAACAAACCAACCAACCAACCGTTGTACTGTGGTCGGTAATATTTTTCAGATGAACTAGAAGCCATTTGAGTTGTCTGAACAAATAAGGTCAGGGATCATGAATATTTTTAGGGGTATGTTTTTTGCAGTGAAGAGCACACAATTTCATCAGTAATATCCCCCAAATTACTCATGATCCGTAACCTTTTTGTTTAGTACCGGAATATTTTTAATAAATATTGATTGATTTTTGTGATATCTACTCTACCCAATTCTTCTTACTGTCACATTTAATGTCTGTTGGAGCAAAACAGGTTTTGTCCTGCCTGACCAGTGACATATTGGAGTTATTTCAAACAGTTTGCAAACATAGCTTTTGAGATATTCTGAAATATTCCACTTTCATCACACCAAGACCATAATTTAACCCACGTCACCTCACATCTGCACAGGTTATGCACTCAACTTCCCGCCTGTTTGGTCGGACATGTCGTAGACTGGCAGCTGATAGGCCGTCTGGGTGGGCCTGCACACATTTGAACACAAACTCCTGAAATGATTATATCCTAAATTCAGACATGTTACCACGTAATCATCAGAACCAGCTCCGACACACACACGAATCTATCTTCACTTCCTTGACAAGGTCCAATAAGGGTGCATCCATTCGATTTCTATTGGGGGTGGGCGCCAATGATGGGGCCGATTTTTAAAATGAATATTTTGTTCAGAAATATGTACTAAACATATAGTGTTGGAAGTGGTAAAAAAACATTGTCGTGGAAAATACCCAAACATCAATTTGTTCGTGTTAATACAGAAAATGAAAAGATTGTTTGATGATGCTCAGTAATTAAATAGTTCGTTGACTACAAGTTAAATGGATGCTCCCTTAGCTGTGTCATAATCTAATCAACATTTATCACTAAATATAGCTGTTGATAAAAAAATGACCATCAGAAATATCCCTTAAAATCCGCTAAGCTACAGGCACTCCTCAAAATGTTTCTGTAAGCTGACCAACCAATCAAGTCATTTGTTACCCTGAAGTCTTAATCACATGTAACTAGTCAACAAGAAAACTCACAATAACGTATATTGAATCAGAGTAACATAGGTACATACGTTCTCCTTCATTATATTGAAAATTCATCATTTACAGGTCTGAGCCTACTAGGGGGCACGGGTGGCCAAGTCGTCTAAGGCGCCGCAATTCGCTGTCCAGAGTTGCACCCTTGGACACACCAGAAACAGCTATGATTGTGGGCTCGAATTGCGGTTCGGGCTAGAATTGCTGTTCGCCCAATTATGTTTCTAGGTTTGTCAGCACCATACCTGTGCTCATGGGTTTCACCAAAGTGGTAAACGTCTGAGACCTACATCACTTCGGGCTTTCCTCCCACATCAAGCTGACACGCCACGATATAACAGGAATACTGTTCAGAGCTGCTTTAAACCCAACTCACTCACTCACTCAACCTTATGCATTCATTGATAAACAGTACATAAAAATTATGCACGTCACTTTGCAAAATATCACAATTTTCAAATTTGGGAATGAGAAGAAGACCAATGTTCACCAGCATGACGAGGGAAAAGCATTTGTATGCAATGAGTGAGTGAGTGAGTTGGGTTTAACATGGCTTTTAACAGTATTCCAGCTATATCACGGCATGTCAGCTTAATGTTGGAGGAAAGCCCCAAGTGATGCAGGTCTCAGATGTTTACCACTTCGGTGAAACCCATGAGCACGGGTTTGGTGCTGACAAACCTAGAAACATAATCCAGGTGAACCGGGATTCGAACCCACAATCATAGGTTTCTGGCGTGTCCAAGGGACGCAACTCTGCACAGCGAATCGCGGCTCCTTAGACGACAGGGCGACCCATGCCCCCTTGTATACAATGAAAAGACCAGACAACATTTCTCAACCAAGCTGTTGTTTTGCAGTGTTGTTTGAATAAATTTTGTCTCTGTATGACTAATGATGCCATTGTTGCGTGCCGTGATATAACTGGGATACTGGAAAAAGCGGCGTTAAACCCAACTCACTCACTCACTGAACCTACCAAATTTGATTGTAATGACCTCAACTTCTACAAGGCTTTGTAATAGTCTGCTCCCTGTCATGTCATGTGATGCTAAATCTGGGAGGAATATCTCTCTGGAATCCACTTACTGCAGCAGTCGCTTCACAGCTGCCATTCTTACACTCCCCACCCATGCTCCTTGACTGCAGCACATCGCTCCAGCCCTCAGGGTCCTGCAATACAGTGCAGTCTACATCAAAATGAATGGAACAAACTTGCTATTAATAGTTCAGGATTTTTAGCACTGAGCCTATACATATTTAACCCTGTTCTGTCAACAACAACAAAATTAGTCTGAATTTCAGAAAAAGAATACAAAATGACAGTGGAATTAAGAAATAATTGACGAGTGAGAGTTGTTTATTGTACAATAAAACACTGCAGGGAGAACAAACCATGAGTTGTGCAGCCCCGAGTGGTTTATTCTCCCAGCCGTGTTTTATTGTACGATAAGACTACCTCCGTGGTCAAGTGGTAGAGCGTCCGCCCGGAGAGCGGAAGGTCCGGGGTTTGATCCCCGGCCACGTCATACCAAAAGACGTAAAAAGATTATACTTGTTGAAACCCTGTCTGGCGCTAGGCATTAAGGGGCTAAAACAAGGACTGGTCGGCTCGGAGTCAGTATACTGTGTCTGAGTGGGGTATTCATGTTAAACTGCGGCATGGTATCTCAGTGAGCTAGCACTATAAATTGGCATCAGTCCGGTCTAGTACAAGCAGCCACAGACACACACACCCGTGCATACACGTCGCTATATAAGTGCAATAATCTTGGACACAACGTGAAACCCAATTTTACCTCACCTCACCTATTGTACGATAAACAACTGTGAATCGTTTATTTCTTACATGAGATATCAACATTGTGTACAGCCTCTTCAAGGATGTTGATAAAATGTACAAATTTTAGAAATATTTACCAAAATTTCAATAATGATGACACCCTGAACAGAATCCGACCTCGGAAATGTCAGACAAGTCCATTTTACGAACAGATGGGTTAAGTTTGGTAATTCCCGTATATTCTCACAATTCTCATATCGATTGTCAGTACCTTTACCCCTAATACCGTTTGTCACATCTCTCCCACTCTTGGATGAGATCATTCGGTCACTGTGTTTATCTGCGTAGCCCAGCTACCACTATGGGGAACAACTTACTAGACACTTTTCTGTAAAAAAATAACGACAACCAATATATGATGTCATCAAGTTGTGAGCACTTATTCAAATCACCAGAAATAACATCATGAGAACAATGTTTTATTGTGAAATGAACCATGCTTCATTCTTCATTGTTCTTTGCGATTTATCCTGTTTATCACGTAGCTATCTTATATATAATAATCGAATCAGGACAATATGTGATAAATGATCAACACTGTTTGGGTACAAGGACACACCAAGTCACTACCTCCCCAATTCATTCAGACACATTTCAAGACCAGCTTGGATTGCTGCGGATAAATTCTAACCTGAAATCCTCAAATGAGAGGTAACAGGAGCCATGCCACTAAGTAATTTTTTTAGGCCTAGAATATACAAATGCCATACTAACCCTGCTCAGAACAAAGGCCCCATCCTTGCACACAGCACACTTGACTCTAAGCTTGCCCGGCTGTATAGACTGACATTCCTTACAGTATACGTAGTACTGGTTTTTCAGCTCACTCCCCTCACCTGCTGCAAGATAAAAACACTATATTACCCTGCTGTAAGATAAAACACAATATTACCCTGCTGCAAGATAAAACACAATATTACCCTGCTGCAAGATAAAACACTATATTACCCTGCTGTAAGATAAAACACAATATTACCATGCTGTAAGATAAAACACAATATTACCCTGCTGCAAGATAAAACACAATATTACCCTGTTGCAAGATAAAACACTATATTACCCTGCTGCAAGAAAAAACACAATATTACCATGCTGCAAGATAAAACACTATATTACCCTGCTGCAAGAAAAAACACAATATTACCATGCTGCAAGATAAAACACTATATTACCCTGCTGTAAGATAAAACACAATATTACCCTGCTGCAAGATAAAACACAATATTACCCTGCTGCAAGATAAAACACAATATTACCCTGCTGCAAGAAAAAACACTATTTTACCCTGTTGTAAGATAAAACACAATATTACCCTGCTGCAAGAAAAACACAATATTACCCTGTTGCAAGAAAAAACACAATATTACCCTGCTGCAAGATAAAACACAATATTACCATGCTGCAAGAAAAAACACTTTATTACTTGCCCGTGAAGATACAGCTTTATTACACACTGTGTAATACCAAAACACGTGCTTATGTACTCTCGGAACACGTTTCACGAACAAATATTGAAAGCTCTCAACATCCCTTGGCGTATTCAACGACATTGTGTGTGGAGATGATAGATCACTGGGAGGAGCTTATGCACACTCGATGACCCCAGCAACCTTGTTGCTAGGCTGACGTCACATGGCATTGTTTCGCCGATGGATCTTGCAACAAAATTCAACAAATGACGTCATCGGGTATTGTGATGTCATTGTAAACTTTGAGCTGCAAGGCCCCGTTCCACCAGGTGATCGTACTCTAGCGCAACGAGAGTCTTTAGTCTAAGTTAAATTATGTGAGTTGTGATAGCCTTAGCACTACGATAATTTTGTGGGACGAACGCCTGAATTCTAAAGTTGGACCATTGTATGATATTAAATTCATACGTTTCAACTTTTGACGTGTTTGAAGTATTATTCTGTTAAACTCAATTGGATTATGCCATGGATCGTGTAGGTGTCAGCCTATTTACACTCAACAGTATAATTCTAAAACCCTTATAAATGACAAGTAATAAATAAAATACTAAACTCGCTCTCGTGTAAAACCAATGTTATGAAACTCGTGAATAGTTGTGGTATCTGACGAGCGAAAGCGAGTCAGATACCACAACTATTCACGAGTTTCATAACATTGGTATTACACGGGAGCTCGTTTAGTATTCTATATATGTTACCCTGCTGTATTTAGTGTAAGATAAAACACAATATTACCCTGCTGCAAGAAAAAACTACATTTCTTAAATTTGGCTTATGGATTCCACCAACTAAAAATAATGAAAAGTGGAAAAATCTGCAATTTCTGTATTCTACAAGTGTACAAATATCCTTTCAGCAATGTAACTTAAGGAAGTAGTTTAGGCAAGCCTGAGTCACAAAGCAGGTTCCTGATGCAGTCCCTAATCATTGCTAATGTACCGGTAGGCATGAACCAACTCCTCTTGCGTAATCTCAAGGGGCTGAACCGTTGATCAAATAATTGCTTGGTTAAGTGACTGCAGTTAAATGTCAACAGTACAAATATAAATCTTACCTTCTGATGTTAGAGTTTTTTCACGCCCTGAAATCTGTCGGAAGATGTGAAGAGTGCTTTGATCACCAATATCCAAATCCTGAGTGATAAAACATTTTTTAATTAAAATCAACATGACATCACGATGTGATAGACACACTGTTTTTTTATATTTTAGTCCGTGGATTCCACTGACTGAAGCCAAAAGCCACATGAAAATATAATTTCTATTAATGTGACTTCTCCAGCTTTGGTTGATTACAAATTGAGAGATACAACTACAAAAGTCTTAAGGTGAGGTGACATGAAGTAGAACATCACGTCCAAGGATATTGCACTTAAATAGTGACGTGCATACACGTGTATGTGTAGCTGCTTGTACTAGTCTGGACTAATGCCTATATCATATTTCTAGCCCACTGAGATACCATGCCGCAGCTTAACATGAATACCCCACTAAGACACAGTATACTGACTCCGAGCCGACCAGTCCTTGTTTTAGCCCCTTAATGCCAAGCGCCAGGCAGGGTAACAACAAGTACCACATTTTAATATCTTTTAGTATGATGCAGCCAAGGATCGAACCACGAGCCTCCAGTCTCCTGGTGGACACTCTACCACTAGACCACGGGGGCAGTCACAAAGGTCTTAAAATATTATAGTGACTAAATAACAATAGATCAAAGTATTGTACATGTATGTTGTATGTATTCTCCAAAGTTAAACTTAATGAGTTACTGTAACGATACTAAACAATAGCATCCTCTTCCACTTTAAACTGACAAACTCATCAACTTGTTGCCAAATAACATTGACCCGTGAAGATTCTGGGGTAGAATAGGTCTTCAGCAACCCATGCTTGCCATAAAAGGCGACTATGCTTGTCGTAAAAGGCAACTAACTGGATTGGGTGGTCAGGCTCGCTTACTTGGTTGATGCATGTCATCGATCCCAATTGTGTGGATAGATGCTCATGATGTCAATTACTGGATTGTCTGGTCCAGCCTCGTTTATTACCAACCGCCGTCATAAAGCTGGAATATTGCTGAGTGCGGAGTTAAACAACAAACCAAACCAAAGCCAAAAAACATAAAACCAGAGTCCAACCAGATCGCATCCAAAAGTGGGAGAGATATAACAATCAGTATTGGGAGAAAAGATACTGATAATCGACGTGAAATTTGTGAGAATATCGTGGAAATACCAAACTTGACCACCCTGATCATAAAATGGACTAGTTTGACATTGCCTGATTGCCGAGTTTTTCATTGCAGATTGTATTCATTGGGATCGTCATTATTCAAACCGTGTGCGCCCTGACTGCGCCGAGTGTTTTTTTCTTCCGAAGTGTTTTATTGTACGACAAACAACTCCCACTCATAGCTTATTTCTTAAATAAAAGAATAACTACTAAATTATTTTCCAAATTGGATTGGAATTCAATGAGCACAAATTAGAGACATGGCCATTTCAAAGGAGATGTGAAGAATGTACCTTGTCCAGATAACCAGGGGCATGAGAAGGCAAATGGTACACAGTCAAAATGATACACAAAATATTTATATGCCAAAAAACTAATACGGCAGATATGAAGTTTTTGATATGGCGAGTGTGGTAGCCATGTTTATATTCAGATTGGAATTTTGGCGTGAGAACGTCGTGGAGACAAAATAACTTGATGATCCTGGCAAGGTTTCAGCTAAATAGGCCCTGAATGTTCAGATGACCTAATAATACAAACACAAAAATGAGATAACGATATATAAGGGTACATAAAAATACTTCAGTTGAGTCTTGTGCTTCATAACAGGTTATAGGGAAAAGGCCCCTTGCTAAAACGGCCACATACAATTTGGAGGAAATGGCCCCAAATTATGGTGGTGTGGTCATTGGAGGAGGGCGAGCGGAGCAGAGCAAGCTCGGGGGCTATCAGCTGTTGTTTAACTTGTTTACAAACATAACTTCAGAATGGTCCTGTCCCGTTAATAAATGGTAGAGTGCAGTATGTGTGGGTGTGTGTGTGTACGTGTGTGTTACTTCACCCATGGCTGTGAAAAGTGAAGACATGTTATTGAAACAATAAAAGTATAAGAAAGGATGCTTACTTGAAACACACAATCATCTGTCAGCAATTTTCCACCAAGAATAATCCTGATTTCTTCCAGTGGCAAATTGACCTTCTTTGATATTTCACGTTTGATTTCAGGTAAACTGCTGTTTGGGTTAATTTCAACAAGGACTGCACAGTTGCTGTGAAATTTCACATTCACGGTAATCATGATGCAAGTTTATGTAGATAAGATTACACCAACGACATGTCCATTTACAAACACATAACGTGATGTGTAAAGTGTCACTGTCAACTTCCTGAATCTGTTTTAACTTGATCACACGATCACACGCATTCACTTGACAGACTTGTCATCTGCATGCAGTCAGAGAAACGAGCACCCTGGACTATTTTGGTGTCGTGCAGTAAACATCTAATAAATAGAAACACAAGAAAATCTTCGCCTGTGTCAACAGGACTACACGTGCTTGTCACTTGTTTTGTTGTTATTTGACATGCGGTATCAAAATGTGAAATATATTAATCACGTACAATGAGTATTGAGCATTGCAAGTTATATCTTAATGTGGCAATATTTATATACTTAACTATGGTCATAGTGTCACTGTATGTTTCTGTAAATAAAAGAACCACCTTCTTGGAAATAATACCAGTAAGGAAGTAAACTTTTGTTAGAAGGATTTCCGTAACTAAATTCATTTCAACTTTTAACACAATATCATATTACTGCCTTTTCGGAAAACGTAACGCATAAATGCATACATAAATAAATTAATGCATAAATAAATAAAATATAGGAATTATGGTTCGGATTGTTTGTATAAAAAAATATAATGTCCTATTCTACGAAGTTCGATTTGAAACAATGTACACATTTCTCCCCTGCTAACAAGATAAGCTGGGCCCCGTCTCTCATACCGCAATATGAGCTTAGCGCAAGTTGACAGCGCGCATAGGTAGCCGAGAACCAGCTTAACAACATGGCGCTGTTCAGAGTAACGTCTCGTGTGGGAAATTCGTTGAAGTCTGTGTTTGATGCCACCCCAGTTGCACTTTATCATAAGAATGTAAGAACTGATTTTGATAACAGTTTAAACGGTTACACAATCAGTTGATGGAAGATGCATGTGGCTTACAATCGTAATTTATGTGCAAAGAAACGTCGTTATGTAACTTGTCCTATGTCCGCTTGATCTTCATCTACTCCGTCTTGGGCTAATCAAACGGTTAAATACAGTTACCATTCAGTTTCGATGTGACAACTGTCCTAAGCATTAGCCAATACCCCCGATTTAATCTTAGAACTAATCAAAATTGATGTGAAAGGATCAGTTGATTCAGAGAATATCTATAAATTTCATCATCCTGTAGTGTAGACTAACTGCAAAATTGCACCAGTGTACTGCACTGCTTTTGCTGTCAACCCTCTAGGCCCTACTGGTCGCTAGTACATTGTACGATTCTCCTGCTGTAACATTTTAATAGAGACGTGTTTACAGGTTCAAACTTTTGACAGATCCATTTTCAATTGAAATATTTGTTGCACATATCGGTGATGTAAAAGATGTATTTGGAACTAGGGTGTATGTATCAACAAATATGCATAAATGTGGAAAGATTGAGTGTAGTAAATTTCATCTATCTGCACATGTATTTCAGCATGTTTAAAAATTCTCCATGTTGATTCGTCAGTTGAACTTTAAAGAATGTGATACAACATTGCTTCACTGTTGAGAACAGTTTCATATGACTTTGCCCATTTGTTCATAATGTCAGTAATTTATTGTATGATATGGTTTATTAACAATAGGATGACTTCGCCTAAGTTTCTCTGTAGGGTTGACGTTCAATGATTTTTCTGTTTACACCTTCATAAAATTATAAGGATTAACACAGAATAACCTACTCAAAACTTGGAAGTGTGGATTATCCCTCGTGGAGAAATGGTGTGAGATATTTGACACTTACCGTACATAGTTTTACTTTCATCTAAGAATTGACTACATATGAAAACAAATCATAGACATTGAAATCTATGAGCTGAGGTTGCAGGACTTTAGACTTAAACACTATTTCTTCTTTTGTTTATTTTTTCACATGTAATATTTATTCAACAATATCCAATATATGGAAGTAAATTAATTAATGGTGTCTGGTAGCAAAGTGTTCAAGGTATTCTCCCATAACATTGAATGCCTGGATTTGATTAACCACGTGGGTGCAGGTTGGGAAACCTATTTCTGGTGTCCACCTGTGATATTGAGGAGTGTTGCTAAAAAACGGATTATAAGTATACCACATCGTGATGTCACAATTCACTAGTACACTGGTGCATTGTCTGCAAACTTTGCACGATACGATTACCGATACACTTAACTTGGCATTGATTCACTTTTAACCCCATATATGGATTGTCCCATGTTGATCTTGCATCGATATCATTAAGCAAGTACAAACTATATTATTAAATCCTCATCTTTCATGGTCGTCTTTCGGATGCGAAACCATAATACAGTATGTAAACTTGTTTGTTTCTTGTTATTTTTCTCATACAGAATAGCTGACTTGACTCAGTGTCAAGTTGATGGGTATTAGTCAGTTGTCAGTTGTCCTTTTTTACCTTTATGAGTGAATCTATGTACCATGTTTAAAGTCTAATGACAGGGTTTTCTGGACAAAATGTGATATATGCATGTTTGAGGTTCTGTATCATGATATGTATCGTATCGTGTGACACCTGTGTCATGACATCCCTAATACTTACTCACTCACTCATGGACACTTTGATGTTTTGATGACTATTTTGGCACACACTCTTCATATGTGGCCATTTTGACTTGTACCATAGCTCCATTCCTCAGACAAGAGTCAGTTGTCAAGTTGTCTTCATCAAACGTTATATGTCGTTTCCCATACACATAAGACTAAGAGTTTCTCAGTATCCTGATTAACAATGGAAAATAGCTCTTGTTAGTTTGGTGTGAAAGTCCAGAGTGATTTTGATCCTGACAAGCACAATCTATATTTGTAGGTGATTGACCACTATGAGAATCCGAGAAATGTCGGGTCTTTGGATAAGGCTGACAAGAAGGTTGGAACAGGCCTAGTTGGAGCCCCAGCATGCGGTGATGTAATGAAACTGCAGGTATGTTAATAACACTTTCGTAATCCTTGACAACACACCTGAATATTTCACACATCAAGTATTATCAACTGAGGTTGCCTTTCCAAGATGCATTTGCAGAGCTACAGATAAGAAGCGTATTTGCACAAAATACCCCCCCCAAAATATTCAAAACCCAATTACTTTCAATTAACTGGTGTACAGAAACGCATGCATTAAATGAAAAACTCAAATGTATAAAAACAGCATGCGTAAATACCCAATGAAGCTTTTTCAGGATGCGTACAAAGAAGCTAATTCAGAAACACTATTACGAGCTAATTTACTTTCTGAGTCAGCCTATATATTTAGAACAGTTATATACATCTAAAACATTATTTCCTTTTTTTAAATCTTAAAATGTTCACTAATTTTGCGAAAAACTCAATAGAGTGATGAATAGATGAGTGAAAAAATATTGGTTACCCGATGAAAAATGTAATAACCCAAATAAGATAGAAACCCTAGGGTAAAACCTCAATTGCTCGAAACGTTATCTAGAGCTCTGCATTTGCAAATCAATCAGGAGTAGGTGTCGAAGCTATTCAAAATCTATGTGCCAAGATATGTGTCATTGGTTCAGACATTCACATATTATCATGTACACATATCCAAGCATGTTAGGAGGACATGTTATATGAATGTGCTTGAGGTCTGAAGCCCTTGTTTAATATCCCCGGCCCCAACAAAGTTGGGGGTGGATATAGAAACGTTTCATTTCCAGAGCAGAACTCGGAAACCTAAAGAGAAACTTTACGAAGCTTGGTACACACATTCACCATTCGGTGTAGATGTGTCTTTTGTTTTTTAGGTTCCCTCTGCATTTGTAATATGTTTTACATAATTTTTTTAAATTTTGACTTAGTCTCTGAACTGAATGGAAGCAGTGGGTTATATTTCCGGAGCAGAACTAAAAAACTATTCGAAAAATGTTTATGAAACTTGGTACACACATTCACCATATAGCATGATATAGTGAATACGTTAATTTAACAATTTGACATTTCATAATACAAGAGCTTCTTTCACAAACTTGTTGCTGTTCATTAAGATATTTTTCACATTACAAGATAATAACATCTCTAGTTTACTCATGTTAGGGTAAGTCCAATAAATTTAGGTATATACTTTGATCTTTAGGCAGTGAAATGTGGGCAAACCAATATAAAGTGGTACTTATCTTCAGTTATTTCATGAATACTCAATTTACAGATTCACCAACGTTTGAATACCAGTCTTGCTGATTACAATCTCTTAATCTTTATACAAAGTTATTTAAAAGTAAGATTCATCACCAATTTCTCTTGAGATCCATACAAGGCCATAACAGGGGGCACGGGTTCACTGTGCAGAGTTGCATCCCTTGGGCACGCCAAAAACCTATGATTGTCGGTTCGAATCCTGGTTCGCCCCGATTATGTTTCTAGGTTTGTGAGCACCATACCTGTGCTCGTGGGTTTCACCGAAGTGGTAAACGTCTGAGACCTGCATCACTTTTGACTTTCCTCCCACATTAAGCTGACACGCCGTGATATAACTGGAATAATGTTAAAAGCGGCGTTAAACCCAACTCACTCACTACAAGGCCATAACAATAAGAGAACAATAATCTTTTCACATTTGAAACCCCCTGTTACACAATTGCTCTGATCTAGACATAGACCATGATAGACATGCAGGTGGACAAACCGATAATTTACACTGTCACATTTGATTGTACAGATCATTGTCTGTAAGATTGGACAATGTGAGGGAGATATAGATGACTTACTCTTCTTGTTTAGTTTAGGTTTTGTTTGTCCTTACTCTCTATTCATTCACTTTGGTGATGGAATTTGGTTATGTAACCATGGTAACATGGCAAGTTTCAAACTTTCATTGTCACATTGGTTATTGAATTGTAAACTTGTATGCTTACTGTTGACAGACATAGTGTGTAACAAACTCTCTTTACTCCATCAACTTCACAATAACTGTTGTACTGTTTGAATATGTTTCACATGACTTTCTGTGTTTGCAGATCAAGGTTGATGATGATGGCAAGATTGTTGAGGCTAAGTTTAAGACTTTCGGATGTGGATCAGCGATAGCTTCCAGCTCTCTTGCTACAGAGTGGATCAAAGGGAAAACTGTAAGTTGCCAACTGAAGCTTTGTCCATGTTGTCAAGAATGAAGATATTGGTGTTTTAATGGACAAGAGTGTTATCATTGTGCTACTGCTGTCATTACGTGAAAATATTGTCACTGGGCTTGACATTTTTTGTACCTATTCTGTTCCAAAGGACCCTGACCCTGAACTAGTTCTTGAACACCAACCTAGATACAAATAATGTGCTTTTCTCATATCAGTATCCCTAATATCCCTTGTGTACCCATCACATTTTTTTGCAGTTGGATCAAGCTTTGAAAATCAGGAACACAGACATTGCTAAGGAACTGTCTCTTCCACCAGTCAAGCTGCACTGCTCTAGTAGGTTATTTCCCTTCATAAATTTGTTCTGATTGTTATTATTGCAACTAAAAAAACGTTAAATATCTTTCAATATAACTTGGCAGATATGTCATACAGATCCTGAAGTGGTGCCTTTTGCTATTGAGGAAGTTTAAAAAAAATAATTCTTGTTTCCATGACAACGAGTTTGACTTAGACTCTGATCATAGTGGTGTGTTTGTGTGGACTGTATCTCTTATACTAACAGGTACACTTGCTTGAAACTGTGCGCACACAAGACCAGGTTGTCAACTGGTGCCTTTTGCTATTTAGGGATTCTTAGAAATTTAGTTCATAGTGGCGTGTACCTGACATAAAATTACAAAGTTCCAAATCCCAATTCCAAGGTATTGTTTTGTTAGCTTAATAACTACTCTTGTTTACGGATAGGTTAGATAGAAATTAGACTTAAAGTAACAGTCAGATGATTTGTTCTTCCGAATTTTGGGGAGCCGGGGGATCTGTCATCTTCTGATGACGCTTGTGTTGAAGATGTTGAATTTGATATTGCAGTGTCACTCAGACTGAATCTTATAGGACAAAGTTTGGTTGCATATTGTTTTTGTTGCATAATGTGAGGCGGCTAACTCCAGATAGATGATAGTCCACTCTTTTACTGACTGAAATGTGTTCATATTTTAGTGTTGGCGGAAGATGCTATCAAGGCTGCCTTAAATGACTACAAGGTGAAGAACTCCCCTGATGGGGAGAAGGCAGCTGCTACCAACTGAGCTCCACACCAATCCAGTTGTTGTCATGTGTGTCATAAATGAGTGCCCTTGAAACATTGTTTGGGCTGAAGTTTAGCCTCTTTTTGATGTCAACTTTACACAGAGAATAATATTCTTCCTTGTTTAATTGCAGAGAATTCTTCCTTGTTTAATTGTAGAGTCTCTGAAAAGATTGTATGGTGACCAGTAAATACTTGAGAGCTTGGGAAGTCTTAAGTTGTTTTGTATGTTATAAGAATCCTGCTTCAAACCTTTGTCAAATTAGAATTGATTATTGATATTGAAAAAAAAAACAATTAAAAAAATCTGAAAAATGAAATCTCATGTATATAGTCTATTTACTTTTGAACATGTAGTGTATTATATGAACACAATCATACATGATGTAGATTTCAATCATTTACTTCTGATTTTTCTGATACTCTTTTTGAATCGTGTACTATTTTAGGAAGAGACTTACAAAGAATGTACCAAGAATGTATTACATATTACTTTCCTTTCTACTGTATGGCATCATGAATTAAATATATATATTATACCGAATGAATGCCCTACTCTGGTGCAGGGGTAAACAGTTATTCCTCTGAGAGTCATGCTGAGTCTCCTGGCCAGATGTAGGGAAGGAAGATTGTGGGTGATCTCTGTACTGTCAGCGCACAAATAAGTTAATAACTCACTTGTACAAAGATTGTTTGCATGATACGGACAGCTTTCCCTGTAAACAGACTGGAGCTTGGGGAGCTGGATGAAGGATGTGTGACTGTGAGAGAGACTGTAATTTTTCAGGATGCTTTTTTCTGTTCGGTTTTGTTGTGGTTTCTAAGTCGAGACAGTTGTCTGACTTTTGTAAATTATGAATTAGATTATTATTACTCTCTTACATTTAAGTGTAAGACCATGTGAAAGACTTGAAGTTTTTGTGAGCATTTTAATTTTAGTATATATATTGCAAATAAAGTATATCAAATAGTTTTTGTTTCCTCGATTTAATTTATTTTGACCAAGTGAGGGATTATGGTTTCATGCAATAACCCGTCTTCCCGAGGCAAGGGAGTTAACTGGATGTCGATTTCGGTACATGATTTTGATAGGACTATGCATAGACTAGTTAGTCCTGCCAAAGTATAACTTCATAATTCCAGCCTATTTCGGAAGGGTGGAAACTGGCCTGGTCTTTTATAGTCAGTTAACTCCCTTGCCTCGGGAAGATGGCAATGTCATCACACATTGTACCCATGTTGGGAATCGAACCCAGTGTGACAAGCAGATACGTTAACCACTGGGCTACCCCATTGCTCCTTCATGTTGAGAGAGATAACTGCCCTGCAGTGTGATGAATAAGGGGCATGTGCAGCAGCAGCTAGATGAAGAGGAAATACCTGGAGAATAACCAAGAAGCTTATTTAATAAGAAAGCTGTTCTGAGTAGAAATAAAAAATGAAGAAGAAGGGGGCAGTCTTGGGAGGTTCAGGCTGCAGAAAGGAGGCAATTGGTACTGTCCACTGTTGGAGGGTCAGAGGAATTGGCGAGACGGAGAAGAACCTTGGGTGAATATTATTGGTGGTCACAAGGGCTTGAGTGTTTTCATATATTTTATAGAGGATCACCTGAGAGGAACTGCAATTTGATGTGGATGAAGTTAATTAATGTACAAGAGTCTATACTGCCAATATCAACTACTGAGGTTTTGGGGGCGGTCGGGTAGCCTTGTGGTTAAAGCATTGGTTCGTCACACCAAAGACCTGGGTTCGATTCCCAACATGGGTACAATGTTGAAGCCTATTCCTGGTGTCCCCCCACCATGATATTCCTGGAATATTGATAAAAGTGGCGTAAAATCACTCACTTACTCACTGAGGGTTTGGTTTGACTTACCACCCTTGTACCTTGTCACAATTACAAGGGCTCACATTAGACTAGGTATGTTTGGAATGTGACCAGAAAACAACAGCATAGTGATAGCACCATATGTTTTGAGATGTTTGTGTTAGCTATTTTCTTTAGAAAGAGTAACCACAAAGGTGTGAGTGAAATGTTTCTATCTCATGACCTTGACCTTATCAAAATGTGGCAAAACAATCACACAGGTTCATGAAGAATAAGTCCATTGCATAAATCCTCTAATGCCAATATTATTTGCGTTGTATTCAAGAGGAAGAATATTACGACTGCATTTCACAATTAACTCAGGTGACCTTGACCTTTAGTATAAAAACTGCGGCTGACCTGTTATACGGTCAGATTTGTTAAAAAAAAACGTAAACAACAAGATTCAGTACAATAAACAGAATGCTGACCTTGACCTTTGATTTATCTACAACTTTTCAAAACAGGAGATATTAACCAAGTTAATGACAAATGTATCCCAACCTTTAGAGGATGTCTAATGACAAACTACATGTATTCTTAGTCTTTTCTATCTCGTGACCTTTGGCCCCAGGTCTCACAAGCACAACGCGAACTTAGTTCTGCAACTATTGTAAATCTGTACTAGCGGGAAAAGTAACTAGGCTTCATATGACTTGTTTGTTGCACTAAGCAGCATTCCACCTACATCATGGAGGTCTGTAAATAATCGAGTCTGGCCCTGACAATCAAGTGATTGAAATCATAATATTTGGTCATTCGTCTGATCAATGTTTGATTACAACAAATTCATTGACAGAGCGAGACGCCCTAAAAGAGGGGCGGTGTAACTAACTCAATTAACAATGTCAATATCGTGTATGGCCACCATTTGCGTTGATAGGTGCGAGGCAGCTGGGGTCACTGAAGACACCAGAGATTGAAAACGGCCTGGATGATGTGCCAAATTCCAAGATTGGCCCAACAGAGCTAGTGTTAGGGGCTGGTTCTGGTCCTGTCGTAGACATCAACCCATCTCATCCCAGACATGTTACATGGGGGAGAGGTCTGGAGAAACAGCCGGCCATGAGGTACAGCAATGTTATGTTGTGACAAAAGTCCTTTACAAAACGTGCAACATGTGGGTGGGGCATTATGGGCGGATACAGCTTTTTGAAAAGGTGGGGTGCACAATTAAGATCTATTTATTTTCTTTGGTGGTAATCTATACAGAAATAAAGATTTTTTTCGAAATAAAAAAGGGGGTTGCGCGCACCCCCACCCACCCCCCTCTCTGTATCCGCCCATGGGCATTATACTACTGCAACGTGAGCTATGTCCCAGAATTTGCACAACGGGTAGAGCATGATGTCAACGATGTCGTCCCTGTAGCGTACCCCATTCAAACTGTTATTTACAATGATGGGTTGTGTTCTCCCATGAGTTGTGATGCCGCCCCATACCATTACCATTCCACCCCCAAACTGACGCCCCTGAGGAACACATGCGTCGCTAAAACATACTCGTGTACGCATGTAAACCCTTGCACGCCCATCAGAGCTGTCCAGATGAAACCTGTCCCAGCCTTCAGAACTTCAGATGCTATCCCATCTCAATTAGGGCAACTGTCATACCAATAACGGATGTTGTATAGCTGTTGATTTCGTTGAGGTTTTAATCTTTTCAATACTTTTTACTTGATGCATCTATCTAAACTAGAGTTAATAAAAACTATGGTAAAATGTTTTTGGCCGTTATTTTATCTTACTGATCTTGATATATTATAGCAATTGCTAGGTAAATGCGCTTTTCTTGTCTACGTAACAAATATCGGATCGATAAGCAAATTTCACATACAGATCAATGAAAGTTTGTTAATTTAAGTATTCGACCAAAAAGAACATTTATCTGTGTCCGATTTGGCTAGCTATATGGGTTGTTTGTTTTTACTAAGAACTCCGTGTGGTTCGTTCAGACTCTGTCACCCACTGGACGGGACATGTCCGGATGACTTATAACAGAAACTGAAGATTGGTGACCTTCTTCCAGAATAAACCTGTAATAATTCGACCATGCAACATGCGTAGATTTGCATACGTTTGTTTTAGTGCTCGGACGGGTAACTCGGGTCGGGTGGGTCCTGAATAGGACCCGGGTACCCACAGGACTATACCCGGACCCGTGGTTAGTCAAGTGATATATTGTTTGAGGAACTTTTTTTTTATCTAAAACACTGTGGTTACACTATAAGTCACTAGCGCTCCTATTTCTTTCTGACTATGCACCCATTCCTTCTGACTTTTTTATGTCTAAATAAAGGTAAAACTACACGCAGTAAACTTCAGTGTGTGCATGACCAGATTGTTTTACACGTGTATCTAAATACATTTTGCCAGGGCTACGGTCAAACTTTTCCAAATCTGACAGTTTGTACTTATCTCTAGATATCTACAGCGGGTACCCGGGTAGGGTCGGGTAATAGGGAGGGGGGTACCCGGGTAGTAAATTTGGACACGTCCCAGCCCTAGTTTGTTTGTTGTTTACGCCGCACTCAGCAATATTCCAGCTATATGACGGCGGTCGGTAAATAATCGAGTCTCGAACAGACAATCCAGTGATTGACACCATGAACATCGATCTACGCAAATTGGATACGATGACATGAATCAGCCAAGTCAGCAAGCCTGACCACCCGATCCCGCTAGTCGCCTTTTGCTCTCTTGCTGAAAACCAATTCTAGCCCGGAATCTTCACGGGAATTAAATAATGAAGACCATTTATTTCCTGGCAAACATGAATGTTGGCTGTCTATATATTTCATTGTCCCATTTAAGTTTTGCTATTTCTTTCTTTTAGAAAGAATAAAACAAAAAGTGTCAATATGCAGGTCATGGTGATACGTTATTAAGTTCGAGCGGGTTTCCTAGACACTGAATGCGGATAGCCTCCCTTTGATTTTCTTTCCGTTTTAAACTGGTTCCACTGTTGGTACGCAACGCAAGCGCACCGCTTTTACACATTTTAGTAGACAAGGCCCCAGTCAACTTCCGTTTTGTCCCTGGAAAACCACGTGTAACCCCCTAACTCGGCCTTTTAGCCATCATGGGTTTTCAGAACAAGGTATATGACGGCAGTGTGCTACCATTTTTGTCAGTTTGGAAGCCAAAGGAACCGAGAAAAGTTGTCCCGTACACAGCAAATCAACATTATGATCTGCTCTAGTGCAATATGTTAATATGAAAGCTCCGTCTTACGTGTAATGCTCGGTGAAAGGCATTCTAACCCACGTGTATTTAAGATACAGAATGATATGAGTGTGTTTTACACATAAAATGGTTTTGTCAGGAATAGAAGAGCAATATTTCTTCCCAAAGTGTGTATCACACAGAAAGTGTATAAATCAGATCACCTTTTCGTCAGTTAGCTTTGATGAAGGGTTAATGTGAATGTCCGAATACGTTTCACAAATGAGATGCCTCAGTTTATAAAGGAGAGGTAACTTGTGCTATTTCAGCTGGACATGTTATAAGACATCCCATACCTATCGGTCATAGCAGTTATCTGTAGCAGAATCCGTTTACCATATGTACTGCTGAAATCTTCACCTTTGAGCGAACAAGATGTTCGAGAAATCCTTGCAAAACAGGAACATAAAGTCTATTTGAATGGATGTCTTAACCTCAAGCTTTATATTTATCGCTCTTTATTTGTATCCTGAATACTTTTGGGGATATTTTTTTGTAGTGAAACAGTTCAAAATTTCATAAAACAAATTCCCATAAAATATTAATGATCCCAAACATTTTTTGTGAGTATATTAATGCTCAAACCTCATTTTTCATCACTTATCACAACATATGTTTATTTTTTAATTCAAAGTGAATTTTTACCAACATTGATGCAGCTTCAACTGAAGCATTTATTTGCCTGAATGATAATGTTGGCACTCAGGATACCTTAATTTTTATATGGTCATAGAGTAGTGGAAGTCATAATGGGTCTTGTTTTTACCTGTAGGGCTGTATGAACATGAATCATATTTAGTGGTCAACTATTTGATAACATTAATTTGATTACAAACTTGTGTCTTTTTTAAAAAAATAATTCAAGTTGAAGTCCCCAAACCTGAAAGATTTGTCCATGCCACTAGATTATGACCAATACACCTCATGCACTTTTATTAATATTGTGGTAATGAAACTGATGGTTGATTGTTTTGCTTTCAGCCCATTTTGATTGATGCCCGAGGGCATCTGCTCGGGCGTCTGGCCTCAATTGTTGCCAAGACACTACTACAAGGTAAATATTCATCAGTTCGACAAGCGGTCAAGTCATTTAACTTTTTTTACATCTCTGCTGCTATTTTCATAACTGTGACCTACAACAATCTTGATATTTAACGCTGACAGAAGTTGTATGGTATACAAAACTGAATATCCCATCCAGTGATGACTTTACCTACATTGTCTGAAACCATGACGACACCTATGACCTGAGGAAATGTGATTATTCAGTATAGAAATTCTTCATTGAAGTTGTTTATTTTATTGAAAGAGTGAATATATTTTCATTTTTTGATATTAGTGCTATGCCTATTGCCCTGGTATTGCATTAGAGAAATATACTTTCATAAACTAGAAAATGCATAAAAATGTTTATAGTAGCATACTTCATTAGAACAAACTAATGTAGAATTTTCAGTTGTCAGACTGAAACCGAACCAGCACCACACAAAAATCACTTGTCAAACGTTGGATGGATAGAGTATTAAATTTATTAACATGTTTTTTCCAGGTCAGCGAGTTGTTATTGTAAGATGTGAAGGTATCTGCATATCTGGCAACTTCTACAGAAACAAATGTAAGTTTTTGATCCAATTTGTTGTAATAATGACGTTGCTGTAATAGTGTCCATTTCACTAACATCCTTGTTATAAACACAAGTTCTTGAATTTAGTGATTTTCAAGTTGCATCTGGAATGCATGTGGTATATTGCTGTTTTAATGGCAGTACCTTTGTTATAATTAACATATTTTGTTCAAGTGTATGTCATATGAATATTACATTGATAAAAGACTAAACATTTTCTGAGGACCACACTATTTTGGAGCCTATTTTGGCCCTTAGCAAATGTTAAGTTGTATATTACAATATGAATGCAATAAGCTTTCAAAGAATTTTTGCTTAGATTTTTAGACAAACTATTGTGTGTTTTAAAATTCTGCTGAATCCATGATGGAATCTATGTAAATATTACACATGTACTTATAAATACCATTGTATACGTTTATGGATATATCATAGTGGTGTAATAGTGATACTGACCCGTTCTTACCCTGATTGACCTGTATGTTTACAGTGAAGTACCTGGACTTCCTAAAGAAGCGATGCAACGTGAACCCTGCTCGCGGCCCATTCCACTTCCGGGCTCCCAGGATGATCTTCTGGAGGACTGTCCGAGGTACCATTAAACATTTACGTGCTCAACTGAAACCATGGCTTAAATGATTCATTTGCAGGCATTGTTCCAAATATATTTTTATGTAAGATTTAAATGAGCAGAATCCTCCCATAAACGAAGTGTTGAAGAATTGTCTAACTTGTAATATATCTTACTACTACTACTACTACTGCTACTACTACTACTACTACTACTACGTCATTTCCAGTGATGACTTTACCTACATTGTCTGAAACCTGAAGACAAACACAAAACTGAGGAAATGACATTATTTAAAGGACATTTGATCCACTCACTGGCCATCTTTGTGCATTCTTCTATAGTAGGTTAGTAGCTAACAAATAGGTATGCAATACGATGATATGAACTAGATATCTGTGTGGATTTAAGATAAGCTTACCTCAATTGTGTAGGAAGTATTTGAAATTACAGATAGCCGGGCTTGATTTAGCTATATAAAATATGCACCAGTGCAACCTAATATTTGTCTCTCTGAACACATTTTATACCTCTAAACCTTCTTTTCCTACGTTAATAATCCCTGTTATGTGTAACTTGTCATGCTTTTGGGGCTTGACATCAAACTGCAGGTACTTCAGGATTATTTGATAGTTTTCTTGGACCAGGGGGCAACCTGTTTTTTCTGGTGCAACAAGGTTGTTTGTCAACATGCACTTGGTGCAAGTAAGTTAAATCAAGATCCTAACATCAAGCCATGAATAGTGTTTTAAAAATTTGAAATACATGACAGTTGTCTCTCCTGGTGGTTAACAGGTTAACATTGTTTCATTCAAAAAAATATTGTGCTTGATAATGCTTGTAGTTTTTCATTACTGGGTCTTGCAATTTAAATAATGATTCTTTTAAGTTAGGTTTTAGGAAATTTGACCAAATTCTTTAACTTTGATATGGATCTATTGTGCACATAAGTATCATTCAATTATCCGTTACATTTGAAGAAAAGAGTATGGGCATTGTTGAGAAGTTTTTGTTGCAGTGTCTCATTGTGTTACATATAACAAACAGCAGTTTCTAAATGATGATTATCCTTACCTACATTGAATACTTGTGAAAATATTCTTATTCTGATAGAAACTGCTGATCAACTAAACCTTGTTAAAATATCTACTTCCAGTATGTCTATCTGGACCTCTATTCTCAATTATCCAGTGTATCATATCTCAATTCTAATATGATATATATATACTCTGGATCCATTCTTTTATTGACATGCTAAAAATAGACGTCCTATCAAATTGTGATGACACATCTTGACAGTTCAGTCTTGTGTTTACTAGAAAATCCAGCCATGGTGTTTGTAATTGAAACATTTGCTCATGGGCAATGCTGTGGCTGTTAAGTTGCATGTCCAGAAGTCATAATTTGAAGGACTTTTAGATGGGTTTGTCTAAGTAGGCAGCTACAGAACTCTATAAATTACTGGCATTTTGCATCCCGACTGTTAAATTTACAACCCTCTATTGATGAAGTGTCTTCTTAGCAGGTGATGCTGCAAATCTAATTGTCATTGGGTAAATATATAGCTTGTCAGTGATGTTTATACCATCCCATAGCGTTTTGAAGTTGATGAAACCACTTCACATGCACTACCATCTGAGACAGCTATTGAACATCCCTGTAACGGCCGCTACTGCCACTGTCATTATTTGAAGCTATTCAGTGTTTCGGTATCTTCAGTGTATTCCCTAAATAGCTCCTTGTGACCCCTTATAGATTGTTTATAACACTGTGCTTTCACATTGTTTCACAGGTTGACAGTGTTCCCACTGGCTTTTGAAACTGCCAGTAAAAATTTAACAGTTCTTCCTTCTCCCTCTCCCTCTCTCTCCCCCCATTTTTGTCAGTCCCAATTTTTAACAATTAAAAAAATGTATAGAAATAATCTGGTTTTAATTCTTCCAACATCATGTTCAGTGCAATGACGACATCTCTGGAGTAACTTAGTTCGATCTACACATCATTCACACAAAGTTCAGTCACAATTTTCTGATTTTCAAATGTTTTGAGACTAAGTTGCTACAAATATATATTTAACCTCGAAACAACTGAAATGTTATGTCATTGCACTAAAAACAGAAAAGGAGAAATCCTGATAGTTAACTAACAGACAAGCAGGCTTCGTTTCGAAAAATATACTTACCTATATGAATATCGCTGACGTCTTGTTCAACAACAAAGATTTATGAGATACTTTGCCGGTCCACAGGGACTGGTAGTCACATGAATTACCAGTCCAAGCCTAATTTTGCTGGTTAAAAATGTGAAATTAACGGTAAACGGGAACACTGAGGTATTTGAATTATTGATATTTCTTTGTTTCTTAGAAGGTGCTGTCATTGTTTAGATATATAGCTTGTCAATGATGTTTATACCATCCCATAGCGTTTTGAAGTTGATGAAACCACTTCACATGCACTACCATCTGAGACAGCTATAGAACACCCCCAAAAAACCTATCTGTACAACACACTTAAACTGTTGTCATATTGTGCTATGTTTGCCTTTAGTGTATTGTCTTGGTGGACCCCAAGGGTTAAGTTATGAGTAGGCATTTCCTAGGTGTGACTTTAGGGTGGCCGGAGGTTTAATGAGGCAGTCAGAATGGAGTTGTCACATTGTGTCAGAGGTTAAGGTATCTGAAGGAGAAATGGTACAACCAAACTTGAACAAGGTTAATTTTCTATGGTATTATGGGCGCTTTATTTGTAGGATTTGATGACAGGTCTGAGGTGTATGTCACTTTCAAAGAATCATGATCATATCTCATCACACACTGTTTTGCAGGGATGAGACGACAGTCTCACAGGATTCTAGAAGTAAATAGAAACAAACCTTAGAATATGGAAGTCTAAAGTGGTGACTAATTGTAATTTATATTTCTACTACCATCTTATCATTTCCAGTGATGACTTTACCTACATTGTCCGAAACCTGAAGACAAACACAAAACTGAGGAAATGAAGTCAACGAGTCATTAAAATAAGGATGTTAATCAATTCAGTGACCATCTTCATTGTGAAGTTAGTGATTAAGATGCAAGTAATTTGCGTTGAATAAAGAATTTAATTTGTAAGATAGGAAAATGTAATCATACTTTAAGTTCTCATAGGAATGGTTCCTAAATGTTCTTTTCTTTCCATTTAAGACTGGTTACTTCAAGTCTTATCCTGGTATGTGAAATCATTTAATGTCAGATGTTCAAAGTTGTGTCTGTAGAATGAGAATAGAGTTTAGTAAGAGTTTGTCTGAGTGTGATCCATCTTATGAACAGAGCAGTTTCTATGTGATGATTATCCTTACCTACATTGAATACTTGTGAAAATATTCTTTTTCTGATAGAAACTGCTGAGCATTCCTCCCCTGCTTTGGACATATAGATGAGTTAATGCTATTTCTTTTTCTTCATTTCTTATAAGGTGATGTCATTATTTACATATATAGCTTGTCAATGATGTTTATACCATCCCATAGCGTTTTGAAGTTGATGAAACCACTTCACATGCACTACCATCTGAGACAGCTATATAGAACAATCGCCATGAACAACCCCCACCCCCATAAGCACACGCTTGTGCCACTATTGTCATGTCTCGGTGTTGATATCTTTAATCTTTCACCTAATTATCTTCTCTGTTGCTTTTTGTAAGAGGCGATATAAGTTTAGACAGGTGGTCTGTCGTCTTGACGCCTTGGGTTGATTGTGTCATTCTGATCTGAGGACATGATGTTGCTCTTATACTAATCACTATTTTGTCTGATCCAGACTTGATTATTTTTGGCATTTTGTGATATGGCTGCAATATTGCAGACTTCGGCATAAAACAAATGAAGAACATGTAGACATTTCCTAGGTTTGAGGTAATAGTAGCTGAAGGCTACATTAATCAGTCAGAATTGAAGTAGTTTCCAGGTCAAATTATAAATGTCACAGTATGAATCATTAATATTTAAAGCTGTATGCACATTAAGACAGTAAGGTAGATATCAGATTCAACATAGAAGAAACTAGTTAGATAAAGAGTGAAAAATATATGCACTAGTAAATTTTACCTGAATATATATGTACAAGTAAATTTTACCTGAATATTTATGTACAGTGTTCGAAATAAGCATGAATGTCAGGGGTCACTAGATTAAAATACCATAGATCTTGAGGCCCCCTCTTACTTTCAATCACTATGTATTAAAGTCATTTTCCAATATCAGAGTTTTAGATAATGATTGAAAATAAAGAATAGGTTGTGTCATGCACACATTGAAACCAAGGGTAAATGTCAAACTCAGCTGATTTTGGAGGTTTGTCTTGTGCTCACCAGAAATCATGTTGGAAATGTGTCCCACAGGGGAGAGCATTCACCAATGTTCAGGGATGTCTGTTGTGAACTTAAGCAGGTGATGCTGTTGGGGTATTAATCAAACTAATTGTCGTTGTGAAAATACAGCTTGTCAGTGATGTTTATACCATCCCATAGCGTTTTGAAGTTGATGAAACCACTTCACATGCACTACCATCTGAGACAGCTGTTAAACACCCCTGTAATGGCTGCTACTGCCACTGTCATTATTTGAAGCTATTCAGTGTTTGGGTATCTCGCTCACAATCCTCTTTAGTCTATTATCTAAATAGCTCCTTGAGACCCTTTATAGATTGTTTGAAATACTGAGTTTTCACAGGTTGAGGTAACTGAATTATCAGTATTTATTTCTTTATTTCCTTTGTGCTGTCATTGTTTAGATATATAGCTTGTCAGTGATGTTTATACCATCCCATAGCGTTTTGAAGTTGATGAAACCACTTCACATGCACTACCATCTGAGACAGCTATTGAACACCCCTGTAAAACATGCCTGTACCAAACCCGAAAACTGTTGTCACATTGTCCTCAGTGGTGCCATTTATAATGTATTGCCAAGGTAGACCCTGTGTGGTTGAAGTACGAGTAGGCACTTCATAGACGTTAGGTAGACAGAGGTCTATATAGGCAATCAAAATTAGAAGTCGTTTGCAAGTCAAATTACGTGCTGAATGAATCAAAGCAAAATAAGTGTCAAACTTAGTTGATCAAATGTAACCAGTGCTGATTCTGTAAAGGTTGACTTTTGAGAAAGTACATTATTTCTAGCCCTGACTTTGATGGTAATCTTGTTTACCAGCAACCATGTTCCTACAAAACAAAACAGGGTCCCATGCTGATTACTATGTATTCAGTGATGTCTGTTATAAACTTGAAGCTTGTCAGTGATGTTTATACCATCCCATAGCGTTTTGAAGTTGATGAAACCACTTCACATGCACTACCATCTGAGACAGCTTATTACTAAGATCACTCGGCCCGTGAAGATCCGGGTTAGAATAGGTCTTCAGCAACCCATGCTTGCTGTAAAAGGCGACTATACTTGTCGTAAGAGGCAACTGACAGGATTGGGTGGTCACTCTGACTTTGATGATGCATATCATCGATCCCAATTTGGTGGATCGATGCTTATGTCAATCACTGGATTGTCTGGTCCAGACTCGATTAATATAGCTGGAATATTGCTGTGTGGGGCATTAAACAACCAACCAGTTAGTCATGGTCCCATGACTGAAGATACATATATATATATATATATATATATATATATAAATATCACCCCTCCCAACCAGGTTCACTCCAGTAACCACTGCCTGCCCCTCACTGACCGACGTGTTGTCTTGCAGGTATGCTCCCCCACAAGCAGCCTCGTGGCAAAGCTGCCCTCAGGAAGCTGAAGATGTTTGAGGGGATCCCCGGACCCTATGACAAGATGAAGAGGCAGGTTGTTCCCTCTGCTCTCAAAGTGCTCCGCCTGAAGCCCACAAGCAGGGTAAGACATTGGTGCCTTCTGTAATCCTCACTTGTTAAGAGGGGCGGTGGGTAGCCTAGTGGTTAAAGTGTTTGCTCGTCACACCGAAAATCTGGGTTTGATTTCTCACATGAGTACAATGTGTGGAGCCCATTTCTGGTGTCCCCTGCCATGATTTTGATCTTCATTGGTTTACCTGATCCAGACCAAAAACAATAACTGTGCTCTGCGATACAGCTGGGATATTGCTGATGGTAAATATCCCTATCATTAACAGGTTATGAAGTCCCCCAGCAAAGATTGAGGGACTACTCTCTCCTAAAATATAGTTCGTGAAGTAATTAGCAATAATTCAAGGTGTATGCATCCCTGATTAGCTTGTCACCTCATTTTTCATCCTTGTCAAAAGTCTGATGCATTAAGGTAATGGTTTCTATGTGAGCTTGTCTGTGATGTTTACTCATCCCATAGCGTTTTGAAGCTGATGAAAAAAGCTTTTACATGCACTACCATCTGAGACAAGCACAGGCTTTTGACACTGTTCTCGTGCCAGTGAAGACACGTGGTGATGATGTGGTTGTGTTCCAGTTCTGTCAGCTGGACCGCCTGTCGAAGGAGGTTGGCTGGATGTACCAGGGAGTGGTGGCCAAGCTTGAAGAAAAGAGGAAGGTCAAATCAAATGATTACTTCAAGAGGAGGAAGTCAACACTTGTAAGTTGTCACAGTTTAGTAGAGGGGCGGTCGGGTAGCCTACTGGTTAAAGCGTTTGCTCATCACGCCGAAGACCCGGGTTCGATCCCTGACAAGGGTACAATGTGTGAAGCCCATTCCTGGTGTCCCCCGCCGTGATATTGCTGGAATATTGCTAAAAGCGGCTCAAAACCAAACTAACTCACCAGTTTAGTAGAGTTATCTATTGTAACTGTACCAGGATCTGCTGATGGCAGGTTTGATCCCACACAGAGTGACTTTTCTGATTATTAATCAGAATGAATGTATCATTGTGGGTTTGAGCAAGACAAGTATCAGAATTATATTTTCGCTTAAGCACATTTTGGACAGGCTTGAAAAGTCTCCAAAAATCTCCATCTCAGTTGAATGACCTGGAAATACACCTTTTCATAGTTTTGAAAGAAACCGTTTGAAATTTTTTTACAAACTTTTGAAGAAAACAATTTGTCTACAATCTTATTAATAGTCTTTAACAATAGAGTATTCTTCTTTTTATTGATTGGCTGCTTCTGTTAAGTGTTAATAGGCCCAAGTCCATAACATAATTCAAATTGAACAGAGGTAAAGAAGCATGCCTTTATCTTGCGGAAACTAATTGGCATGAGGGAAATTTAGTTTGCATTTATGGTCCTAATGTTTGAGAAGAGAACCTTGGTCATAAAGTTTGTTACTGATACTGTGTTGAATCCTGTGGCAGAGTAGGTTCAGATATAGCGTCCAGTCTGCTGGTTTTAACATGCCAAACACTCGTAAAGATCTAGAAGAACTAAAGAGCTGAGGTTGCAGAGCTCCAGATAACTTTTTGAGCAATCGAGTTTTTACTCTAGGGTTTCTATTTTAATTGGGTTATAACATTATTTATTGGGTAACCAATATTTTTTCACTCATCTATTCATCACTCTTTTGTGTATTTCCCAAAATTGGTGAACATTTTAAGATTTAAGAAAACCGAAATAATGTTTTAAGAGTATTTAATGGTTCTAAATATATTGGCTTGACTTGGAAAGTAAATTAGCTCGTAATTGTGTTTCCCGAAATTAGCTCCTTTGTTCACATGCTGAAAAAGCTTTTTCTTTGGGTATTTACGGATGCTGTTTTTATAATTTGAGTTTGTCATGTAATGCATTTGTATCTGTACGCGAGTTAATTGAAAGTAATTGGGTTTTGATTATTTTGGCGGGGTATTTTACGCAACTATGCTGCTTATCTGTAGCTCTTGGTTGTTTCGTTACTCATGTGTACCACATCCGAAGTTGATCCTGTCGGTCAGTGATGATAAAAAAACCTGGTATTGATATTGATGAAAATAGCAACATGCACTACCAGCTGAGACTGACAGGGACGGGTGTACTAAATAAGCATTTAGTTTATCAGTGCACTTAGATTTTTAGTTCAAAATTATGTGTAGATAAATAGTGTCCCTTTGTTCTATCACTGTAGCTGTGACCCTTTATTTTGTAACATTAGTCACATAGTTATAAGCTTCTTTTGCAGACAAAAAGCAAATTTAAGAGACAAATAAATATTGCATTGTGAAAATTGTCAGATAATTCTTTCATTTTGAATAAAATACACCAGAACTTTCGGGACTGTTGATGCATTTCTTAACCTGTAAAACCCATAGATATTGGCAGATATAGTTTTTGAGCTACAGTGCCCCCTGCCTTAATCAGATGTGATGTAGAGCTTTCCATTGTGGTCAGCTGCCAGAGTTGTTGCAGACCAGACAGGTTTGATAAGTTCTCTGTTTGTGTTACAGCGTCTCAGAGAACAAGCCAAGAAAAATGTCCTGCCCAGAGTCAAGAAAGAGCAGCAACTTATCGAGAGCTTTGGGTACCAGTGAGACATGTAAAAAGAGAAATAAATTTCTGTGGGGAATGTTCATGTTTTTGTTATTCGACACTAATTTCAGACGATACAAATTAAACTGGACATAACAATATTCATGTCTTCAATACTCTTCTATGTGGAAACTTGACAAACGCCATGGGGTTTGAACATGTTCCCAGCAACCTATGCTGGTCTTTGAACATGTTCCCAGCAACCTATGCTGGTCTTTGAGCATGTTCCTAGCAACCTATGCTGGTCTTTGAGCATGTTCCCAGCAACCTATGCTGGTCTTTGAGCATGTTCCCAGCAACCTATGCTGGTCTCTGAACATGTTCCCAGCAACCTATGCTGGTCTTTGAGCATGTTCCCAGCAACCTATGCTGGTCTTTGAGCATGTTCCCAGCAACCTATGCTGGTCTTTGAACATGTTCCCAGCAACCTATGCTGGTCTTTGAACATGTTCCCAGCAACCTATGCTGGTCTTTGAACATATTCCCAGCAACCTATGCTGGTCTTTGAGCGTGTTCCCAGCAACCTATGCTGGTCTTTGAGCGTGTTCCCAGCAACCTATGCTGGTCTTTGAGCATGTTCCCAGCAACCTATGCTGGTCTTTGAACATGTTCCCAGCAACCTATGCTGGTCTTTGAGCATGTTCCCAGCAACCTATGCTGGTCTTTGAGCATGTTCCCAGCAACCTATGCTGGTCTTTGAACATGTTCCCAGCAACCTATGCTGGTCTTTGAACATATTCCCAGCAACCTATGCTGGTCTTTGAACATGTTCCCAGCAACCTATGCTGGTCTTTGAGCGACCAAATGGATCAGGTGGTAAGGTCACTTGGTTGATAGCAGGTCATCGTACTTTGACAACGTGAATCATTGTTTACAATATCAAGCACTGCATTGTCTGGTCCAGACAGGGATTATATACAGGCCAACATTATTTAGCTGGCATTAAACAAACAATCAAGGAATAGGTTACCAATAGTCCAACAATCCCTCTGAACATGTTATCATAAGTACCCTGATGCCGGAGCGTGGCTCCTGAAATCTACCAGTAGTATTGATCAAAGATCATTTCATGTTCTTGTAATGTGTAGCTTATGTTGAAGACTGCTGCATAAGCCATTCACTTGCTTGCACCACACCATGTTTTTCAACTTGGGTATTCTGAACATTCCATGAACATTGATGCTGCTGAATCTCTTCGAGAGATGAAGGCAAAGTATTTGTTCCCAACATGATTTATTTCAAAATAGTGTGGGAAGGGCAAATACGATTTCTTGGAATATGAAAGTGACCTTAATTTGTTTTCGTAAGAGGCGAATACGGTGGCTCCTTTATCAAGACCTTTACAGGCTCTATCATAGCTAGTGTTTGCAGAGTGGCGTCCAACATGAGTCCAAGGTTTACTTGTTCGGTGTGTTTCAACATGATCTTGGCTGAAGGCGATGACGGGAAGGACAATTTCCGAACTGTTTAAATGATATTCATGGAGAACATTTAAGATGATGTAGGTAACTGCAGGACTTGTTAATTAGTTGACTTGTTGCAAGGTTGAAAATAACGTGCAGGAACATGCGCTACACTATTTAGAAATGTCTTGATCAGTTGAGTATGGTCGCCGATCGACTACACATCACGTTTTGAGTTCACATATGAATGCTGAAAGAAGCATACATAAAATTACACTATTTATATCGTGATAATTCGTCACCAAAGCTACGGTAGCCGAATTGGTGACGGAATTCAGCGATCGGATAGCGTGGAAATGAGATTATATTGATCTCGTTTGCAGCCTAGGTGATACCTTGTTCTTGGGCCTGGTTATCAGGGGAAGGTTGCGACCAATAAATTAATGTGAATAAACAATCTTCATGAATAATAAAAACCTGAATATGTATCTCTGCCAGTGGTCATAACAAAACAACTGCCAGTTTGTAACTTTTCAAATTGTGACCCTCATTTGGGGGTCGACACAAAAACACCCCAATCAGCCTCCGCGAGTATTCCTGACGTAAGAAGGATGTCCCTTTCATCGTTATATTAAACTAGTCGTCGACTGTCCATTTCATGTGAGGTCACAAGCCCATCTCGCCACACAGCCTCGGGCCACTGGATAGTTACACAGCTTCACTGTACTGTTTATTTCAAATATTCCATATGCCCCTGTCGACAAGCTGCATGGTCATGACTCCCAGCAAATGTACCCGTGAAGGATATGCTAGCAATCCATGCTTTTCATGAGAGGCGACTAACGGATCGGGTGGCCAGGCTCGCTGACAATGCTGACGCATATAATTGTATCCCAATTGTTGAGATCGATGCTCATGATGTCAATCAATGGATTGTCTGATCCAGACGCGATCATTTACAGACTGCCGTCACATAGCTGGAATATTGCTGAGTGCCGCGTTAAACAACAAACGGTTTAAAACGGCTCCAAGCAAAGTAATGCCTACATGGGACGCTGCTGTTAAAGTATAGAGTAACTGTACATAGTTCAGTGTACCTCCACAATGACGAATATATAATACAATTAGTATAAACTGCCAGGCAAAAGAAAGTTTTCACCTGAAAATTAGATTTGACCATAAAATTGATAAAGCTATCAAAATGTTGTTAGGCTGTAAACAGTAGCTAAAACACTGCAATATTAAATGTATCACCATCGAATGACCATCCAGTGATTGACATCATGAGCGTCGATCCACGCAATTGAGATACGTTGACATGCATCAACCAAGTCAGCGAGGCTGACCACCCGATCCCGTTAGTCGCCTCTTATTCGACAAGCATATTCGCCTTTCACGGCAGGCATTAGTTGCTGAAGACCTATTCTACGAATTTTGTTAAATGCCGCATTCAGCAATGTTAAAGCAATATCACGCCGCTCTGTAAATACCTGAGCCTGGGCCAGATAAACCGATGGTCGACATGATGAGCAAAAGTATCACGCATGCATTCGTGTGCGAGGGAGTTATTCTAACCCGGGTCCATCAGGATGCGATTGTTTTGCCTGAAACAGGTTTCACCCTTTTGGGTGTGAATAACTGGGGAATGTCAAGGAGGCATTCATAGTGTGATATAATGACACGGAAGGATGCCAGCCACAATTACAAGCAGGTAATATGAGGTGATCAAATGACAAACTGAAGAATGTACAACAAAACACGGTGACGGTCGACCTTCGATAAAAGGGGTCAACACACAACATCTGGAGACACAATCTTGAGGCTGAGAGAGTGATCTGGTATCATTTGAAACATTCAGCAATATGTAGAAAGAAACCTCAACCAAGTGAAATAGACATGCATAAACAACACAAACTGTGCAGAGAGATCCAGTGTTGAAAGGTGAGGTGAAATGGGGTTTAACGTCGCGTCCAAGATTATTGCACTTATATAGCGACGTGCATGTACGTGTGTGTGTTTGTGTGGCTGCTTGTACTAGTCCAGACTGATGCCGATTTATAGTGCTAGCTCACTGAGATACCATGCCGCAGTTTAACATGAATATCTCACTCAGACACAGTATACTGACTCCGAGCCGACCAGTCCTTGTTTTAGCCCCTTAATGCCGAGCGCCAGACAGGGTAACACCAAGTACCATCTTTTAACGTCTTTTGGTATGACGCGGCCGGGGATCGAACCCAGGACCTTCCGCTCTCCGGGCTGACGCTCTACCATTAGACCACGGAGGCGGTCTAGTGTTGAAACCGGTTTTGTTTTCACAACGAGCTGTCCAGTCACATGACTACATACAGTCAGCCATGCGTCCACTTCCGCCATAAGTAATCTCGACGCATCGGCCCATACAGTGTGTTGTCAACAGCAATGTTCGTGCTTCTTGTGACTGTAGTTGTGCTGGCTGTGTTGTGGCTGTTGACGCGGCGGCGTTCTGGACTTCCCCCCGGCCCCCCTCTGCTCCCGTTTGTGGGGAACGCCCTGTCTATGGGCTCTGATCCCCGGGTCACGTTTAAGAACCTCCGACAGAAATACGGTGACATATTCAGTTTCTATGTTTTCAACAGACCAGTCATCGTTCTCAACGGCTACAGCGCTCTGAGAGACGCATTTGTCAAGAACGGTGATATATTTTCGGACAGGCCGCATTCTTTCATCAACGACTTTGTCTCAAAAGGGAAAGGTAAGCTGTTCAAATTGTCAAATCACCTGTACCATTCCACAAAGCAAACAATTACACACAAAGTCTCTGATTATGTATTTTTCTAAAGTATAAACGGTAATATGTCAACCAGAGTAAACTACACATTGGGACAAAAACATGGACTATAAAACAGTAGGAGAAATACCACAGGTATAATATATATATCAAACTAAAAAAAACAAAGACCAAAACATATCTAGACAACAATATGAACTGCCAGAATTATTTAATTTATTCATGTATTTGTTACCTAATTAAAACAGCAATAATATTTGACATAATTTACAAACCAATTTCAAATGACGTTCAAATAAAATAACCAGATTTCCTGCGTTATAACGAGTTTAACCTGATCGCGTTAAGTAATATGCTTTTGTTACTTGTTGAGTCAATAAGTTAACCCACACAGTTTATGGGAAAAGACTTCAGTGTGAATCTAACAAACAACAAAGGAATGCTATCCAAATAATAATTGTATTATAACTAGGTTTACAAATCAATACAAAATACTGCACACAATAGAGTGACAGTGCCAAATTCAATGTCAGTACAATTACAATGGCAGTATAAAATATAATATCAGTGGTAGTATCCGCCTAGCAGCAACAGTGGTAAAGCTTCCAATTGGCTGGATATCTAGAGTGAAAACAATGATCTTCACACAACCTTGATGTAATGAAATATGTAACGTGGGATCTGTGAGGCACTCTCTCTCATGTTGTCTAATACCTCCGGCAAGGTTCTATCCTACGCTGGATTCGTCGAGCTTTTCTAAACGCATCTAAATATAGTAACTTCCACACCACTGCTTACATTAGATAATGCTAGATTCCTGACAACTTACCCTCTCTCATGTTGTCTAATACCTCCGGCAAGGTTCTATCCTACGCTGGATTCGTCGAGCCTTTCTAAACGCATCTAAATCTAGTAACTTCCACACCACTGCTTACATTAGATAATGCTAGATTCCTGACAACTTACCCTCTCTCATGTTGTCTAATACCTCCGACAAGGTTCTATCCTACGCTGGATTCGTCGAGCCTTTCTAAACGCATCTAAATCTAGTAACTTCCACACCACTGCTTACATTAGATAATGCTAGATTCCTGACAACTAACCCTCTCTCATGTTGTCTAAAACATCCTGCAAGGTTCTATCCTACGCTGGATTCGTCGAGATTTTCCCAAACCATCTAACTATAGTAACTTCCACACCACTGCTTACATTAGATAATGCTAGATGCCTCACAACTAACCAATGTCAAAACAAAATGATATAAACCACTACTGAATCGTAACAGAAGTGATGTAATAATACAATTACAACAGTGTTTAACAATAAATTACACTGCAAAATAACACTTTCATCACAAGAGATACATGAAGGTGGTTAATCCACATCAGCATATCTTCAGCAAATATTCATGGATTAAACAGATTATCGCCGATTATATGTCTGACTGCAGGTACTCCAGTCTGAACCACACAGTGAGTGATTTAAATTTAATGTCGCATCGGCATTTTTTCAGCCATATACCGACGAGACCTAGTTAATATGTTTACAATTTAGTCATTTTTGCAAAGTTATATTTAAAAACAATTTATGAAACATATTTGAGCATAACAATATCATGTAAACAATTTTAAAACACGGGCTATGGCCCACCAGTAACCAAGCTTGATTAACATTCCCACGCCATTGGGGTCTGATTTCACAGTCTTATTATTAAAACTTCCAGGAATAGTTGGAACCTCCGGTGACGTCTGGCGTGAACAGAGGAAGTTCACCCTTAATACTCTGAGGGAATTTGGTGTAGGAAGGCCTGTTATGGAAAACAAAATACACCAGGAGGTCTCGCATCTTCTCGCAGCCTTTGAATCAGAGAAAGGACTGGGGTTTGACTGCAGGCGCTTGTTACACAATTCAGTGTCCAATGTTATCTGTTCCACAGTGTTTGGAAAACGCTTTGAATATACGGATCCTCTATTTATCACATTTCTGGACATTCTGGATGACATCATGGCAGTTTCAGCAGCCACAAACGTCGTAAACTTTTTACCCTTCTTACGGTTCTTGCCTGGGGATCTTTTCAAGGCGAAGAGAGCCTTACACAACGATGACCTAATGGAGTCTCTGCTATTGAAACCAATGTTAGAAGAACACTTGAAACAGCGTGATGATGGGAACGTGGACGACGTAATGAGTGCATACATCAAGGAAATGCAACAGCGTCAACAACAGAAGGAGTTCACGACAATGGATTGTAAGTACCTGTCAATGTCCCCGTCACCTTTAGAGTGAAGCGTTTCTTCTGTAATGTCAAGGTTTTTCCTTAACAGTCGCACATTTTCTATGTATTGTTTAACAAATCATCTTTCTATAACGGAATCATTTAGTTCAAGCTATATTGCTTAACCTTACAGTGGGAAATCTCAAGAGAGTTATCGCCAACCTGTTCGTTGCCGGGACAGAAACAACAGCCACTACAATACGCTGGGCACTGGTCTACTTCCTGAACTACCCGGATGTTCAGGAGAAGTGCTTCCAGGAGATCCTGGAAAACATCGGCCAGAGCAGACGGCCCTCCATGAAAGACAAGACGAACCTTCCTTACGTGGAGGCCACCATTATGGAAGTGCTGAGACACGCTGACATTGCTCCCCTCAGCGTTCCCCATACCGTTCCCCACGATGTCCAGTTCCGAGGATACACTTTCCCTAAAGATGTCTTTATCATCCCCAACCTAGATTCTGTCCTCAAAGACGAAGATGTCTGGGGTGACCCGGAAAACTTCAGACCTGGGCGTTTTCTTGACTATGAAGGAAAACTCCAAAAGAAAGAAGAATTCATTGCTTTTTCTCTAGGTTAGCATAGGTTCTTGATCATTCGACGGCGGCTTTGCCGCCATGACATATTTGTAATACTTCTGTTAAAAGTCTTTGGGGACATGGTGGTTTATGGGTAATTGTATATGCAATTCATGCATTTCTAATTTTGTCTCCATTTGTTTGTGACAATTCATTTTTGGTATATGTGTTGGTAGTTGTTCATTCTTTTTTAATTTAATCAAACCCTAAATTCCTAAAATGTGTTGCAAAATTTGTCACAGTTATTAAAAGGGGACCCTGTATAGTCTTCAGTGCTTATTCCACATGGTTTCAATGGTGTTTCCGAATTCACGGTACGGAAGGTAACCGTATATTAGACAACACAATAGTGAAGCATATCAAAGTGGAACTACGGAACGCATAATGCTTTCGAACGAGTATTATTTTGTTACTTCTAATTGTGTTCATATAACAATCTGAACAACTCTGTTTTTCAATTTGTAACAGTTTTCTGAAAGATCTATAGGACTTGTGGGTAATTGAATAGAAAGTACATGCATAACATGTCACATTTTATTTGTTATCTGTTCTATATTTTCTATATTTTTTCAGTTGTTTAAATCGCATTCTTTCATGATCAGGGAAAGTGTTTAAAAGGTTTTAGTCTGCGTGCCGCATACGCCACGACGTTCTTGACTTATGCGTGACCAACTCGTGTCCACTCGGGACAAGATGTGCCCCTCTCGAAGGTTTCGTATTGGCGTATGAACACAAGAAGTACTTCAAACAAGAACGATAACTCTTGTTCTATCTTCCCTCGTCTTACAGTAAAATGTGGCGTTATAGCAGCGCTCGCTTATTCCTGTTGTCAAAGTAGAGATTCTATCATTTAGAAAAAAATATATATTTGGTAAGCAATAACACTCATTCATTCTAAGCTGTCATGACTGAATTTGTCCTTTCATGGATAATGTTAACAAATAGTATACACATTTGATATATGTTCATTATAATAACTTTATGACGGAATGTCATATCCACTATCTGTACAGAAGTATTTCTAAATACAGACAAACAAAATAGTAAGACCATTTTAATGTTCGAACTTTGTGGGGATTCCCAAGTAGCCTCTGCTTGTCGTTATTGGTGGGGTGGTCAGGTTTGGTGCATGGGTTCATTGCGTGCCATCGTGCCTCCACGATGCTGATCGTTGACAGTTTGCCTGATCAAGTCTCGATTATCCACTCAAGTAAAGACATGAAGCTGAATACTAAACATATGCTGCTTTTAAAATACAACAGCTTTGGTATAGTTGGTATTTAACTGAAGAAATTGTGTTAGAATAGCATAGTCCCTTACAGGTTTAATGCAGAATATATGTACGTGATCCATTTAGATTGTTTGAGACCTCTAATATATAATGCCTTCATTTTCCATTAAGAGTTTCTGTAAGTACTTAATGCTGATATGTGTACGATAGTGTACTGCATGATAGGGCGAGGGTTTTCTTTTACAAATTTCGAAATATTTCGTTTGAATATCTTCATTAAATATTTTGGGGAATTATTTTATTGTAAATATATTTTGACGAACACAGAGTTTGCCGCCTTGTTGTTGCATCGCATCAAATGTTTTCTTGTGACATCTGTTTCAAACACATAAACTACTAGGAAGTTTTGATTATCGCAATTCTTGTATAGTATATTATGACGATGATCGTAAAGATGGAGTAGTGATTTACTGGTTGATTATAACTATAATGATGGGGATATGTTGGACTTATTGCAGGTCGGAGAGTTTGCCTGGGGGAGTCAATGGCCCGGATGGAGCTCTTCTTATTCCTCACTAGCATGATTCAGAGGTTCCAGTTCGTCCCCGTGAACGGACGAAAGCCACCAACAGATGGAATAATGGGCTTAGTACATTCGCCAAATAACTTCCAAGTAAAAGCAATTCCCCGCAACTAATACTGTTCGGATCAGCACAGGATCAGTCAGTCATTGTTACGAGTGATTTCCATATTGAAACACCAAGGCTAAGACAGAACTCGGTATGTACAAGCCTTATTGTAAAATCAGTAAATAACGATTAAATATCAATGAAATATCAATAAATTATATTCCAACATACAGTTTTACGTTTTCAATGAAAAAAGGCAATACCATGGACAATCTCCCGTAATGGGATGTCCTCAGATCTTGTCGTCAGCGAGAACTTAGATCTGATTTTAATGAGATTGTACCATGGGTCAAGTAAGTGGCACCACCATTAAGTAACAGGCACTTGAATTAGTGAAAGCACGCTCACGAACGTTCGGTATTTTATCACTGTCGAATGTCTTGAATACGGAATAGTGTTGGAATCTGGCAGGAATATGGTGTTAACTACTAGGTATCCAAATAGATAAGACACAAGTCGGGTAAAAAAAAGTCCTTGATTGCCCTCTTCTCGCTCTTCTATACATGTAGGTACAGCCAGCCTCCTTGAAACTTTCTTTATACTTTGCCTGTATATGTAAGTAAAAGCGACAAACCCCTTTCCATATTCGTTCGAAATTTCTGTTAAAGTAGAGTCGATTAAACGATTTCGGCTATAGGGCATGGACATGCGGTTATGAATCACTATGAAATAGTGATGATACCAGGACTGGTGTTCGCGAAAAGGTGCGCGTATCCTGCCCCACCGGTGACACCCGTCACACACATACGCAAAAGCAAGTCAATTGTTTTTCACCTGAAGAAACTCTGTGACATACTGTACACGTTAGAATAAGAAATTGCATCTGACCTAATTTTTGTCACTGATGCTTCAAATTTGGAAATGTACCCACGTGTCTACCGTAAATGTTATTGAAAACCTTGAAGGCTGTAACGACCAGTGAAGATGCGAGGTAGAATAGGTCTTCAGCAATCCATGCTTGCCGTAAAGGGCGACTATGCTTGTCGTACGAGGCAACTAACGGGATCGGGTGGTCAGGCTCGCTGACTTGGTTGATGCATGTCATCGGCCCCAATTGCGTGGATCGATGCTCATGATGTCAATCACTGGATTGTCTGGTCAAGACTCGATTATTTACAGACCGCCGTCTTATAGCTGGAACATTGCTGAGTGCGTCGTTAAACAACAGACAAACAAATTTGGTAGCGATCGTTCGGCCATGGCGTTTATATACGTTACCCAGCTACATCTATGGGGAACAACTCACTAGATTCTTTCCTCTCAAAATAATATCGTCTAATTTACGACGTCATAAAGCTGCGAGCGAATATCCAGATAGAACAATGTTTCATCGTGAAATAAACCACGTTTCGTTGTTCATTGTTCTTTACAATTTGTCGCGTAGCTATCTTATATCATAATGTAAACTTGATCCCATAGGTATAAACACATTTTTAATGTTATTTTAATTACATATGCATTTTCACATATCTCATATTGTGTTATTTCGGTAAATGTAGGCCAACGGCCCATTGTTTCGTTTGATTACATGACGTGCAGAATACATACAATATATTTGTGAAATGGAGTTGGATTTATGACATTATACCGAGTGTTTTACGTTGATTCATTTCCTACTATCTGAATATGATTAAATCCATCATCAGTTTGGTTATGACGTTCCAATGACAAAGCAGTTACATCACCAAAGCAAGAAAGCACGTGGAAGTCTATATCTAAGGTCAATCATGTTATCGATATTTCATTTTAGACAGCATCTTCGGTTATTATATTCAACAAAACAAGAGAGTATACATGGTATGAACATTCACATAAAAGCTCTACCATATTCATGTTTTGATTGACAATATTGCGAGAACCATGCCAGCACTACACATCATGCACGTGCATTGTCTGTCATTTACTCCCTTTCGGCACTCGCAAGCAGTACATCATCACTCGCCAACACTCGCCAGCAGTGCGTCATGCCTCGCCAACATTAGCCAGCAGTACATCATCACTCGCCAACATTCGCCAGCAGTACATCATCACTCGTCAGCAGAACATCATCACTCGCCAACACTCGCCAGCAGTACATAATCACCCGTCAGCAGTACATCATCACTTGCCAACACTCGCCAGCAGTACATCATCATTCGTCAGCAGTACAACATCACTCGACAAAACTCGCCAGCAGTACATCATCCCTCCTCAGCAGTACGTCATGACTCGCCAACACTCGCCAGCAGTACATCATCACTCGTCAGCAGTACATCATCACTCGCCAACACTCGCCAGCAGTACATCATCACTCGCCAACGCTCGCCATCAGAACATCATCACTCGCGAACCGCCAGCAGAACATCATCACCCGCCAACACTCGCCAGCAGTACTTCATCACTCGCTAGCGGTACATCACCCTGTTTAAACGAGTAAATATTTAATATACATTCAGTATATATTTAATATAGCCTGTATACAAACCGTTTGTGAAATGCCCACTCGATGACAACCTCTGACGCCACCTGAGCAACAACCCATCTCTTATGAAACCTGAGACATGAACGCCACAGCCCTGATCATCCTCGCAGTCGCATTCAAATGGGTTGTCTATTCAACAACATGGCTTTATCCGTACCGAAGCCCTTCGAAACCGGGTCCGACTAGGCAGTTTCCTCGACAGTTCCACTGACATGTTTTTTAAACTGACGAATCCAGTTTCAATGTGAATGGTGATGATGGCCGGCTCAAGGTTTATGCAGAATTAGCGAACACTGCATTGTTCGCCATGGAAGTAAATAGGTTCGGGGGATGGCATATTGTGGCACACGCTACAGGGGAAACTGTCATACCTTTTCTTTAATTTACGTTTGTACACAATATCTTAAATTAGTCTATGTATATTTATCTGGTGTTAATGATATATTGTATCAGCTTGGGTGGTTTTAAGTAAATAAATTAATCTGAATCTGACACTTTTATAGCGTGTATACTTTGTTTCTTGTTCAGATTGTGCTGGTCAGGACAGTTTTAGTTTCGGGGAATTGCTTTTACTTCGAATTGTTTTGGAGAAAGTGTAAAGCGCATTTTCCCATCTAATGGCGGCTTCTGGCCGTCCACCGGGAGGAACTGGAACCTCTGGATCATGGTAGTGAGGAATAAGAAGAGCTCCATCCGGGCCATCGACTCTCCCAGGCAAACTCTTCGACCTTGAAATATGTCAACAGAAAGTACAATGTCAATATTGTATGTATGTATATGTATATATATATATATATATATATATATATATATATATATATATATATATATATATATATATATATATAGTGTATCTGTGTGCGTGCGTGCGTGTATGCGTGCAAGATGTTACAAGTCTATGGATTAAGATATGTCACGTTTATTGTAACTCACCCAGAGAAAAGGGGATGAATTCATCCCTCTTTTGAATCTTGCCTGCGTCGTCAAGGAAACGGTCTGGTCTAAAGGTTTGCGGGTCTCCCCATACATCCGGGTCTTGAAGGACTGAATCAAGGTTCGTGATAACTGTGACTCCTTTTGGGAAGGTGTAGCCTCTGAACTGGACATCATGTGGAACGGCGTGAGGGACACCAGTAGGGACAATGTTACCATATCGCAACACTTCCATAATGGTGGCCTCCACGTAGGGAAGGTTCGTCTTGTCTTTCATGGAGGGCCGTCTGCTCTGACCAACGTTCTCCTGGATTTCTTGAAAGCACTTCTCCTGAACATCCGGGTAGTTCAGGAAGTAGACCAGTGTCCAGGGTATTGTGGTGGCCGTTGTCTCTGTGCCAGCATTGAACAGATCAGCAATGGTCCGAGCCAGATTCTCCACTGCCAACAGGAACCAAATGTCAATGCCGCGACAGATGTACCATGAGACAGACAAAAACTTAAGCCAGACAGTAATATACCTACGAAAGGCATGTTGAAAGGTTAATATGCAGAAGGAGATGAACATTTTTTAAAATTGAATCAATGCAGATTCTGAAAGAAAATTCAGTTTCCTCGATCTGGAGGGGCGGGGGCGGTCGGGTAGCCTAGTGGTTAAAGCGTTCGCTCGTCACGCCGAAGACCCGGGTTCGATTCCCGACATGGGTACAATGTGTGAAGCCCATTTCTGGTGTCCCCCGCCGTGATATTGCTGGAATATTGCTAAAAGCGGCGTAAAACCATACTCACTCACTCACTCCTCGATCTGGCAACTTCAGACATGTTCACTGAATCAACGATGCATTTGGATAGTTTTTAAGAACACGGTAAAACACAAGGGCCAGCTGAAGGTCAAACTTAATACACAGTATATATTAAGAGAAACGATATAGATTGAATCCAAACACTACATATATACTCAATTCCTCACACCTTGATCAACAATATCTGATTTTTAACCATAAATAGGTTTTACATCATGGCTACCTTTGTCGCTACATGAAAATTCAAAATTCTCGAACAAATACAGATGACATGTTTGACGGGAATATGCATATGAAATTTCACCTTCATTGGAGATGATGTTTACAATGCGAGGAAATGAAGTTAGAAAGACGTTAGGAGCATATCAAAGTACAAGGGTCAAATAAATTAATAAGTAAAATATATATTGAATCCCACTACCGACTACTCGTATGTCAAGATATTTACACACGGCATAAACTGTGGCATAAGCCCACTTGACTTTCAGACACTCACATATGCAGCTATACATAAAACTTTACATAATACTATGTTTGAATAAGTTAAGGATATAATACCTCACCCCACACGAATACATATTATGGTATTTATGTCACAAGAAAAGTAACATTTTGTGCTGATACGAGTCTATTTCGAAATGTTGCATCAACAAAGCAAAAGTATTTTGATTTTGATGTAAAACAATAGCATTCCTTGTTACTATCACAGCTTAGTTACATTCTAGATTTCCCGCCCTTCACATACATTTAAAATGTCTATTACATGTAGGTACTATGTTATTCTATAAATATATCATGTACCATTGTATACCAAAAATGTAAATTCATCATATGTATATATGTAGATGTATGTGTGAGTGTATGTAGGTATATGTGTTTGTGTGTAATACTGTATATCTATGAATATGTGTGTGTTATTATATTTTCTCATTACTTGTAATTCCTATGCACTGTACATTTATTCTGCACCACAGAATTCACATACCACAACGTAATGAAATGTATATAGGAGAAGGCCTCGTAAGTGTGTCACTTGTGCCTAATCCATTTGGTTTTCCGCAATAAAATATGTTTAAATCAAATCAAAGCAAAAGTACTGATAACCTTTGTTTTTTAAATAGTGTCAGAAGCAATAAAGCCTCGGCTGTAAATATCCAACAACACCCTGAGCTACGGAAAAACATAATGTTTATCCTATAAGTACCTTTAAGTACAATTAAAACTTACAGTCTAACGTGGTGGTGTCTTGTTTCTGTTGGCGAAGTCGCATCTCTTTCAAGTATACGTGGATAAAGTCGTCCAGGTTGTCGTCATCGTGATTGTTTATGTGATCTTTAATTGAAGGATCTATTAATAGATTAACCACCCAATTCATATTGTTCATTGTTTTCCTGAACAGGAACGGATCTCCAGGCAAAAATCGAACAAGTGGGAAAACGTTCAATAATCCATATGCTGGAATGTTTTCAAAATTCTCTTCCATTGCTGTCAGGAATGTGACGAAGAGAGGGTCTGTATATTCAAAACGTTTGCCAAAGACAGTGGAACAGATGACATTTGACACGGCGTTATGCACAAGACGCTTAATGTCAAAACCCTGGCCTTTCTCTTCCTCCACGGCTGCCACAAACTCTGCGATTTCCTGGTTTATCTTGTCTTCCATGACGGTTCTTCCCACCCCAAACTCTCGCAGAGTGTTGAGAGCAAATCGCCTCTGTTCGTGCCACACTTCCCCGGAGGTTGAGGCAACTCCTGTCGGAAGAATTCAACAAACAAAATCATTGACATGACAAAATAATGAGTGAATCTTGAGTCTTATCACGGCGTGTCAGCTTGATGTGGGAGCAGGTCTTTGTGAAAACCATGGGTACGGGTAGGGTGAAGTGCAAAACTAGAAACACAATCAGGGCGAATCTATGATCATAGGGTTTTTGGCATACCCCAGGGAATGGACTCTGTACAGGCAACTGCGGTTTTTGGCATACCCCAGGGAATGGACTCTGTACAGGCAACTGCGGTTTTTGGCATACCTCAGGGAATGGACTCTGTACAGGCAACTGCGGTTTTTGGCATACCTCAGGGAATGGACTCTGTACAGGCAACTGCGGTTTTTGGCATACCTCAGGGAATGGACTCTGTACAGGCAACTGCGGCGCCTTAGATGACACCCGTGCCCCCTATACGTCAAAATAAAACACACGTGTTAAATAAAAGCGACAAAACTCTTTTCATATTCCATAGAAATCTCTGCCAAAATCTGTCGATTGTACGATTCCGACAATATCATGAGCATGTGTTTATTCCAGGACAAGCCGAATAGCGACTCGTGCCCCTCTCATGGCCATTTTTGCGACTGGGTTCCGTCTTAGCGCAAACGGGCATACCTAAAACAAATGTCAACACTTTGCGTAATGGTTCATATATATTTCAGATGCAATTTAAAGCACATCGGGAAGTGCGGAATTATACAGTATGATTGAAGACATATAACTGTGTCTTGGGTTTATTTTAGATGCAAGACATATGTACAAATCAAAAAATATTTCTGAGAGATTATTTGACATAGAACTCGAAATCATAAGCGCATTCTGATTGGTTTGTCGTATTTTCGCACATAACATAACATAACATGCAGTCCATAATAAGCAAATTTTCAATCCCCGAAGAAAAAGCCGATCTATATTTCGAGACTTTCAAACTTAGAGCGTTGTTTCCCTTTACAATCCGATCTTAGTTATTTGCGGCAGCGAGCGCTAAGATCTGATGTTAATGTGATTGGACTGCGTCTGCATGAAGATTCTATTTTTGAAATTTGTCCGAAACTTATGATAAAACTATGATGCGCCTTCTCAGCCAATGGGCGATCGTTTCAATTTCTCTTCCCTTCACTAACCCGCTTGGTGCGCTGACCCGGCCGGTCAAACATTAAACTGACAGCGCATGTGGTATGCGCGATACGAGCGATACGTGTTACGATCCTTTAGATAGTTAACCAGCTTCACATCAATCGGTAACGTTCACTATGGTGTATGCGCAGTATATCTTTTCGCCTAAACAATGATCTATCTATTGTCATGTCCTAATATATATATATATATATATATATATATATATATATATATATATATATATATATATTATGTGATTGAATGATACACCAGGGATGAACACGACTGCTTACATTGTAATAATAGACCACTAGCTGCCGTTCGACGCGAGTCTGTGGGATCAGCTGATCGTTCATTACAAGTCGCTTTGTTGACGTTTTGCAATCGGTACTGAAAGTGCTGCCCTTGATGTTTGAATATCACACTTTTTAAAAATGAGGTTTAGTTTCATTGTACACGTACCCATATCGATGTTGTATTATCGCCGATCAGACTATATTTCAGTACAGCGGTAAGGCGATGAGGTACGCGAAATGTGAAGGTCTTATGCAACATAAAGTTTGCCAGTAAATGCTGTGAATTTTGACAGCAACACAAGTACTTATCAGGTATATAACTGAAAGAGGTGAGCATCATATTTCAAAACATTGTGAAAAGACAGGCACTGACAAATTCTCATCAACTACATATCAAAATACAAATTACAAAAATGAAAGTGAAATCACTGAAATCCATTTTGATTTTTGTTGGGGTTAATTAGTGGATGGTGTATAAACAGATTTTATGGATGAATGGTGGCTGTTTGTTGCCAAACACTACGATGATAACGTTTCATGGGATCTTGGAAATAAAAAAACTAATTTTCAATCTCAATACTGATGATTGTATGAACATCGCCTACATCCAGTTTGCTTTGACAATGATCAGATGATTGTAATAAATCAAACTCATTCTTAATTTCGTCAGACCTTGCTTTTTTATGTTCCTTGTTCTAAACTGATATGTTTCAAATTCCCACGCAAACGAATTTATGTCATTCTTTTTTCTCTTAACATAAAAAGTAATAATTACCTGCATTGCACAATGTTCTTACTTTATTTGATATATTTTTATAATTTTGCATATGTACTGGTATAAGATTACACATACATGACTTTTTAGCAGTCACTATATATACGTATTTAATCTGTTATCTGTACAAACAAATAACATAAATACTGGTAAATGCATTGATCGTTGATCGCTGTGCAGAGTTGCGTCCCTTGGGCACGCCAGAAACCTATGATTGTGGGTTCGAAATTCCGGCTGGCCCCGATTATGTTTCTAGGTTTGTCAGCACCATACCCGTGCTCGTGGGTTTCACCGAAGTGGTATACGTCTGAGACCTGCATCACTTTGAGCTTTCCTCCCACATTAAGCTGACACGCCGCGATATAATTGGAATACTGTTAAAAGCGGCGTTAAACCAAACTCACTCACTCATATCAAATATTTTAAAATATAAGTCATGTCGAAGAGGATGTAATTTTATTAATGACTTTAAAATTCCAAACATTGCTTTTTTCCATCGTAAACCAGCATTAGAGAAATGACTTGACCAGGACAGGCTTCTCGTAAAAGTAACGCCCAAATATTTATGGGAAGACACATACTCCAACTTTAGACCTTTGTAATACCAAATCTCTTTTCTTGACAACACTCCACCTTTCTTAAAAACAACCTTGGTTTTATCCAAATTGACACCTAGATCATAATCATTACAATACTTTTCTAGAACATCAATACGCTTTGAAACATTTCAGAAAATGAATGTTAAAATTTAACACTGGCCTTAACAGCTGTATAAATAGACTGTATAGCTTTTATCATTTTGCCAGAGACACCTTTATTGACTAGTATTGACCATAATTTCATCCGGTTTACACTGTCGAAGGCTTTTGCAAAATCGACAAACAAACCATATACCCTACCCTTACGCTTACTGATATATCTCTGTATAATACACTGTAATATAAAGATATTATCTATGGTGGAGTAATCACGACGAAAACCAGCTTGGGACTCTGCAATTTTACCATAGACCTCACACCAAGACGTGACCCTTCCGTTCAAAATAGAAAGATACAACTAACTCAGTGCACTAAGGACTGATATACCCCTATAGTTGGATGGGGAATGGATGTCTCCTCGCTTATGTATCGGAACAATAATTCCCAAAGACCAAGATTCAGGAAAGTATGCATTATCAAACAACTTATTAAACAGCACTGTAAGATACGGGACAAAAATATCACTCGCATATTTAACAAATTCTGAAATGAGGTGGTCATTTCCTGCGGATTTATCACATTTCAAAGAGTTGATGGCACATAGCACCCCCTCTTGTGAAATTGGGGAGTCCAGAATATAGCAACTCATATCATCATGACTATCATTAATAGTTGTATCGGTGATAACCATATCTTCATCTGTTGGATTGTCAAACACATCTTTAAAATGATCGACCCATTGTTCTAGTGATATGTTAGGTAAAAGAGCTGCCACACTCTAAAAATAATGCTCTTATGGTAGACCAGAAACATTTACTATTTGGAAGACAAGATAAAACCTTATTACGCATATATTCATTATAACTTTTCTTTTTATCACTAATTAACGTGTATAAGTATTTCTTGATTTTGAATAACTAACTAAGGTGCTATCATTCTTAAGATGTCTATATATTCTGAAACACCTCTCTCTCTCTCCCACCTGTAGTACCGACACACACTGTCACACCAGGGTTGTGAGTGGCTGTCGCGAGACTTACAAGTCCTTTTCATGCACTGAGCAGCTGTATAAATGGCGTCCGTGCACCATATATATTATCTGGTAGTAACAGAGTACATTGTTCAAAACAATCAACCACGTGTGGCAATACAAGATTATCCCTGAACTGTTGTAGTTTCGCCATGTCCCACACGTAGTGGTAGTTTTCACGAGGCGCACGTGCGGCCCCTGCTGTCTCAACGGGAATCTCCAGGTCACGTGCTTGAGATGAACAAGATAGTGGAAGGTGTGAGGATTCTGCCCTCGACACAATATCAAATGTGTTACAGTGGAAGAATAGACTATTGGATACAATAATGTAGTCAATTACACTGGAGCCTGAGTGACCGATGTAAGTATAATCACCTATACCTAAATCCGTATCACAGCGACCATTTAGAAGAGACACGTATCTCAACGATGTCAGCTGTTGTTTTCCCCGAATTTAGAATGTCACAAACAACATCTTTACAACCAGTTTTGTTTTCTTCACTGTTTTCCGAAACTTCAAATAACAAAACATTGTTCTTTCTGCTATATTGTTCTAGTCTTTCTACTTCGTTCTGTAACTGGGGCGGTCGGGTAGCCTAGTGGTTAAAGCGTTCGCTCGTCACGCCGAAGACCCGGGTTCGATTCCCGACATGGGTACAATGTGTGAAGCCCATTTCTGGTGTCCCCCCGCCGTGATATTGCTGGAATATTGCTAGAGCGGCGTAAAACCATACTCACTCACTCACTCGTTCTGTAACTGTATCACTGTAGCTGTGGGTTCTGCAGGTATACTGTGAGTCTGCTCTATTTGGTCCAAACGTTCGTTTACTGCCTCAATATCTAAACGTAATATAGTCTGTTCACCCTTTAGGTCTTCCATATCTCGCTTAATGTCTTCCACGGTACCAATGAGTTTGCGAGTTTGGGTTTTAATGTCCCTAATATCACGTGCAAGCTCACTTGTCATTGAACGAAGTTCCTGTATAATCTCTGATTTTAACGCAGTAAGTTCAGACCTGTCAACACCTTTACCATTAGGTCCGGGATTAGTTTCCGCGTCCCTCGAAAGTAGAATATTATCTCAGCAGGTACTGATGATACAGCTCGCGTTGTACATACATGTCAGTAAGACCCGTGAAGAACCGGGCTAGAATAGGTCTTCAGCAACCCATGCTTCAGCAACCAAAAGGCGACTATGCTTGTCGTAAAAGGCGACTAACGGGATCGGGTGGTCAAGCTCGCTGACTTGGTTGATACATGTCAACAATCCCAAATGCGTGGATCGATGTTCATGATGTAAATCCCTGGATTGTCTGGGTGCGGCGTTAAACAACAACAAACAAACAAACAAACAGCATGTCAGTCACACCCATGTAGCAAGGACCCGATTGCCTACATCAACATACGGCGACCAAGTATAGCAGGATAGTGCATAGTTTTAGATAACTCGTCGACATATGTTACCAAAACAAGATGATACAACTATCATTTACATCTATTTATGAATCATACACATATTGTGGGGTAGTCAGTATGATTTGTTGTTTGTTGGGACAGGTCTCTGTAATTTACTACTATTTTAAAAGCATGAGTATCAGAATGTTGTAAGATATTGGTCAATAAATTAGCACCAGTGATGACTCACAGCACCAAATGAGGGGATACGTTTTTTAAAGGGCAGAATAATATAGGTATTTTTCATTTCAAATTATGATTACAGGTATGTCTATTGCAACTGAGCAGGTGATTGGTTGTTGGATGCATTGTAGACTTTGATATGGTATATTTCTAAACAATATTGTCAGAATTAAAAATAAAGAAAATCAGATGTAAGTGGAAATGTTGATATAAAAGAAACATTTAAAATCATTTGTTTTTATTCTGAATGTTATTTCTTCTTCAATTGGTAGTAAAGGCACGGATGTATAATATTATTAGACCCCTGGTGAAGACCTGTGAAAGATGTCAGTGTTCTGCAAATGTAGGCATGGTATCTCCAATTTTTTGGAATTGAATTCATTCAAGGTAGTATGTAAAACTATTTGTTATATTTGAATGCTGCAATAGTTAAGGACTAACTAGCGAAATAACACAAAGGCTGATAAATAAATTACAATGCCTCGCTGTTTTCTGACGTAGAAAATGCCGTGGCAAAATATCATGGACTTTTCCCGCTATCTGCCATCGTGTCAGTTTGTGTTTTAGTTGAAGACTGAACAAATGTTGATATTCTATACTAATAATCTACAAAATATGTGCTCGATAAAAAAATTCAGGTGTAAAGACCGGTTTCGAATGAAGGTGAAACGGCAACGTTTAAGATTGGTTCCGCCTATAGATGTCACTAGTTGTCGCAGCGCACATTGATCCGGGAACCAGACCGGTAGCGACAGATTGAACCATCACTCTTTCTAAGTTTGTGCTTTCTACAAATGACAACATCACACACTGACTTAACCCACTCTAAAATACATTCAACAGATTCCTCTTCTCTTTTGGACCACTTGGCATACATGTATGCTTTAACTGCATCTATAATGATTTTAAAGTTGTGATTTCAATTGCTAGGAGATTGCTCTCGATATTTTGGTCCATACTTGAATAACAGACGAAGGTTGTCATTGTCAACACTAGATCTAGAGATGTCACGTGTGATTATATGACCTACAGGTTGAGTCTTGGCAGCCACAAGTAGTGGAATGTACATCACGAGCTGCCAAGTCCACGTCCTGCAACACGTTCCTATAATTGAACAACCTGGATGAAATGGTGTTCGTATAGGAAAATGTTGGTGGTTCCTGAAATGTGAAATATTGTGGGCTTTTTTGGGAAAGTGATTAAGACATCAATTCCCTTGTTTGCAAATTTTAATTTCAAGAACATGCAGCCTTTACCTGATTTAGTGGAGTCTGTTCCTGGTCGGGCCTTACGTTTCAAAGCGATATCAAGAACTATACTCTCCAGTTGATACTGTGGGCTCTTACTGTTTGTAGACCCACCCATCAGCAATAGTTGCTGGGGTCGTTTAATTTCTTTAAATGACACAGAGTATAGCCTTGCTAGGCACAACCTCTTCCATATGCATGGTATCATTTGGCCGTCGTCCTTTCTTGTGAACATGGCAGGCGTCGACGTGCCGGCCATGTTTGAGTGAGTGAGTACGGTTTTACGCCGTTTTTAGCAATTTTCCAGCAATATCACGGCGGGGGACACCAGAAATGGGCTTCAGACATTGTACCCATGTCGGGAATCGAACCCGGGTCTTCGGCGTGACGAGCGAACGCTTTAACCACTAGGCTACCCGACCGCCCCCGGCCATGTTTGAAATCGGATCAGAAGTGTTAATAAATTTTTAGAATCGCAATTATGACACCTTGAATTCGGTTTCAATATAAAAAACGTACCTTTTCCCCGTGCTATAAACTCAGTTATAAAAGAATGTGGTCTATCTGAGAAGACGTCGGCGTTCTTGACAATGGCTTCCTTTATAACATTGTAGCCGTTGAGGACTATGAGGGGCTGGTGGAAGACATACACACTAAAGATGTCGCCATACCTCTGTCGGAGGTTCTTAAACGTGACCCGGGGATCAGAGCCCATAGACAGGGCGTTCCCCAAAAACGGGAGGAGAGGGGGCCCTGGGGGAAGTCCAGAACGCCGCCGCGTCAACAGCCACGACACAGCCAGCACAACAGCTAGAAATGAGCCAACTGTTGTAACTCCACACTCCCACATTGTCTTACGCTAGTTTCCAATTCGTCTATAACACGACACAAGAGCGAGAATGAGTTCAACTACTGATTCCAAACACCACTGGGTTATCAATATGTATAGACTGAGTCAGCTGAACAGTGCGCATGTCGGTCGTTCGTGTCGACTCCGAGCTGGCTCCCGTCAGTGGAAGGGAAGCTGGAAGCTACAGCTGACACACATCCCCAGTGTATTAAGTGTTGGAATTACCAGTATTCTCAGGAGACCCATTCATTCATTTAAACAAAAACATTTATAAAATATTAATCCATTATCCTTCGTGCTTTTCATTTTCTATGAGCTACTTATTCCTGTGATTCAGTCTAGAATATCTCTTGTTATCTCTTATCATTTCGGGCTTCCATCAAGCTGACACGCTGTGATATAACTGGAATACTGTTAAAAGCAGCGTTAAACCTAACTCACTCAATCACTCACTGGTTATCGTACGTCTTCAGTCACCTTCAAAACCGTTCGACCTGTGAACAAATTGAGTGAAAAGGATTGCGCTTTAACAGTATGACTTTATTCCAAACAGAATATACAGAACAATTATTTTGAGATACAATTGAGCATGCTCTTCCTACCAAGATTTTAAAGAGCGTCATACGACTCTTGCTCAGAAGTTGTTTGTACAAGGTGACAACATTCAAGGCCTCAGTAAAGCTTTTAAAACGTTTAATGGTAGACATGTGGAGGACATTTTCAAATTTGACGCATCAGTGACAAACTGATGTCCGATGCTATTTCCTATTTTGACTTGTACCACATGATCCCGTGTCTTTTGAGGTAAACAATTGACTTGCCTTTTCATGTGTTTGTGACGGGTGCCACATGTGGGTCAGGATACGCTCACCTTTTCGCGAACACCTGGTATCATTACTATTTGATAGTGATTCATAAACACATGCTCATGATATAGTCGGAATCGTACTATCGACTCTGCTTTATGCAGAGATTTCTGTTGGACATGGAAAGGGTTTCGTTGCTTTATTTGTTTGATAGAAAATGGTTTGCTAAGAGAGTAACCTGTCATTGAAGTGAAGTATAAGTTTGCTGGAGACTAACACTAATCTTATACGATTGCTATACTATGTATACGTTCAGGATTAATGGACAGGTGAACATGTTTTTTGCATGTGTTTGTGAGGGTGCCACGAGTCGGGTAGGATACGCTCATCTATTCGCGAACACCATTTGATTGTGATTCATACACGCGTGTCAGATGTTTGCAAGTCATGCGCCACATTTTGGCTGGACTAACTAGTCTATGCATAGTCCAATCAAAATCGCGCACCGAAATCGAAATCCGGTTCGTAAACTGTCGTGCAGTTTTCGGTCGATTGCAGAATTTGCAATGCGCCACATCATGTGCACGTGGAAGTGTCGCTGAGTTTAACTCATTTACATATTTTGTCACTTGTTACTCTTTTGACTGTATAAAGATTGAACCCTTGGAATGGATTTTATCAGGAATGGTTTCGGGCAGTGCGTTAACCCTATATTTCCCTGTAGGGATGGCATCTGCCCATTCACCGGGACGAACTGGAACCTCTGAAGCATGGTGGTGAGGAAGAGAAAGAGCTCCATCCGGGCCATCGCCTCACCAAGACAAACTCTTCGACCTGGAACAATTAATTAATTTGAATTTATATTCGGATGTTTCACAATATGAGATGTGTTTGTTTGTTTGTTTGTTTGTCGCTTAAAGCCACATTACAATATGCAACCTGGCTGTGTGTCACCGTACCCACCATGTTGATGCTGTTCATACCACCATTCTAGGTTTCCTTGACCAAGACCCTTATCATTACCAGACCGGAACGGTCGGGTAGCCTATTAGTTACAGCGTTCTCTCGTCACGCCGAAGACCCGGGTTCGATTCCCGACATGGGTACAACGTGTGAAGCCCATTTCTGGTGTTCCCCGCCGTGATATTGCTGTAATATTGCTAAAAGCGGCGTAAAACCATACTCACTCACTCATTACCAGACCGCAGTGATATTTATAAATTGACTTCAATATTTTTTACCTTCATGCAAATATAAATGTGAAACCAGATGTACACACTATTTATTTAACTGTGCACACCGGTTTATATGTTCATAATTCCTTTACCCAAAATCAATTCTTATAAATAAATACGTAAACAACAATATTTTCACTGACTATACAATCATCAACACAAAAACTCAGTGACTACGTTCAGCGCAATAATGCAATACAAGCCCCTCCCATTTTCTTGTGAGCCAATCAGGACGTGGCCTATATTTTTCGGTTTATGGATCCATAAACGCACATAAAAATAGCTTGGTTAGCCAATCAAATGTCACGGAATCACTTGCATGTATTTGTTCTCTACACTGCCGTCAGCTTCATAAAACAATATAACATTAGTGACATTGACTAAATATGGTCCGGGGGACATGGTACATACAAGTAATTGAGGAACCATTGCAGCAACCCATGCCTGTCGTGAGAGGTGACTAACGGGATGGGGTGGTCAGTCTCGCTGACTTGGCGGTTATCATGTCATCGTATCAGAGTTGCGTAGATCGATGCCCATGATGCTAAGGTCTGGATGGTCCGAACTCGATTATTCAGACCGCTATGTTATTGCTGGAAATTAGTGCGGCGTTAAACAACAAAGAAAGGAAAAAGGAAAGAAACCTTTAAATATTTTGTTTGCAAAGGTTCTCAAGTTTAAGTTTTCAGCTTCTGAACATCTTGGCTTTTCTCTTTGCTGAACATTTACCATTACAAACTTACCAAGAGAATAAACTTACCAAGAGAAAATGGGATGAACTCGTCTTTCTTTTGGATTTTGCCTGTGTCGTCAAGGAAACGGTCAGGGCGGAAACGATCTGGATCTCCCCATACATCCGGGTCTTGAAGGACTGAATCAAGCATCAATGCAACTGGGACGCCTTTGGGGAAGTTGAATCCCCTGAAGTGGACATCATGGGGAACAGTGTGCAGGGCACTGACGGGGGCAATGTCAGCGTGTCTCAACACTTCCATAATGGTGGCCTCCACGTAGGGAAGGTTCGTCTTGTCTTTCATGGAGGGTTGTCTGCTCTGGCCGATATTCTCCTGGATTTCTTGAAAGCACTTCTCCTGAACATCCGGGTACTTCAGGAAGTAGACCAGTGCCCAGCGTATCGTCGTGGCAATAGATTCTGACCCGGCAACAAACAGGTCAGTGATAACTGTGCGTAAGTTTTCCACTGTAAAAGAAACATGAACATTTAGAGCAGGTCCCCCTTTAGCCTTACTTTGGTGATAATATAACGTCTTGTATCACACACCCGAAAACATCAACACGGAACCATGTAGGTTAAGTCCCCCTATAAGACATACTTTAGGGATGATATGACGTCTTGTATCCCCCTCCCATCACCCCCCCCCCCCAAAAAAAAAACGAAAAAAAAAACCACCAAAAAAACAAAAACAACAGCAACAAACAAAACACACCAAAAAAACCCCCAAAAAACAAACAACATTAACACGGAAACATGAACATATAGAGTACGACTACTGAAAAATATGAACATAATATCCATCCATTCATCCATCCATCCACCCATCCATCGATCTATAGTCAAACACCTTTGTGTCGAAATTCAAGGGGCCTACATAAATACTTCGAATTATCCAAGGTTCACCACAACCGAAAATGGTGAATAAAGAAGGAATATACAAGGACCAAGATATTACTTCGAGACAACACTAAGTTCGACATATCAAAGTTCGACACAACAGTGTTTGACTGTATCTGTCTATCGTGGAATAGAGAGGATCTTACAGTTCAAACTTGTGCTTTCCTGCTGTTTTTGGCGATGTCGCATTTCCTTGATGTATGCGTAGATGAAGTTGTCGACCTTGTTGTCGTCGTGTGTGTTTAAGTGTTCCTCTATCATAGGCTGTATGAAGAGTGACTCAATCATTCTGACGTTGTCCATGGTTCTCTTAAATCCAAACAGATCACCAGGCAGGAAGCGCAACATTGGTAAAATGTTCAAAAGACAAGATGCTCCCGTAGTTTCAAAACATTCCTCTATTGCTTTGAGAAAGTTTCTGAAGAGAGGATCCGAGTACTCAAAACGCCTCCCAAATGCAGTGGAGCAGATGACGTTGCACGCTGCATTATGCACAAGTCGCGTGCAGTCAAACCCTTCGCTCTTCTCCATCTCCATTGCTGCGAGAAACTGCGAGACTTCGTCGTGTATTTTGTCTTCCATCATGGATCTGCCCACCCCAAATTCTCTGAGAGTGCAGAGTGCAAACCGTCTCTGTTCGCGCCAAAGATCACCCGAGCTTGCAACCACACCTGTAAGAATGGAGAAACGAAGCAACACATAGACGTATGATAACTCCGTTCACGCTTATGGTAACAACATTGTGAGGTTGGGGTTTCAGGTATGTTGATGATCTGATATCGTTCAAAAACCCTTTCCCTTCCACTGATTTACCCACCTGAACTAGATATACAGGAAACCAGTGAGACCGCCTCATCTGTTTCATATTTATATCTATGCATAAAGGGACCCGGGTTCGATTCCCTCCATGGGTACAATGTGTGAGCCCATTTCTGGTGTCCCCCGCCGTGATATTGCTGGAATATTGCTAAAAGCGGCGTAAAACCAAACTCACTCACTCACTATGCATAAAGATTCAGAATGACAAAACACTCTCCACAGAATCATGTTACAAGAGGGATGACTTCAACTTCCCAACAGACAAACTTCCCTTTATGTCGAAGCTCCAGCCTTAGGTGTTCACATTTCGCAACTTTTGAGATACAATCGAGCATGCTATTTTTCCAACATCACCAAAGAGCATCATACGACTCTTGCTCAAGGTTACAACATTCAAGCTCTAAGTAAAGCTTTCAAAACGTTTTATGGTAGACATGTGGAGGACATTTCCAAATTTGATGCATCAGTGACAAAAATGATGTCCGATGCTATTCCTTAATTTGACTAGTACCATATATTCTCGTGTTTTTAGGTGAACAATTGACTTGCCTTTGCATGCATTTGTGACGAGTGCTAATGGTTGGGCAGGATACGCTAACCTTTTCGCGAACCCCTGGTATTCCAGTTATACCGCGGCGAGTCAGCTTAATGTGGGAGGAAAGCCCGAAGTGGTGCAGGTCTCAGACGTTCACCACTTCGGTGAAACCCACGAGCACGGGTATGGTGCTGACAAACCTAGAAACATAACCAGGGCTAACCGGGATTCGCACCCACAGTCATAGGTTTCTGGCGTGCCCAAGGGACGCAACTCTGCACAGCGAATCGCGGCGCTTTAGACGACTGGGCCACTCGTGCCCCCTGCACCAGGCTAAGTATACAAGCAAGGTGTGAGTAGGGAAGGATAGGTAGTGGTAAAATAAATGGATGGGGATTGTTTGGGGGTATACGTAGGGTATATTTAGTGGAAGGTGGATATTTGAGACTGTGTGCCAGGCTAGATTGAGAAACACTTTGTCACCATCCAATCACCATTGGGGATCGAATGTGAACCGTCATTGTGTGCAGTGATATGTAAAAGAGGGGAGTGTATATGCAGGAAAAGTACTGTTGTAGACACACCTACCTTTTCTCCTTAATATGAAGTTATTCAGTAGTGAGTGCGGTCTGTCTGAAAAGACGTCGGAGTTCTTGACGATCGCGTCTTTCAGAACGCTGTAGCCGTTGAGGACGATGATAGGTTTGTGAAAGACATAAACACTGAAAATGTCGCCGTAGGTTTGTCGCAGGTTATTAAACATAACCCGGGGGTCCGCGCCCATAGATAGGGCGTTCCCGAAAACAGGGAGAAGAGGGGGGCCGGGGGGAAGGCCCGCGGGACGCTGCGTTAACAGCCATAATGCAGCTAGAACAACGCCAAGAACTAAAACTGTAGTCGGGCTGAATTCAAACAAATCCCACATTATATACGGATGATCTTCAGTTCGTATATTTCCGTCTATCTTGGTTGGAAGCCACACAAACATTTAATGTACTCAGACTTCGTAATCTCCTGCCTCGACTCACGACAGGGAGCATGGACCTGTCAGATTACCGTATCGATTCTAAAAATATGATCAATTGCGATGAGTATCAGAACTATGACCTCGTAAGGCACGTCTCTCTTTAACCCTGGAGCGTCGAACATGGCCTATTGGTTGACAGCTCCCAGGCTCGCTGACGTCGTTGATTGCGTGTCATCGTACCCCGGCGGCGTGGTACGTTGCTTATTATAGCAATCACTGGTTTGTCCGGTCGAGTGATTACTTACAGGCCAACTTGACTGAATTAAATGCTGACAGCATTGGAAACTGGAAACTTCAACATGTTTCTTCAACCACCGTCAGTGTCAAAAGCTTGCGAGTTCAGAGGATCTGACACCTACAATGGGAAAAACCTACCGTTCAAAATTTGCAATTTGCTGCGAGTAACGTCCGTTAACCGTGACAGGATCCGCTGTCAAGGGTTCGATTCGACAATTCGGCTTGATTAGGATCGATAGGAGACAGGTAGATTTTATCAACGCTTCCGTTGGGGTTACACACACACTGGGTTCAAGACCCCACAGATTCCCCTCAAATCCCCCACAGCCATACATCACCCCATAGGCTCCATTTACGCACTGGGGCGGTCGGGTAGCCTAGTGGTTAAAGCGTTCGCTCGTCACGCCGAAGACCCGGGTTCGATTCCCGACATGGGTACGATATGTGAAGCCCATTTCTGGTGTCCCCCGACGTGATATTACTGGATTATTGCTAAAAGCGGCATAAAACCAAACTCACTCACTATTTACGCACTGATATTGTGCTTGGAACAAGACGTACTTCATTTGTACGTTCCACCGTGTCAGATACAATATTGAGAACGCTACATAAACAATATTCCCATTTAATTTCTGATCCCCAATTATTGTCTTATTTATATCTGGTTTTATAGATTGTTCGATCACAAGATGGTGCAAAATAACCAACTTGTATTTACAAAGTAATACTTATATATAATATGGTACGCTATCGCGGAACAACACGGTAATGTCCTCCACTGCCAACACGTTCCACTTCCTATTTACGGATGCGGTGGCAATTGAAATGTCAAGGCCAGGTGTATTTAGGCTGCCTCGAGTTACTTGACATACTTCTTACGTGTCTTATAATCGTTAGTCAATGGTATACTCATCAATGATCAATATTCATAAAGAATAATGGAAAGTAACTGACGCTGATTCAATTAAGAAAAAAAAGTCTGATCCCCACCTTTGAATCTAAAACATCGTTCAACAAATATAACCGATGATTTGCATAAGGAACGTAACTGTTAAATGATGTCTTAAAAATTGAAATAAACAAGAAATTGTTAATCGATGGCGATGTAATTGATACGGGTATTACAGTTAATATCCTTCAGACCATATGTCTGCTGTATCTTAATAACGTTTTGCTTGCATTTCTACGTTTTTGGTCAAATTCACTTTTCATGTGTGTACTTTCTATAGCTCGGCAGTTTATGAACAACATTCAAGAATATGTTCCAAGTAGAACAATGGTCGTCAAGCCCTCGCACACATTCACTTGTTCTCGAAGTGTTGAAGTCGGTCTATGACCCAGGTTGGGCCAAGATGATTATAACCTTTGCATCTGTAAATGCGTGAACTTTATCCACATGTACAATACCATGTCTTTATAAACATCCCGTTGTGGATTGAATTGGCTGCAATAAGCTTGTTGTAGCCACAGATGCGCTCTTGAGGTCCTTGGTGACACAGGTACTACAGAAATGTTCCCAAATACTTGTATACCCCGAGTCCGCCATTTACCATTAATCACTTGTATTATTATCAGAACTGATCGTACATTTGATAGAGCAGTATGCACGTTCTGAAGTATGTCCTTGACGGAATTGACCGGGTTTCTGCATTTCGCATGTTCAGACTACGGAAATCTACAAAAGTATTGTAAAAAAAATTAAAAAATAAAAAAGATTTTTTTTTAGATTAAAAGATTGTAAAAATAAAAAAATAAAAAAGTGGGGTTTTTTTAAATTAAAAAATTGTAAAAAGAAACTCTTGACTTCCTCGCCGTTAAGGTAGGCGTCTGTATTCAGGTGTGAGTTAGGGTATGTTTGTGTATACAGTAAGGGACCTTGGGCACATTTGGTTGTTTTCTGCGTGTTATATCCACAGAAGGTTATCTGTGTGTCATATCCTCAGTTGGTTGTAATCTACGTGTTAAATCACAGTTGGTTGTAATTTGTGTGTCATATCCACAGTTGGTTGTAATCTACGTGTTAAGTCACAGTTGGTTGTAATTTGTGTGTCATATCCACAGTTGGTTGTAATCTACGTATTATATCCATTTGGGTGTTATCAATGTGTTATCGTCACAGTTGTTTGTTATCCGTGTGTTAAATCCACAGTTGATTGTAAACTACGTGTTAGTCACAGTTAGTTGTTATTTTTGTGTAATAGTAACAGCTGGTTGTTATCCGTGTGTTATATCCATAGTTGGGTGTAAACTACGTGTTAGTCACAGTTAGTTGTTATTGTTGTGTAATAGTAACAGTTGGTTGTTATCCGTGTGTTATATCCACAGTTGGGTGTAAACTACGTGTTAGTCACAGTTAGTTGTTATTTTTGTGTAATAGTAACAGTTGGTTGTTATCCGTGTGTTATATCCACAGTTGGGTGTAAACTACGTGTTAGTCACAGTTAGTTGTCATTTTTGTGTAATAGTAACAGTTGGTTGTTATCCGTGTGTTATATCCACAGTTGGGTGTAAACTACGTGTTAGTCACAGTTAGTTGTTATTTTTATGTAATAGTAACAGTTGGTTGTTATCCGTGTGTTATATCCACAGTTGATTGTAAACTACGTGTTAGTCACAGTTAGTTGTTATTTTTGTGTAATAGTAACAGTTGGTTGTTATCCGTGTGTTATATCCACAGTTGGGTGTAAACTACGTGTTAGTCACAGTTAGTTGTTATTTTTGTGTAATAGTAACAGTTGGTTGTTATCCGTGTGTTATATCCACAGTTGGGTGTAAACTACGTGTTAGTCACAGTTAGTTGTTATTTTTGTGTAATAGTAACAGTTGGTTGTTATCCGTGTGTTATATCCACAGTTGGGTGTAAACTACATGTTAGTCACAGTTAGTTGTTATTTTTGTGTAATAGTAACAGTTGGTTGTTATCCGTGTGTTATATCCACAGTTGGGTGTAAACTACGTGTTAGTTACAGTTAGTTGTTATTTTTGTGTAATAGTAACAGTTGGTTGTTATCCGTGTGTTATATCCACAGTTGGGTGTAAACTACGTGTTAGTCACAGTTGGTTGTAATCTGTGTGTTGTATATACAGTTAATTGTAATCTGTGTGTTACAGTCACAGTTGGTTGTAATCTGCGTGTTATAGTCACAGTTGGTTGTAATCTGTGTGTTATATATACAGTTAATTGTAATCTGTGTGTTACAGTCACAGTTGGTTGTAATCTGCGTGTTATAATCACAGTTGGTTGTAATCTGTGTGTTATATATACAGTTAATTGTAATCTGTGTGTTACAGTCACAGTTGGTTGTAATCTGTGTGTTATATATACAGTTAATAGTAATCTGTGTGTTACAGTCACAGTTGGTTGTAATCTGCGTGTTATAATCACTGTTGGTTGTAATCTGTGTGTTATATATACAGTTAATTGTAATCTGTGTGTTACAGTCACAGTTGGGTGTAATCTGCGTGTTAGTCACAGTTAGTTGTTATTTTTGTGTAATAGTAACAGTTGGTTGTTATCCGTGTGTTATATTCACAGTTGGGTGTAAACTACGTGTTAGTCACAGTTAGTTGTTATTTTTGTGTAATCGTAACAGTTGGTTGTTATCCGTGTGTTATATCCACAGTTGGGTGTAAACTACGTGTTAGTCACAGTTAGTTGTTATTTTTGTGTAATAGTCACAGTTGGTTGTTATCCGTGTGTTATATCAACAGTTGCGTGTAAACAACGTGTTAGTCACAGTTAGTTGTTATTTTTGTGTAATAGTAACAGTTGGTTGTTATCCGTGTGTTATATCCACATTTGGGTGTAAACTACGTGTTAGTCACAGTTAGTTGTTATTTTTGTGTAATAGTAACAGTTGGTTGTTATCCGTGTGTTATATCCACAGTTGGGTGTAAACTACGTGTTAGTCACAGTTAGTTGTTATTTTTGTGTAATAGTAACAGTTGGTTGTTATCCGTGTGTTATATCCAAAGTTGGGTGTAAACTACGTGTTAGTCACAGTTGGTTGTAATCTGTGTGTTGTATATACAGTTAATTGTAATCTGTGTGTTACAGTCACAGTTGGTTGTAATCTGCGTGTTATTGTCACAGTTGGTTGTAATCTGTGTGTTATATATACAGTTAATTGTAATCTGTGTGTTACAGTCACAGTTGGTTGTAATCTGCGTGTTATAATCACAGTTGGTAGTAATCTGTGTTATATATATACAGTTAATTGTAATCTGTGTGTTACAGTCACAGTTGGTTGTAATCTGTGTGTTATATATACAGTTAATAGTAATCTGTGTGTTACAGTCACAGTTGGTTGTAATCTGCGTGTTATAATCACTGTTGGTTGTAATCTGTGTGTTATATATACAGTTAATTGTAATCTGTGTGTTACAGTCACAGTTGGGTGTAATCTGCGTGTTAGTCACAGTTAGTTGTTATTTTTGTGTAATAGTAACAGTTGGTTGTTATCCGTGTGTTATATTCACAGTTGGGTGTAAACTACGTGTTAGTCACAGTTAGTTGTTATTTTTGTGTAATCGTAACAGTTGGTTGTTATCCGTGTGTTATATCCACAGTTGGGTGTAAACTACGTGTTAGTCACAGTTAGTTGTTATTTTTGTGTAATAGTCACAGTCGGTTGTTATCCGTGTGTTATATCAACAGTTGCGTGTAAACTACGTGTTAGTCACAGTTAGTTGTTATTTTTGTGTAATAGTAACAGTTGGTTGTTATCCGTGTGTTATATCCACATTTGGGTGTAAACTACGTGTTAGTCACAGTTAGTTGTTATTTTTGTGTAATAGTAACAGTTGGTTGTTATCCGTGTGTTATATCCACAGTTGGGTGTAAACTACGTGTTAGTCACAGTTAGTTGTTATTTTTGTGTAATAGTAACAGTTGGTTGTTATCCGTGTGTTATATCCACAGTTGGGTGTAAACTACGTGTTAGTCACAGTTGGTTGTAATCTGTGTGTTGTATATACAGTTAATTGTTATCTGTGTGTTACAGTCACAGTTGGTTGGAATCTGCGTGTTATTGTCACAGTTGGTTGTAATCTGTGTGTTATATATACAGTTAATTGTAATCTGTGTGTTACAGTCACAGTTGGTTGTAATCTGCGTGTTATAATCACAGTTGGTAGTAATCTGTGTTATATATATACAGTTAATTGTAATCTGTGTGTTACAGTCACAGTTGGTTGTAATCTGCGTGTTATAATCACAGTTGGTTGTAATCTGTGTGTTATATATACAGTTAATTGTAATCTGTGTGTTACAGTCACAGTTGGTTGCAATCTGCGTGTTATAATCACAGTTGGTTGTAATCTGTGTGTTATATATACAGTTAATTGTAATTGTCATGTGTTACAGTCACAGTTGGTTGTAATCTGCGTGTTATAATCACAGTTGGTTGTAATCTGTGTGTTATATATACAGTTAATTGTAATCTGTGTGTTACAGTCACAGTTGGTTGTAATCTGCGTGTTATAATCACAGTTGGTTGTAATCTGTGTGTTATATATACAGTCAATTGTAATCTGTGTGTTACAGTCACAGTTGGTTGTAATCTGCGTGTTATCACAGTTGGTTGTAATCTGTGTGTTATACATACAGTTAATTGTAATCTGTGTGTTACAGTCACAGTTGGTTGTAATCTGCGTGTTAGTCACAGTTGGTTGTAATCGGCGTTTTATATCGACAGAGATTCTTTTCTGCGTGTTATATTCACCGTTGGAATATAGCGGGAATAGTGCTTAGTGCGGCGTTAAACAACAAACAAACAAACAAACTGTCATAAAGTGCAGATGTAGTCCGGAAGGTAAAGCAAATTGTAATTATCATGTGCTACCTTCAGAATCAGGAATAAGAACATGACACATTCGAGTGTAAATATTTATGTAATATCAAAGCAGAAAACAAACATATAAAAATAAAACTAGCAATATGTTTTTACATCCATGACTTCCTGAAACATATGTTATTGTTTCCAAGGAACAAGATGTATAATGTTGACTCAATCATAGTGGTAAACCTGATGGATAGAAGGGAATCTACAGTAGCAAGGTTATCTTTTTCATAATTAATCTCTTTAAAGTAATAGTTACATTGTTGTCATATCATCTTATAATGTACGAGATCAGTGGAGACATGCATATATTATTAAAATTGAAACCCACAACGTTGTGAGTGCGCATGTTTTATGTAGCCATGAACAATACTTGTCTATAAGAGTTACCGCCCTTGTCTTCAGCGTACTGTATGTTTATTCCAGTAGCCTGACCCGCCAATTATCATGCTGTCACAAAGTGCTTTATGCCTTCGTCATAGCGATCTGCTGATGGCCTGTCCCCGTCTCTCTCGACAGGCAGAACTCTGTGTCAACGCTAGACTAACGCTTGGTCTCAGAAAATATATAATTTTGATAGAGATATATTGAAAAGGAGCCCCAGTGAGATGGGAGATCCTGAACCTGCGGAAAACGTAGATTTGCTTTATTTGGGGATTTTGCATTACAGAAAGGGCTGGGCGGAAAATGAGATGGTTCAGGGACTGTGAGACGGATTAGGTCAACGGTTACCGACAGCGAAATGCGATATGCGGAAAAAGGTGGATAGAGCGAGACTGGAACCTTGCTTTTCGGCAACAAGCGGGTGCAAAGCGCTCTAGGGCATGTACACCACTCTAGGGCGGTTAGGAATTTTTAAAAAATATCGTCATAATGATTTCGTATGTACATATACCATAAAAACAAAGAAAACATGTTGCACAAGAAAAAGTGCGTGTTAAACTACATTTACATTGATACAAGACACCGCATCCGCAAACACAATTACTAACAGGGTACACATATGAATTTATATTTTCTCGTCTAATGTTGATACAAATACTATGCTGATCGTTTTGTTAAATCGTTTCAACAGCATACACTGTTTCAATGATAGTATTACAATAGGCTACGCTTTCACAATCAGCTGTGGCCAATTCGTCTAAAGTGCCGCGATTGGCTGTGTAGATTTGCGTCCCTTGAGCACGCCAAAAACCTAATATGATTATGGGTTCGAGTCCTGGTTCGCCCTGAATATGTTTCTAGGTTTGTCAGGACCATACCGTAGCTCGTGGGTTTCACCGAAGTAGTAAACGTCTAAGACCTGCATCACTTCTGCCCCCACCCCACCCCCAGGTTTCCACGCCGTGATGTAACTGTAATACTGTTCAAAGCAGCGTTAAACCCAACTGAAATATTTATAGGGTGTTACTTTCTATTCCTGTTGAGATTGTTGACTGTGACCCCTATACTGATCCGAACAGTATTAGTTCCGGGGAACAGCTTTTACTTGGAACTGTTGTGGCATGTGTGTAATTCCCATTTTCCCATCTAATGGCGGCTTCTGGCCGTCCACCGGGAGGAACTGGAACCTCTGGATCATGGTAGTGAGGAATAAGAAGAGCTCCATCCGGGCCATCGACTCCCCCAGGCAAACTCTTCGACCTTGAAATATGTCAACAGAAAGTACATTGTCAATATCGTATGTGTGTTTGTGTGCGTGCGTGTGCGTGTATGTGTACATGTGAGGCGTTATAAGTCTATGGATAAGGTGAGGTGAAATTGGTTTTAACGTCGCGTCCAAGATTATTGCACTTGTGTAGCGACGTGCATGTGCGCGTGCGTGCGTGCGTGCGTGCGTGTGTGTGTGTGTGGCTGCTTCTACTAGTCCGGACTGATGCCGATTTATAATGTTAGCACACTGAGATACCATGCCGCAGTGTAACATGAATACCCCACTCAGACACAGTATACTGACACCGAGCCGTCCAGTCCTTGTTTTAACCCCTTAATGCCGAGCGCCAGACAGGGTTACAACAAGTACCATCTTTTAACGTCTTTTGGTATGACGCACACGGGGATTGAAACCGGGACCTTCCGCTCTCCGGGCGGACGCTCTACCACTAGACCACGGAGGCAGTCTCTATGGATTAAGATGTGTCACGTTTTTGTAACTCACCCAGAGAAAAGGGGATGAATTCATCCCTCTTTTGAATCTTGCCTGCGTCGTCAAGGAAACGGTCAGGTCTAAAAGTTTGCGGGTCTCTCCATAAATCCGGGTCTTGAAGGACTGAATCAAGGTTCGTGATAACTGTGACGCCTTTTGGGAAGGTGTAGCCTCTGAACTGGACATCATGTGGAACGGCGTGAGGGACACCAGTAGGGACAATGTTACCATATCGCAACACTTCCATAATGGTGGCCTCCACGTAGGGAAGGTTCGTCTTGTCTTTCATGGAGGGCCGTCTGCTCTGACCAACGTTCTCCTGGATTTCTTGAAAGCACTTCTCCTGAACATCCGGGTAGTTCAGGAAGTAGACCAGTGTCCAGCGTATTGTGGTGGCCGTTGTCTCTGTGCCAGCAACGAACAGATCAGCAATGGTCCGAGCCAGATTCTCCACTGCCAACAGGAACCAAATGTCAGTGCCGTGTTCAAACTATTTCGTGACAGATGTACCATGACACATACAAAGACGGAAACAACACAATCATATTCCCACGAATTTCATGTTGAAAGGTAAATATGCAAAAACAGAAAGATTGGCTTCCTCGGTTCGCCAAATTCAGAGAATAATGTTTACAGGGCCAACATTTCATGTTGAATTTAAGAACACGGCCAAAACACAAATGCCAAATCGAAGCCAACTTAAAATATTGCGAAAACAGATGTGGATTTAAACCAGCTTCTAACTACATATATGCAACACAGAGGTACGAACACAAGACGTTTACGTGACAGAGACAACAACGAGACTGATTACAATGGAAATCGGTTCCCGCGTCACAGTCTATGATTTCACGTGCAGGCACACATTGTTGTTGGGGACGGCTACGTTTGGGTGAAGCTGTCCAATACCGAGAACAACCCCATGAGCCAGAATAGCCGATTTTTAACCATAATTAGTTTTTACATCATGGCTGCGGTTCAAACCTCTTGAACAAGTTCAGATGACATGATTAGTGGCAATAAGCATATGAATTACAACCGTCACTGGCCCATTGGTTACCGATTAGATGATGTTTACAATGCGAGGAAATGTAGTTAGAAAGAATTGAGAAGCTCTGTTAAAGTGCTATGGTCAAATAAATAAGTAAAATATTGTTGAATCCCACTTCTAGTTACACATACACGAAGATGTTTACAGGCGACAACATGAACCATGACGTCGACCATGTTCCCGAGACAAGTGAGTTAACTGACTATAAAAGTCCAGTTTCCACCCTTGCCGAACTAGGCTGATATTATGGAGTTACATTTTGCCTGGACTAACGAGTCTATGCATAGTCCAATCAAAATCGCGCACAGAAATCGAAACCCGGATCGTAAAGTGTCATGCAGATTTCTGTCGACTGCAAGATTTGCAAAGCATGTGCACCGCTAACTCGTTGTCAACAGATAATTTCTATTTGTTTTCATGCTTTTAATCGAGGTGCTCACGTGATTTGATGCACTTCGCGATGTAAGACTCGTTTTATCACAATATATATCTTGATTATCAATCAGATCGTCTTGACTGGGCGCCACCGTTTTGTTTGAAGCAAATGCAAATGATACGAGAGGTTGAATCTGATTGGTCAATAGGGGAGGCATAGAAAGGACATAACTCGTAATAGCCACTGGTGGCGCTACGATCGAGCCCAGTAATTCCAGCCTAGTTCGGCAAGGGTGGAAACTGGACTTTTAAAGTCAGTTAACCCTCTTGCCTCGGGAAGATGGACGTCGACTAAAGTCCACTTGACGTACAGTCAGGTGAGCTAAAAACATTTTTGAATGTACCTATACAATGAGACATTACAGAACCCTATGTTTGAAGAAGTTTTGAATGACATCTACCTTACCCTACACGAGTACATAGTATTTATGTCACAAACAAGTTCGTGCTCTTAAGAGCGGTTATTTCGATATGTAGAATCAACAAAGAAAAAGTACTGATATAATTTGTATTTAAAATGTTAACAGAGGCAATAACGCCATTTTTTCCCATGCGAGCTAAAATCATAGACGGTAAATATCCAACAAAACCCTGACTTATGGAAATGCATAATGTATATACCATAATTACAACTTACAGTCTAACGTGGTGGTGTCTTGTTTCTGTTGGCGAAGTCGCATCTCCTTCAGGTATACGTGGATGAAGTCGTCCAGGTTGTCGTCATCGTGATTGTTTATGTGATCTTTAATTGAAGGATCAATCAGAAGATTGTCCACTATATCGACATTGTTCATGGTTTTCTTGAACCGGAACGGATCTCCAGGCAAAAATCGAACAAGAGGAAAAATGTTCAATAACCCAGCTGCTGTGGTGTTTTCAAAATTCTCTTCCATTGCTGTCAGGAATGTGACGAAGAGAGGGTCTGTATATTCAAAACGTTTGCCAAAGACAGTGGAACAGATGACATTAGACACAGCGTTATGCACAAGACGCTTAATGTCAAAACCCTGGCCTTTCTCTTCCTCCACGGCTGCCACAAACTCTGCGATTTCCTGGTTTATCTTGTCTTCCATGACGGTTCTTCCCACCCCAAACTCTCGCAGAGTGTTGAGAGCAAATCGCCTCTGTTCATGCCACAATTCCCCGGAGGTTCCGATAACTCCTATTTGAAGAATACAATAAACAAAATCATTTACATGACAAAAATAGTGAGTGAGCGAGTTGGGTTTGATGCCGCTTTCAACAGTATTTCAGATATATCACGGCGTGTTGGCTTGATGTGGGAGCAGGTCCTTGTGAAACCCATGTGTACCGGTAGGGTGCTGACAAACATAGAAACACAGTTTGGGCGAATCTAGGATTCGAAACTGCCATCATATAATAGGTTTGTGGCATGCCTAAGGGAAACATTCCTAGAGGACTTGGCCACTCGTGCCTTACGTGGATAACACGTGGATAGAGTACAAGATCAGTGCTCCTGAACACAATGAGAAGACGCCAGTTTACTTACACAGGAAGAACCTGCCAAATGATCATATCAAATAACAACCAAATCCAAAAAATCGCTTTGATAGCGGTATACGAGACTGAAACCTTAGTCAATAACAAGAGTCATCAGAAGATGACAAATCCCCCTGGTACCCATAATAGCAAAAAGCCCCCCAACACGACAAAATAAAACACAGATGAAGAGCTTAGGTCCAAAAGGGTCCAAAATGCACTTTGGCTCTTTTTGCATGTTATTGCATAAATAACATCTATGAGTTCTTGTCTACTTGTAGGAAAATTATTGTATGTTTAATTGAAATTGTTTTTTTAAACATTGCTACTTAAAATTCTGTAAAAGGGCCAAAGTCAAGGTCCAAAAGGGCCAAGGTCACTTTGCTATATTTTGGCCCTTTCAGCTCTCATTCCCGTGTGTGGTTGATACTAGTGTGTTCAAGAGGTTTTGAAAGTTTGTAAACATTATTATTATGTGTCAACTATTTCAACAAAGTTAGCATTAGTTTAAATCATTTACAAGAGCTTCAAAATTATGCTTTCGGTAGTTGTTTATCAATCTCACATGTTCAATTCCATGCAAATGCCTGAGGGTAAAAAGAGCCAAAATACAGACATTGACCCTTTCTGCCCTCACACAAATTAAAAACGAAAGTTTATTTCCTTTTTTGTATGTTTTTTTTTGATAGCAAAATTTATTTCTGCTGTCAGAATGTGTTTAGGAATTTGTCGGTTAATAAAAAATGTTCATTGGCAGGCATAACGTTATAGTTTTTAATACTTTTCTCAAAATGGACTCCACATGACATTGACCCTTACGGCTCTAAGCTCTTCACATGGATAAAACACAGCAGGATTAGTGCTTACGAACACAATAAGAAGACGCCAGTTTACTTGCACTGGAAGAACCTGCCAAATGAATTCTTATCAAATAACAACCAAAGCCAAAAATCGCTTTTGAAGCGTATACAAGAACGCTCCAAATATTTACTGTGAAACATGTAGCACGGGAAGTTCCAATTTTCCAAAACCTTAATCAATAATTTCTTTTTAAAAATGGAAGTGTGTGCTTCAGTCTGATAGGTTGATTAAATAGGCTTCGAAGAACGGACATCTCCTGGACTCTTCACTTCACGTGAATACTTTTCGTGATATTTATCTTTTATTTTCGCCATCCCAAATTGCCATTCGGCTTGGTGAAATGGATACTACGGGAAATGAAAATTAAGTTTGGTCAATATTATCAGAACAGATTTAATTTAGTTGTCCACATTCTCCGTGTCAATATTAATTTCCATTTTGTTTTATTGAGTATTCGATGGCGGTGAATTTAACGTTTGAAACGTCCATCTTATGCCGTCGGTTCCAAATGAAATTTCGTGGTCACTTCATTAAACTCCATATAGTGAAAGATTGGATGGAGTAGCAGTTGGAAGAGTATGGTGAAAGGTTGGTTGGAATAGCAGGGAGGGACAGATGGTGAAAGATTAGTTGGAGTATAAGGTATATGCAGAAGGTGAAAGTTTGTTGGAGTATAAGGTATATGCAGAAGGTGAAAGTTTGTTGGAGTATAAGGTATATGCAGAAGGTGAAAGTTTGTTGGAGTATAAGGTATATGCAGAAGGTGAAAGTTTGTTGGAGTATAAGGTATAAGCAGATGGTGAAAGTTTGTTGGAGTATAAGGTATACGCAGATGGTGAAAGGTTAGTTGGAGTATAAGGTATATGCAGATGGTGAAAGTTGGTTGGAGTATAAGGTATATGCAGATGGTGAAAGTTTGTTGGAGTATAAGGTATAAGCAGATGGTGAAAGGTTAGTTGGAGTATAAGGTATATGCAGATGGTGAAAGTTTGTTGGAGTATAAGGTATATGCAGAAGGTTAAAGTTGGTTAGAGTATAAGGTATATGCAGATGGTGAAAGTTGGTTGGAGTATAAGGTATATGCAGAAGGTGAAAGTTTGTTGGAGTATAAGGTATGAGCAGATGGTGAAAGTTGGTTGGAGTATAAGGTATATGCAGAAGGTGAAAGTTGGTTGGAGTATAAGGTATATGCAGATGGTGAAAGTTGGTTGGAGTATAAGGTATATGCAGAAGGTGAAAATTGGTTGGAGTATAAGGTACATGCAGATGGTGAAAGTTGGTTGGAGTATAAGGTATATGCAGATGTGAACAAATGGTAATTATCATATGGTGATAGGTTGGTTGGAGTATATGGTATGAGCAGATGGTGATAGGATGGTTGGGGTATAAGGGATGAGCAGATGGTGATAGGATGGTTGGAATATAAGGTATAAGCAGATGGTGATAGGATGGTAGGACTAGCAGTTAGTACTGAGTGTTAAGAGTAGCAGTTATTTGATTGGGATATTGCAGAGGAGCTACTACATATAGATGAGTTTGAAGCCTATAAGCCTATGATAATATATAAAAGTAACAAAACTAATTTCCATATTATAGGCAATCTGACCGCCTCCGTGGTCTAGTAGATAGAGCGTCCGCCCGGAGAGCGGAGTCGTTGGTTCGATCCCGGGCCATGTCATGCCAAAAGACGTTATATGGTACTTGTTACCCTGCCTTGAGAAATTAATTGGATAAAACAAGGACTGGTCGGCTCGGAGTCAGTACACTGTGTCTGAGTGGGTTATTAATGTTACACTGCGGCATGGGATCTCAGTGAGTTAGCACTAGTCGGCATTAGTCCGGACTAGTGCAAGCAGTGGGTGGATTTTATCTATACTCTCAAACCTATTTGTCCTCCAAATTTCAGATGCAAACAAAGAATCGGACTTATCTGAAAATTAAATAACTTAAAGAATACTTCTAAGGCAGTAGTCCATTTTTTTCTAGTTGTAATTAGTTGCCCAAATAAAGCATATTTAGCACGTTGAGCTAGATCAGGCACAGGTTTACTTAGACTAAACTTACAAGCGAAGACTAATCCGAGATATCTATAAGTATTAACAACCTCTAGCACTTGTCCTCTAAAATACCATACAGTAAACTACGGTTATAACGAACTCAAAGGGACCACTAATTTTACTTCGTTATAACCGTAGTTCGTTATAGGCATATATGCAGCATATATACAACAAATGGCCGGGACTTAAAAATAAGTTCGTTATATCGGTCAGTTCGTTATAAGCGTGTTCGTTATAACCGTAGTTTACTGTATTTCTTTATTTTAAATTTTCCTCCTCTTCTAAAACAGCATCAGATGTTTGTAAGTTAACAGTCATTCCCCACTTATCTGCAATCTAACAGACTAAGAATCTAGAATACTTATCTGACGCTGTAAACTACATACATTATCAGTGATCATAATTACATCATCAGCAAATAACAATAATAATACTTCTACTATATCTGGATAGAGTTGAATCCCATGAGTTCCACGTGCCATAACATCTGTAGCTAATTCATTTGTAAATAAAGAGAATAACATAGGGCCCAGCATACAACCTTGTCTTAAACGATGGACAACTTAAATGGACAATCCAAATAATTCGTGGAATCTATTACATTTAGCACATGCTTTAACTGATTGGCATACACTCTGTAACGCCCCCAACATTTTACGATTTATCTCATAGGAAGACAATAATGCCCATAGCTTTGCTCAGTTGACATAATGAAAATCCTTTTTAAAATCAATAAAAACTACATACAGTTTCTTTTTTCAATTTACATATGCAAAAACCTCTACTATTCTGCATATATGAAACTGGCATTTCTTAAAGTCAACATCCAAACCAACACGTGGTAACATATGCTTACCGCCTACTTAATACTTCATAAAACATTTTATGATGATGCATTCAGGAATGATAGTAATTGGCACAATTAACATTTTAACATGGCGGTCGTGGCGGCCATGTTTGAAATCGGATCAGAAGTGTTAATGAATTTTTAGAATCACAATTACAACACCTTGAATTAGGCTCAAATATAAATAGAACGTACCTTTTCCCCGTGCTACAAACTCAGTTATAAAAGAATGTGGTCTATCTGAGAAGACGTCGGCGTTCTTGACAATGGCTTCCTTTATAACATTGTAGCCGTTGAGGACTATGAGGGGCTGGTGGAAGACATACACACTAAAGATGTCGCCATACTTCTGTCGGAGGTTCTTAAACGTGACCCGGGGATCAGAGCCCATAGACAGGGCGTTCCCCAAAAACGGGAGGAGAGGGGGCCCTGGGGGAAGTCCAGAACGCCGCCGCGTCAACAGCCACGACACAGCCAGCACAACAGCTAGAAATGAGGCAACTGTTGTAACTCCACACTCCCACATTGTCTTACGCTAGTTTCCAATCCGTCTATAACCCGACACGAGAGCGAGACAGAGTACAACTGTCGAGTCGCTCATATGCAGCCCTCACTTATAGCACAGCAGGTTTATCAAAGTTTACAGAATGAGTCAGCTGAACAGTGCGCATGTCGTTCGTTCGAGTCGACTCAGAGTTAGCTTTTTTCAGCTATAAATACTGAACCGCAAAAGAAACGTCACCATGGATAAATATATGAGAAACCTTATTTGTCCAAACACTGTAAGCATACTTTGACATATTAAAAAGATGAAACTTGGCAAAACTGATCATCAAGGTTGAAATTAAAGTGTCAAATGTTCTTAACGTGAAACACAACACTAGTCTCCGAGTGAATGGCATCACAAGTCAGTATCTCGTGTGTCCGCCATGTACATTGATGACTGCCGTGCAACGTCGATTCATGGAATGGATGAGGCGGTTGATGAAGGCCATAGGCACCTGAGACCACACTCTGAGGAACGCCTGACGCAGTTTAGCTGCAGTTGTCGTCCTTGGTCGGACGTCATTCAGCCGTCTTTGAATCTCGTCCCACAGATGCTCAAGGGGATTTAAATCGGGACTGAGGGTAGGCCACTGCATGGTTCTGATGCCATTCTGCTGGAGGAAGTCTCTTGTTGCTCTCACAGTGTGGGTACCGGCGTCATCGTGCTGAAACTCGTGGTTGCGGCGACGTGCCAAATGAGGTATGGGGTGTGGTCTCAAGACTTGATCAATGTACCGAGCTGCTGTGACACAATGCCTCTCCCTGGACCGATGTTCTGGAAGACCACAAGGCCGACCCTCTGTGCAAGACCAATTCCATCCCACACCATGATGCTCGGACCACCCCACGAGTCTCTCTCAACAACACAAGCATCCGAATAACGTTTCGCCAGACTCTCCCCCCACCTCTCTCTCTCTCTCTGCCATCTGCTGTTGAGATACAGTAACGGCTCTCGTCTGAGAAGAGGACTCTTCTCCACTGCTGGTGGCGCGAATGCTGGTGCTGTGTTGCCGGGCACGGCGATGTCCCGGCGATGACGTGGTGTCAGAATGGGTCCTCGGTGTGGCCTGTGACAGTGGAAGTGTCTGCTCGTCAATCGTCGACGCACGGTGTCCGCACTAATGTGTCGCTGGTGTGTCCCCATGGTCTGTCGAGCAGTTTCCACAGCAGTAACAAAGCGATCTTGAAGATGCTGTCGCACAATCTGACGATCCTGACGTCGGATGGTGACCCTTGGTCTACTACGTGGTCGGTCATCTATAGTGTTGGTGGTCTGATACCGTTAGTGGAACCTGTATATGGTCCTTACGTGGACTTGGAATGCATTGGCTACTTGCCGGGTGGTTTGTCCAGTTTGCAATCGTCCACGGGCCTGGTGTCGCTGATTTATTGTCAATCTTGCCATGTGGTAGCAATTCAATAACGAATGAATGTTATCCGATGTGGGTGGATTTTATAGGGCAAGAAATGGGGTAGCGCATGTGCATTCAATTTGCACGGAACTCACGTGCATCGGGTAACCATGGCCGTTGCCGTGATGCCTTTGGGAGATCGGTTTTATTGTCATCTGCTTTGGTTTTTTATCATCAAGCTCCATTTTTCCAGGTAATGTTGAATTTTAGAAACTTTGACAAAAATGACCCAGCTATTTAAATGACAACTTTTCAAGTAATGTTACTTGGGTGACCTTTCTTTTGCGGTTCAGTATATATTTTCAGTTGAAGGGAAGCTGGACTGTTACCTGCAGCCTGACATACATCTCCTGATTACTAAGTGACGGAATTACCATAGTGCTCTCAGGAGGCTCATTCGGTCACAGGAATACATATCTTTTAACAAAAAACATTTATGAAATATTGACCCGTGTATCCTACGAGCTTTGCATTTCTTTAAAGCTAAATATTCCGGCGATTCAGTCAACGAATCTCTCTTTCTATCTCTCATCATTTCGGGCTCAGCTCTCTCATGAAACTGACACACCGTCACATTTATAACTGAACTGATGTTCAAAGCGGCGTTAAACATAATTCACTCACTGGTTATCGCTTACATGTGTAGGTTTTCAGTCTGAGTCATGTTCAAACATTTTTTTCCTGTTTCAAAACAAATTAAGTGACAACTAGATCTAGAATTGCCTTTTCACAACATGGCTTTATTCCATACAGAATATATAGAACAATTAGATGGTCATGCTGAAGCACGATCGAGGAATATAGTGTTAACATTAACACTGGGGCAGCGTGGCCCAGTCGCCGCAATTCGCTATGCAGAGTTGCGTCCCTTGGACACGCCAGAAACCTATGATTGTGAGTTCGAATCCCGGTTCGCCCCGATTATGTTTCTAGGTTTGTCTAGGTTTGGCACCATACCCGTGCTCGTTGGTTTCACCGAAGTGGTAAACGTCTGAGACCTGCATCACTTGGGGGTTTCCTCACACATTAAGCTGACACGCCGTGATATGACTGGAATACTGTTAAAAGCGGCGTTAAACACAACTCACTCACTCACTCATTAACACTGATTTGATATAAATTTCAATACCAAATTCATCAATTTGGAGCAAGCAGAAACTATATAGAGGGTACAGTTAATTCGGCTTGACTCGGACGATGTCAACGAGATGGGCAGAAGAAGTCATAGACAAAGACTTCATAGAAAAGGGTATGCCAAGATAGTAACCTGTTCCGGAAGTATTAGTTTACTGGAGCAGGCCCGAGGTTGTAATACTATTGTGTTATTTTGCATACTGTCAGGAATATATGTGAATATATGTGAATACTTGACTTGCCTTTGCATGTGTTTGTGAGGGTGCCACTCGAGGCAGGATACGTTGACCTAAACACATGCTAACCACATGCTAATGACATAGTCGGAACTGCACAGTGGACTTTGCCTTCAGCAGAAATGTCTAATGCTTATGGAAAGAATTTTGTCGCTTTTATTTAAAATTATTTTCACAATGTAACAATGATAAATGTACGTTTGGTCAGCACTTTCTTAGAAAATATTTATATATGCATATTGGCTGGTCTCTATACAAAAGAGACCAAGTTACAATGTTCCGCACACCAACACAGTAATGGGGGCAATGGCGTCCCATATAATGAGGAAACTGTACTCGGTGTTGCGGCATACATAGTTTGTACACGGGGGAAACACTCTATATCTTGGCTCGCAAAATAAGTGTGAGAGAGATTGTTGCCCTTGTTTACACACTGTGTATGTCGAAACACCGAGTACAGTTTCGTCATTATGTGGGCCATCCATAATACAGGTCAGATTATGGAACATCGAGAATTCAAGGCAATTTAAAATCAGTAGACAAAGTTAAACACTTCCTTTACATTGACACAATACAACGAGTGAGTGAGTATGGTTTTACGCAGCTTTTAGCAAGGAACACAAATTTTAAGGATAACAACTGGGTTATACAAACAACGACTGATTGTGTAGGCTTCGCAAGCGGGCAAGGTCAGAATGACATGTACGTAAATAGAACAACGATATGAAGCGTTTTATCAATATTCATCTGAAAAAAATATAAGTGTCTATGAAGGTAATGTCATGTCTAATGCAAGTTGCTGGAGCAACAATATTAAATAATGTTCTTCGTTAATAGTTTCTTTATCGGATGCAAGCACCTAAGAGTTGATGAGTGAGTGAGTATTGTTTTACGCCGCTTAAAGCAACATTGCAGCAATATCACGGCGGGGGACACCCGAAATGGGCTTCACACATTGTACCCATGTCGGGAATCGAACTCGGGTTTTCGACGTGACGAGCGAACGCTTTAACCACTAGGCTACCCGACCGCCTCTACAACACAATGAAAGCATGTGCAAACACAATTAGTAATAGGATAGTAAGAGGATAAAAGTATGAATTAGGATTTTCACATTAACTGTTGATACAAATACTATGCTGTTCAATTTGTTGAATTGTTTCAAAAGCATACGCTGTTTCTGTGATAGTATCACAATAGGCTCTGTTTTCATAATCAGCTCTTAGGTGCCGCGTGCAGAGTTGCGTCCCTTGACCACGCAAGAAACCTATTCTATTGTGGGTTCGAATCTCGGTTCGTCTCTATTATGTTTCGATGTTTGTCAGCACCATACCCGTGATCGTGGGTTAAACCAAAGGGGTAAACGTCTAAGACCTATATCACCTCGGGCTTTCCTCCCACATCAAGCTGACATGCTGTGATATATCTGGAATAGTGTTCAAAGCAGCATTAAACCCAACTCACTCCCTTTTCATCACTAAATGCTCAGATACAGTGTCAAGTAAGAATTTATCGGAAACACCTCATAGCCGTCTCAGTTATTTATGCTAAGCTTACGTATAAACTTCGGCCAGATATGTCTCGGGGGAAAACGACAGGAATGAAATCCCCACATTAATTCAAAATGGCCGAGTTGGAGCTGTGTGTTCACCAACAATATTCACGTTAGATTGATTTGAGTGTTTATTTATGTGGTGTGCAGTAGTAATTCGTTTAGTGGACGAAAGGATGCAAAGTAAAAACTATACTTTAGATTATGGTATTTACATGTAAAATGTTTGACATATCTGTAAAGACTTAATGTTAACAAGTACAGATAATATAATACAGTGGAGGGAAAAACACGAAATTTGTATACATAAACTGTGTGAAGGATTGTGTCTCTTAAAAAGTTGTTCTGCTGTGTAGACGTTGTTAGGCACATGGTGATATTTGGAGACACTACCTCTGTACAGAGCGGGGCGGTCGGGTAGCCTAGCGGTTAAAGCGTTCGCTCGTCACGCCAAAGACCCGGGTTCGATTCCCGACATGGGTACAATGTGTGAGGCCAAATTTCTGGTGTCCCCCGTCGGGATATTACTGTTATATTGCTAAAAGCGCCATATAATCATACTCACTCACTCTATATAGAGCGAACACGCAGTTCGTACGTCTGTTGGACTGATCAGCAAAGAAGAAACAATACCTAGAGGAAACCATCTTCCCGAGGCAAGAGAGTGAACTGACTTTATAAGTCTAGTTTCCACCCTTGCCGAAATAGGCTGGAATTCCCGGGCTTGGTCGAAGCGCCACCAGTGGCTATTACGAGTTATGTCCCTTCTA